ACATAGTAGCCAGTTTATATGGCAGCTGTAGACACAGCCTCACTGATTTTCTCGTATTGTATTTCATACTATTAAGAAAGATTGGATTGACCGGCGCCATAAAGCAGTCGCTTTCTTACTACTGTATTATATGTCATTTTTAACTTTTTTTTTGCATATCTTATTGTTACAAACATATAAAAAAACTATATGGGTTTCATTTAGCATCCTCTATGGCGTTTATTGTATAATTTACTATATATGTACAACAGAAATATGTAGCTGCTTTAAGTCTCACCTTGTTATCGTTTGGCAGCCATATAAGGTATCCGAGCTTGACATCTAATTGTCTTCTCGAAGATTGGCAGAAAGAAGAAGACATACTATATCCATGATACCATGCTAAGTTGTTGTAGTACTGTAGAATTAAAGATGATGTACAGTAGCCTTGGCAGCATGTAGAAGATTTTAAGCCGTATAATACTGTATATATATACACCATTATACGTCTAATGTATCTTTATTAGATGGAGGCTCTTTCTTACTACACTACTGTATCATACGGTAATGTGGCTGTTGATGAAGTCGAAAAAGCTATATTACATATGGAGAAGCAACCTTAAGCAATTATAGTCCAAAACCAGCATCATGGTTTTTTAAGAGAAATCGGCAAGAGCGAAAATTTGCTGCATAGAAGCATAGCGCAAACAAAAAGCTCTTTGAAAAAACCGGATTCAGTGCACGAGGCATTCGATATACGGAATGCGATTTTTTAATTGCATGAAATGCAGGCTGTCAAAGAGCTTCTATATCACAATGCATTGTGCAAACGCTACACAAGTTGTTGTCGCACAAAATCACGATATCTGTCATCATGCGCCACACTCTGTACCGCTTTGTGCAGCATTAGCTTAGAATTTACGTTTTATGGAAGACTAAGTGGACGGGGCATGCGGTCCACTTACATGAGAGACCGTGTGGAGGGGTGATATTGGTAAATGGAGACGTGATGCAATGATGAAAAAACTCCACGTCGGGAAAAATTATGTATGATAGCATTCAAAGTCTACCATCCAGCGTCCTCTAGGAGCTTTCTGCATTCACATGCTCCTTTACTCGTTTACATTAGAGAATCTGAATAAACACAATGTCATATACCGACATATGAAACAGCTGCCATATGCATGACTACCTCTACTATTTCCTTCAATATCAGAGAACGCTTTTTATTGTTATTACGCTACAGCTTCTGTATGAACGATTCTTAAAAATAAATAGCATCTATCACATACTGTACGCTGAGATACTCCAACCGCGTAGAGGTGCATTTTATTTTGTATTCCATGTTATATTCTTAACTTGCTGATGTTGGCAGTGCTGTGCTGTAAGATCAAGAAGGATTATATAGACAATGTCGTGCATTGCTTTTTAGCCAAGTTGCGCAGCGCCTTTCCATTGGTTCCTTAGTATCATATTCAACTTCATTTTATGTGATTTATATACCATAGGTTGCTCAGATGGGATGAGTGAAGTATCGCAACAATTTCATATCACTGATCAACTCCAAAATGCTGACGACTTATATGACCTTCTTTGCCTTTATGAAAAACTGTTGGGTTGAAGATTTTGGATCGAGAGCCGTAGCAATCGCAGGAATTGGAGTGAGAAGCAGCGAACGTTTGATTTCACTAGTAATTAATATTGAGTATTGTTGCTTACATTCGACAACATCAGGGATATAATTTAAGAGGGAAAATGGTAAATAGTGAAAGAAAGGCAATATGCACAGCAAAAAGAAGTTCGTGATACAGTCACTTTGCATTGATATTAAGCTGACACGTTATAAAGCTCCTATTAGGGTTGCTTGATGCTCAAGGCTGGAAAGGAAAAGAGCAACGGAAAGTTCTCATATTTATCAATATTCGTGAATATTCCTGTTGATAGAGAAAAGTTTGAATACGATGCTGAACTTTCTAAGTTTACATTCAAGCTGGCCATTTGGGCCAAGTGGTTTAGAAAAAACTGGGAATAAATCTTTTACATAGATAATGATATTTAGGCATACCCGATACTGTATGATAGTGGTTTCTTATTAGGCTATTACAGCACTGTTGAATAATTGCGACAAATTTGAGAATTTGGCATGAGTTATATCGAGACATACATATATCTGGTACTGTAAACTACTCTCGCATTCTACAAAAACAGGTTTACCGACTTTGCCAAAGCTGGTGGAAAGGCTGTCACTTTAGGCGTTCTAGACATGGTCGTTGTCAAAAGAACATGTTTCATACAGAGGGGATTTCGCTATTTGAGATCTCGAACTTATAGCCTCAAAAGAATATAGAATAATAGCATTTGTTCATAATAGATAATCATTATCACTTCCTGATGCTGATTTATTTTTTAATGCTTTCGATTGCACGCTCTAAAACTGTTTATGCGTGAAAGGCGTCCATGATCTGTGGCACCTGGAAAAAAACAGGTGCATGTGAAGTATAACTAACCAAGCGACGTAATACGATCCACTCCAGCATTTGCATAGTATACGTGGCAATACTACCACATTTCATCGCCAGCAAGTTACACATTGTCCTAAGCTCCCTGTGCAACTACAGTGGTGGCACACACAGCGCAGGCAGCATTACTAACCGAGCACTTTTATCCGTTCGATGTGGCACCGTATGCAGAGTATGAAAACTAGTTCTTCTGAGACCAAGATGCACAGTTTAGTAAATACTCATCAACCAGCCCAACTTTGTTGCTTTGCATCGAGCCATACTTGATCAAGAATCTTTGTGTTGCCCGAAGCAGAAAGAATAAAATAAAGAGTCAACATAATTCTTTTTTTAATGCAGCAGCAAGATCATATGCATTGTGACGATAAAACGTTATGTGTACATAGCCAGATAGTAGAACTGGCATGCATAAACAAAGAAAACAACGCTCAGTGCTCAAGTTGTCTGCATACAGTGCACATTTGCTGCATATGTTGAAAGTGATTGATGCTTTTTGGGAGGTGGCCCTTCCGTAACTGAATTTGACATACACAAGAATAAAGACGCCTCATCGGGTAAGACAGCGAGAATTTAAAAGCATTACAGATGGGAGACGCGCACGTTCCACCTATAACCTTCAAAAGTTAATATTAAACCACGGAAGTCGGAACGGAGAAGGAGAAGGAGCTCCGTTACAACGAAAGTAATGATGCTATACTATAGCAGCATTATGCTGACTATAAAATGGTGATGCATTCAATTAGAAAAAAGAAAGTTGTCGTTGTCATACCCAGATCTGAAAAAAGATGGGGTGACATTATAGCTTCAAACTAATAACGTACCATACTGGAACTATGGCTATCACGTTTTCTTTACGCCTTTTGTTTCCAGGTTCCCAGCGAATTCTGAAGGACGAAACAAAAAAAGCCCATTGCTTGGCTGTCGTTTTTTTTGTGGGGGAGGGGTGATAGAGGCAGCGTGCCTATTTGGGCTTATGGTATGTATGTAAAGTTGCACAAGTATGCGGTCATGCAGCACAAATTGTTTTACTAGAATGACCTTGGAAAAGGAGCAGTCAGTTCAAACTCAAAACAAAAAACAATTGGCACAAGTATCTCTGTTTGTTGCACAATAAGCAAAGCTCAAGAGATAAACGTAGCTTACAAATATACGTCGAAATAATAAAGTAAACTGCAAAGAGTCAAATACTGTAAGTATAAAAAGAGGTAGAGGGCTCATCCTTGTAATTGATACATCTAGCGGAAGAGAAAGCATATCGTTTGTTGTTTTGCAAAAGCAAGAGGAGAAAGAGAGTTGACAGTACATTGAGTTATTCATGCTGCGTGTCGTAAGATGTAATAATTGATAATCTCATATACCTGGCCCACCATCATCCAGTGTGCTGTGCATGAAAATGAAGGCAATTTACGCTCGTGTAGATACGCAATGTAGCCCACCTAGTGACAGTGCCACTTGGACTATCATGTCATACCCACAAGAACATAATGTGAATCATAAAGGTACCACACAGTACTTGTATTGCCACTGGTAGCTTACCATTATGTCGATGTGGCACCCTACTTCATTGAAGTCAATACTATAAAAATGCGCCGCACAATGTATGACAGCTGCAGTTGTATCGTGAATTGTGCGGTTTGAGATTAATGATGCCATAAAGGGAAGGGCTGTATCATGGGTTTGGGTGTATTCGCTCAACGCTTGTTACGGTGTGTTCGGAAGACTTGATCCGACGTGGCCGAAAGACAGGAGATGGGCGTAGCAATCACAACAAGAGATTGTTGCTGCATTCAACAATAACATATCCAATTATGTTGCACACATTACCATATCCAGAATTATGCATCATGTAGAAATGAAGTTTATTGTAGTGGTGTGTATGCTGTTGTTTTTACATATACAAAAGAGAAATTCTCTTTTAAGGTTGTTTTTTTTTGGGTTATGAAGTTGTAATGCGTATAAAGGACGAGTAAGAGTGTATATGTGTGATTTCAATATGGTAGAAGGGCAAAAAAAGTGGAAGAAAAATACAAAAAAAAAGGTTAGAGAAAGAATGTGTGTATGTGCGAGAAGGATGAAGAAGTAATAGTAGTCGTAAACGACGTTGATGCTAGATAGTGGGTGAGGGATAAGGGCGGGAAGAAGAGAGGAGAGAAAAATATGAATGTGGGTAAATGAAAGGAGCGAAAGCGTGTATATCCAATTCATGTATTATGGTTTCTTTCTTTCGCGAGTCCTGCTACAAGGCGAAACAATAAGAGGGTATGGTGGGATGGATATCTCTAAACCAAAGATGCGTATGAAGGGTAGCGAAAACAAAATGTACAAGAAATGTAATATGATGATGTTGATGATGATTATAAGATGGGTAGCAATGGTGTTAGTAGTAGACCCCCAAACGGCAATGCATGTGCACTAGATCTTTCCCCTTTCTTGGTAATAGTCTCACCGGGGAACTTTCACTCATACACACGCGACCAACGTGGGCGCGTCGGGTCGGTCAGTTTAGTGTAGATGGCGCTTGAGCAAGAAACGCCGCAGGCCTCCTTGTTGCTGATTGTTATTGGCCTGGTTGCTGCTGCTGCTAGAGCGTTTGTCCGTGGGGGACTTGAATGGCTTGGTAATTGACTTGAGTTTACCCATGACATTTGACCATCGCGACGAAGATGCAGCTGTGACAGATGAAGATGGTGAAGATACCAAAGTGGTGTTGGTTGTAGTGGAGCTGGTAGTAGATGTGGAATCATCGAAATGATGGTTGATTATCAGGGGCATGGGTGGCGCGGCTTGCGAGGACATGCTGTATGCAATGGAGCTTGCATCATCTTCAATGCTGCTGCAGTAAGGGAGAGATGCTACATCATTTTCATCGTGGTCATAATCCTCATCATCATCGATGAGATAGGCTGCACCACTGCTATTATAGCTGTTGTCGTTATTGCGGGTGCTGTTGGGAGTACGGGCCACAGGAAATTCCAAAGCGTCGTGCAAGATCTCGTCTTCCCATTTCCATTCCTTGCTGCTGCGTGCCGCCGTGCTCGGGTGGGCAAATCCGTTGTGCTGCATATCATTTTGAGTCAGTTCCAGAGCACCACGGAGCGCCGCACGGATCTCTTTGGGATCCTCCAAAGCGGGCGGGTGGGACGGTAATATTGCGTGCTGTTGCTTCGTTACTGCTGTTGTTGGCTGTTGCCGTTCTTTCTGCTGTGGTGGCAATGCTGCTGCTACGGCCTTTCGGATGCTTAGCAACAAGAGCATCTTATCTTGGCACAGTTGCAGCTTTGGATTATTGTGACCGTTGCTGTTGTATACGGTGAAGGATGGCATCTCATAAAATGCTTCCTTTTGTGGCACCGGGTCGAGTTTGCGGAGGTCTGTCAATGAATGAATCGGAACAAAAGTTTTTTCGAGTGCTGTGCTGTAGTAGTCATGGAGGGACCAATCGACCGGGTCGGGTAGCTTAGATGAGGCATTGACGGACAGCTTGGGCTCGTTTGAATCGGATGGAAATACAATATCGCTTGCAAGAAAATCAAGGGACGTCATGAGGAAGTAACAATAGTATGAAGATGTAGTGCTGTGGGGTATTTTAGTTTAAAGAAGAAGAAGAAGTAGTAGAAAACAAGTGAAGATTAATCCAAGTGAAAGAACAAAGAAAAGAAAATTGAACTAGCGGGTTTCTCCTTTATAGCAAGAAACAACAAAAGTAGTTGAAACAAAGGGGAGAAAGGGATTGCATTAAAGAAAGTAAAGGTGGGACGGGCTGTGGAAGTATGCGTCTTATATATATAACCCCACGCACTCACACACACATACACGCACTCACAGCCATTACAGATCGTCGGGTTTACCAGCAAGCCTGTGAGGGAAGCGTGTCTCCCCTTGTGTTGCCACATTTTTTCAACCTTGTCCACATTCAAGAGCCGACCCCTTCCGAAAATGATACTTTTATTGTCTCTGATATCCGCATGACTCGTGTGCTACCAGCGTGCTCCTCGGCCTGCCAGCCCGAACGCAAAAAGTGCTTCAGGCCACGGTACCAGCCATCGACGCCCACACGGCGCAATAAACATAACAAACAGAATTTTATTTGGATTTCTATTGTGGATGCTATGAATGAAACCATTGGCGTTCTTTGCGGCACTTTTTTAGATGTGCTGATGATGGGATTTACTACTGTTAGCCTTTATACAAGATCATCCAAGATACAAGATCATCCAAGAAAAATAAAGAAAACGCGCGCCATCACGACGACTACAAATACGACAAGGATGCCGAGCAGCTCGTATCCCCTCACACCTTTGTTGCTACTGTTGCTGTTTTACATTGTGCTTAAAAAGCATCCTACTACAGGATCTTCAATAACGTTGGTGGCTCGTCAGGACAGCATGTGGACGGACATAGAAAGTTTCACTGAATTTCAATATGGTGAGGGGTATATATTAGAGCAAGCTACAGTGATGGGTGTACGAGAACCTTATCTCTAACTATTTTTTACTGTGCATGTGTGTGTTTTATGCCTCTCATTCTCCCCCAACTGTAAAACGTTCACAGGATAAATGTTATCTGACAAGCTTTTAACTCACCAAGTTTGTTTATGCATGAATGTCATATCTCTTGCACAATATCATTGATACATGAAGCAGGCATATTTTCTGCACCTCGAGCCCAGTCGCGTATGAGACGAGCATATATAACTCTGTAACAGTTGAGCTGTCATCCGTAGCGGTGATGATTGTTTTAATCTAACCCAGCAGTGATGTTATTTAGTGTTAAGCAGACGTGGCTAGAATATTCCATTCTCCACATTGGTGTCCCTCGGTGGTCCCACAAATAGCACCCAGTGATACTATCAACAATCGCTCGTAATACATACATTGGATTGTGCAGTGATGAGATGCTACTCTTCACTAATATCATAGTTAAGCATTGCGTAGTGATGATGATGGTGATGATAGTGGCGATCTTTAACAAAATAGGCAGGTTCAAGCTTGAGATGAGAAACCCGAAGGAAGGGAAGGGCGTGGGTAATAGTGATAGCAGCTATCTCGGCTAGTAGGTACTCATGTTGTAGTGCTGCAAGTCACTACTAGGCTGTGCTCTCCTAGAATACGAGTAATAATGTTGATGTGATGATGAGAGTATAAAAACTTGGTCTTTTTTAAAAGTCGAGGTGTAACCATTGTGGAAAGGATCGACATCGTGAGGCTGTCATCCTTGATTGCTACGGTTACACGTTATATCCAAGTTGTTGTCGTCGTTGTTGCTGCAACTTGTCTAAGCACTGTTTTTCCTTCCACTTACAGCCATTTCTTTAGTGCTGCTGCTGCTGCTTCGACTCTCGTATGATATTACATTTACACATGCAACGCTATCTCCCACTCGGGGGATGAAAATCATGCGAGATACCTCTTATATGCACGACTTGCCTGCTTCTACCAGTACATGGAGGTCACAAGTTGCAAAGCAAGAGTGCTTCAGAAAAATCACGTTCTTGTTGCAAGAAGCAAATTTGAAGAAGCAGTGATCATGTGCACAGAGAAGATGAGCGGCGGAGGTGATTAATGAGGAATGAAGTGCTTTGGGACATTTCACAGAAAAAAGAGAATGCACTAACAGCACCACATTTTCTTAGGAAGGAAATTAGGCTATTGTGCTTACATTGTACTCTGCTCCAAAAACCTTCCATTCTCTCTTTTTCGCACGGCACGAGATATCACTGGGAGTAGTAATAGACCTCACAGACAATCATGATACCATTTTTTAATTAAAAGAAATAGGGTGGCGATGCGAGTTCGATATTGTGTTAGACCATCACACTACATGTAACAGCAACATGGCCTCAATATCCCGGAAGTGCAAACATGGAGGTTAAATGGTGATTTCACATGGTGTATAATAGACACAGGAGGGAAACATATGATGAAATTGCATAATGTGCATCATACAAATAGAGAGTCTCCTCAATCAACACCATCATACTTGATTGTTTGTCTAGAACATATAGCAAAACATATGGAAAATGTATGGCGATGTTAGTAAGAGAACATGCATTCTCTTCATTGCACGTCAGTTGTTAATTGTGCTGCAGCCACTGGGCAATATTTTGCATGTAAAATTATTACGTACTAAAATGTGGAATACCGTAAACAATCTGAAATTTTTTCTTTCTCACCTCACTAAGAAAGAGGTACCCATATTTGCAAAACGTTAAGGATAATACTAAAGCTACAGTGGCTTTAGCGCATGAAAACCTATATTTCCTTTTTTTACAATGAATGAGAAATTGTACGACCCGCTTCGAAAATCTTATATTACACTATGTGTCATAAATACTGCTGCGTGGTAAAGACATACCACTGCTGATTGATCGAGGGGTTGTTCTACTTTTTCGTTGCTATTCAATGTCTATTACAAAAGTATATCATATTATGTGCATAATATACTAGTGAGTGGTAGTAATCGTGACGGCAATGCTTTCCAACTCGATGGAATGGCTATTTCTTTCGTACAGCGTATATAGCATGATGTTTATAAAAACTGCTTTAAATTACATCAATAGCTCGTATAACATCATCCTAATGTACAATTTGATGAGACAATACAACGTACGACCATTCTCACCAAAACACTGGAAAATTTGTACAACCCATGTTGTTGTACAACAGAAACAGGTATTATTGGGCACACAGACAGAGGACGAACCACCGTGCATGGATCATATCTCATCAGCAGGTTGTTGGTTATCGTCGGCAGAGAAGATTATTTAATATAATAAAGTCTGCTTGTTTGAACCGGTACTTTCCTTAATCTCGTCTCTTTGATCAGTAATGTACTTGCGCTCATAAGACATACTTGAATAACGAGTTAGAAAAAGTGTGTGTTTTAGGAAAGTGGTGTAAAATAACAGGAAAAATGGGTCTCTATAAACTCTTTTGGTTCCATATGGTTACGCAAAAACACACATGTAACAAGGTTTGGGTTTCTTAAAAGAAGACTAGCGCAGAATAAGAACGATCTTTTTATTTGTCTATCCTTGTTTGCTTCGTTACCTACAATTGGCATTATATAAGTATGCTTATCATTATTACGCAATTGTCATGTACTAATTAACTGTGAAAAAATAGGCTAAGAGTAAAAGGTGCACAGACGTTTCTCGTCGTGATCAATTTTCTAAAATGTCCCCCTTTTCTTAGCAAAGACTATTGTACGTTTAGAGCATCTCCAACGGTCGTTCTAAAATTTTTCTAAAATGGAACGCCGCTATCCTAGCAGGACCATAGAATTGGCATGGTTTTTCCAACGGTCGCGCTATTCTAAAACTGGCTATTGAATTTACTGCTCTGCTCTTTCTACTTCAACCACTCATTTCACAATGTCAAGCCAAAATATTCGCAACCTAAAACAAATGTTCGATGAAGACATCGAGGAAGAACGCCAACGTCAGCGCAGAGTTGAGCGTCTTCAGAGAATCTTTGCAGCTGATGACCAAGACGACGATCAAGTGAGAAAACCCAGAAAAGGCTCTGTTCCTGGTCATCTCGTCATTAACCGCGATCGCGTTGGAGGTCATTGGCGTTTATACAATGACTATTTTGGCGACAATCCTGTTTACCCGGAGTACAAGTTCCGTACTCGTTTTCGCATGAGTCGTCGGCTTTTCGAACGGATCGTAAGCGAATTGGAGCAGAAAGATGCCTTCTTTCCGCAGAAGTACGACGCGGCTCATACGCCTGGATTGACACCGCTGCAGAAAGCGACGGCAGCAATTCGCCAACTGGCATATGGCGTATCTGCCGATGCGACCGACGAATATGTTCGCCTAGGTGCAAGCACTGCTCTTGAGTGCTTAAAGCGCTTCTGCTTGGCAATCAGCCGCATCTTTGGTGACGAATACCTGCGCTCACCAAACGAGGATGATATCAAGCGGCTTCTTGATATGGCGGAAAAACGCGGATTCCCTGGCATGCTCGGTTCCTTGGACTGCATGCATTGGGAATGGAAGAACTGTCCTGCCGGATGGAAAGGACAATATCAAGGCAAAGAGAAGAAAGCTACAGTAATCCTTGAGGCTGTAGCAGACTTCGAAACATGGATCTGGCACGCGTTCTTCGGTCTCCCGGGTACGCTGAATGACATCAATGTCTTGCAGCGTTCCCCCATCTTCGATGATCTGGCGTCTGATGTTACGTCGCCCGTCAACTTTTCTGTAAATGGCCACAACTACACCAAAGGCTATTATTTAGTTGATGGTATTTACCCGCCGTGGGCTACGTTTATGGATTCAATCACGCATCCGATTGAGAAGAAAAAAAAGGTAAATTTTAACAATGCATATGGAGAGCAGCAACTCTAACTACTTATATAGTTGTTTGCCTGTATGCAAGAAGCGTACCGTAAGGATGTCGAGCGTGCCTTTGGGATCTTGCAAAGTAGATTTGCTGTGATTCGACACCCAGCAAGACTATGGCAACCCGACGATCTGTCAATGGTTATGCGCGCATGCATAATCTTGCATAACATGATTGTTGAAGATCAGCGCTGCAATCCAGGAGAGGATGTTGCTGATGACAACGAAGCCGAAGTATTGCGAAGTGTTGGATCGGCGCCCATTTTGACAGTTCGCAGGGATCCAAACACCATGAGCGAATACTTAAATCGCTATGATGAGATCAAGGATGTTGCGGTCCACGATCAACTGAAGAACGACCTCGTTGAGCATTTGTGGCAGCACCAAGGCAATATGATCTAGTAAAACACAAAAGATATTTTTTATTTATTGTTTTCTATTACTCGTCAACTTCGTCGTCGGTAGTCTGTTGAACTTCTACGTCCTGGACAATGGCTTTTGCGATTCTGGCCTTTGCATTGGCCAAAGCCTCGCCTTTTCTCAGCGTCCAATACTCGAGTTCAGCTCCTGAGTATCTGTCGAGCTGTTCTCGCATCACTTCATCGTCGTTCATTTTCTCCTGGAGCTCGATGCGCCTGCGGCTGTTCTGGACATGCTCCTCTTCAGCCTTCGCCAATCGAGCGCGATCATCGTCCAATTTACGCTTGCGCGTTCCATCCTCCTTCTCTTGCTCCTTGGCTTTCTTGCGACCGATTGGGCGCTTCACATACTCAGGTGCGCTTTGATTTGTCACATTGACATACTTGTTACTGAACTTTGGTTGCTCATGAAGCTCATTGTAACAGTGTTGAAACTTCCAAGCAGATTTCGCAGCTTTCTTATACAGCGTTACTGCGTAGTCTTTCTTCACTCCCATATATTCATCAGTACTGGTATCGTATCGTTTATGAAAACTAACATCGCCTAACCTCATTTTCTTCGTTGTTTCCGCTTTTATTTCGCGCAAGAGCTTTTGCAAGACAACCGCAGTATCTAGACACCTCTCTTTGGATGGTACCCCAGCGGCCCGAGAGGGCTCCCTGGCCAGTTCGTACATCCTTATCTCCCCCTCTTTGAAGAAAATCTTTGTAGATAGTCTCCCACAATATTTGGAGGGGAACATCGGTGCCCTTTGACGAACGAGTGGAGGTGGCAAGCCAGGATTGACACAACCACACATCCTCTTCATTGCTCCAGCTCGGACCGCGATTGCCAGCTTTTGCTGCTGCTGCTGTCGACGATTCTGCGACAACTTCGGGAACGGTGGTCGATTCGACACGAGATTCGACATTAGTGATGGGGATCGGGGCAGAAGAACTGGAAGACATTGTTGTTGGAAAAGGAAGTGATTTATAAAGAAGAGAGAGCTTTATTTTACTGCGTACAACAACGCGATTTTATTTTAGAAAACTTGCCCTAATTTTGGGACGCCTATTCTAAAAAATTTGACGCTTTTCTAAAATAGAATAGAAATAGGACGACCGTTGGAACTCGAAATTTTCTATTTCGGAATCCTAAAATAGAATTTAGAACGACCGTTGGAGATGCTCTTACTAAAGTAGATGTGCTATTATACATTTAGATATTCGGTAAAACGAAAGTGAGCGTGTGATCTATAGTAAAAAAAACTAATACAGTGTTGCAATCACACTATCTGAATAAGTACATTTGCAGACAAGAACAACAACAAATATTGATGATACACACCACGTTTTTACCCCGAGAAAATGTCTCATATATAAAGCTATGATACCTAATAAGAAAAGCATGAATTGAACATCTCGTGGGTGGATAAATGATGATGCTAATGGATCAAGAAGAGCTCATTTGGTGTTCAATCACTTGTCAGATGACTGCAGAAGATTATTATACTCAATGAGAACCATATACGTTAGGTTTTGTATAGCAGCAGTGCAGCATACAAAGGTACTAGTATTAGTGAGTAGAGCAGTTTTAGCAAAAGTTGTATACTTATGTATGGGTATCTATACTACATCATTCTGTTGGATTTGTAGGATGCATATGCAGTGTTCTGGATAGTCGGCTGAACGCCACTTACTTGTTCAATGGGTATAATAGTAAGTACATAACGTGTTTGTTCAAATGAAAGAAATTTTAGGCAAGGATAATCGGTTGAAAATAAGAATCTAGGCTAAGGAAACAAAATACTTGCGCTCCCTCAGAATGCATTCGTTAGCGTGTCGTCATGTTGCAGCGTACCATGTCATGGCAACTATTCGTAGCACACAACACGATCTTCAAATCATGTAAGCTTCGGAAATACAGGGTACGTTAACTGCATTAATGCTGTTTAGTGTTCATTAAATAAAAGAAAAGGTTAAAACAAATATACACAAATAGGAGAGTCGATTGTCAACGACTTTTACAATGGTCGCCACGAAAATACGGAGTTAGGAGTAACGGTGCTTTGGCAGATGATGCTGTTAAAACTATTGTTCATTATATTAGCAACGTCAACAGTCATCATGGCAGTGATATGTGGCATATGTACTGCGGCTGCAAAAGAGTCATGCTATACATTAAAGTTTAATATGGGCATTACATATAATTTGTATCTCTGTTGTCATGATAAAAAGGCGACCATGAGCTTAATCATATTGCCCCACTAATACTTTGCGTTCAACGGACAGCCAGATTAATATATGCAATGCATAGCTAATAAATAAATTGAACGACCCTTGACTCACTTTACTTCCTACACCACGTGCTCCTGATGACCCTGGCTGGGTCGAAGGGCGGGTCTTCACTTTGTTCAAAAGCCTAAACTGCAACTTCTGGAATAGGTATTGCTTACATACTATTGAAATTATCAAGTGAGTTTAGCTTCATATCGTGGTGTGGTGCTAATAGCTGTCGCTGCAAAGACTATGATCAGCAGGTATACAGTGTATAGTACATGCGTATTAGCTAGAATCTAAATATACCGCCATATCGCATACATAGTACATACAACACTAAGAGTATCTTCTATCATTGACAAAAGATACGCGTATTTTTATGAGTCTACATAATCCATTTCCATAACATAAGTCTGATATTAACTACTACATATCATCAGGACGTACACATAATATGTACATCATGCTTATGTGGCGCTCAAGGTGTGCATATAGAAAGGGCGAGAAGAAGAGTGCTGCTGCTATGTCTGGTCGCGAAATCAGCAAATTGTTAATTGTCTTAACACGGCAGATGACCACACTGGACAGAACAGGCAGGGCTTCTTTCGCGCGATATTCCGCTCCTTCAAAGAGACTCCTGTCGTAAGGTTGTTGTATACCATACAAAGCCTTACACCGGCAGTCTATTCTCATACCGTTGACGACCTGCTATGCTACTGCTTTCCATCTTGCATTCTTCCCTTCGATCATTCACCAAGAATGCTGGCTCACGCTCATACTCTCAGGAATGCTACTGGCCAGCCTCTTTTCCATCAATTACTGTACTACACTAGCAATGATCCTAAAATTTAATATGACATATAGCACGTTATTCTCTAAGACATGTAGCCTTTCTTACTGGTGATTTATGCATAGTAGTAGCGAAAAGGACGTTTTTTCAAATCATCAGCAGCGAGCCTTTTGGAATGAAATGAAATCTATAACGCTTACATCACCGCCTAGCTACATCCATTGCACCCGGCAGAAACTCAACTCAGGCGCATTTTACATAAATTTACTGTTCATATCATATGAAGCTTTATTTGGGTGTCCTATTGCTGGTGTAGAATGATAAGAAAACAATGAAGGTCTTTCCGTATGCTGGCTCTATAGAGCATTTGAGCGTGTACTGTAGGTGTGGCACAAGCAGAACAATCAGTATCAACCAGAATCCTTTTTTGGAGGTTGTGCGCTTGCAAATGTCAGTCGATCCGCACCGCTCTTGTTTAGACCTTTTGGATTTCGTATTTCAACCTGTATTACGATGAGGGCTATCGTAGTCAAGCGTTACACAGCTCGATACACTAGCACGGTCGCCACTTGAGAGGAATTATCAGCAGAAGCACCGTGATATACTACATATGTTAGTTTTTACCACAGATAGTCGTCTAAGCTACCGGTAATTAAGCTACCGAAATAAAAACGCTTTCTACTACTTTATGTCATGGTATGATATTGCACTCCACATTTTGCTCGTATTTAATACGACTTGATTATATCAAGAGCAATAACACCGTATCTATGATATACACCAAAAGTACCAGGTAGATAACTGATAAAGAAGGGGAATACTACTACAATATCTATGATACCGCAAATACATTTGAATTTTTTTTTCTGTTGAGCTTGTCATGGTTCCGTTCTTCAATTTCGTCCTCCTTGCTTGTGTTGGTCAGTTAGACCCAGCAAAGAAAACACATGTGTTGCATTGAAAATGAAGAAGCATTTTCCCTACGTAAGTAACAAAGCTATTGTGTCACATAGCCCGAGATATGTTCTTATTAGCTGACGTACGGTTGTTTAACCATAAAAAATGGCGTTTCCAAGCTCCTCTCTTCCCTGCTCGTCTAATTACGCTTTTTTAATCTGCGACTAACGCTGAACAATCTCGCGAGTTGCCAAAGCCCATAAAAAAAAGCCCAAAACCCTATTAAAATACTACGGGCGATGACAACAATAGCAACGACAATAAATTTACGCGGGTCGGGTTTTACAAAATTGAGAGTAAAACAGTATTAGGATTAGTGTTGTTGCGTATATTGGTCAATTGACAACCACCATGACAGTTGCCGAAAATGGGCAGTGACAAATCTGAGTAACGTTGCAAGATCAGCATTTTGTGATACTTAGAGAATTATGTATGCGAAAGCGCTTCCATTCCGCTTGCTTTCTCTCACTTGGCCTTGTTCTAAAGCACATGAGCTGGTTGTATGATTTGAAGATAAGAAACTATAAAAGTAGATGGATACTTTAAAGTACAGCCGTTCATAACAGATGGAAGAAGCTCCAAACGCGCGTAGATATACGCGTAAACGTGTGCGCAAACGGCAGAGAAAAAGAGAGAATGACTAAAAAAAGAACCTAGTACCAGTCAAAACTTTGATTTTTTTTTTCTACATCAACCAATGACCTAACTCATTATCTTTAGGGATTGCACAACAACGGCCTTTGCTTCTGTGTCTGTGTGGTAGTCGTATATGAAAGCAATGTCATGGAAAGGACCGTTGTTCTCGAAAGCGATCTTGTACGCCCTCTTCTATTAAAAGAACTTAATGCCGACCTGCTGCTTGCGCGTTTATTCATTTGGCGGGACAAAAAACGTCTGTGCTTTTTACCATATGCGACAACGTACCTCGGTTCTGGGGCAAGCTATCGTCCACGAGGTGGACGAATAAGAATCGTACGACTGAGAGCCAACAACAGGTTTTATAGTAATAATAAACGGCTTTCAAACTTGTCATAGTAGCCGTTCTATCACACACACATTCTCTCTCATTATACTGTGTTCTCTCTCTCTGGAGTATTGTTACTCCAATCTTCACTCTCTCTCTCCTTCTCTCTTACCTATCAACATACTCCCCCCAAAAAACCTCTTTGCTGACCTACCATTACGTATGCTTCATGAATGGCCAATTACCGCTTTTGGACAGCAAGACGTATCCGTACCCATTATGCGAGAAGGCCGTGGTAAAGGACTTTAATATAAAAAGGACCAAGGGGAAAAACCGACAAACTGGGATAAAGGGGGACCTGTTTGACATTACTGTTGTAATCTTCTTCATATAACTTGTTGCTTATATTAAACGCTCTATTTTCTGTTTTCAATATCACTCCCCAAATGTGATATAAGGCCAACGAAAAACAGGACGACAACGACAACGACAACCGCCACCATCACCATCACCATCGACAGTAGAAGAAGAAGAAAACAATGACAGATACAACAGCAACATCTACTACCATTACTACTCCTACTACTACTACTACAACTACTACCACCACCCGACCATTGTCAGCAACACTGGTGGTCCAGGTAGATCCCTGTCGTCGTACTTACACCAGTGACGATAATTATGCAAATATGCCAGCCGTATGTGAATGCGGTCGTACACTGATGGCTGGATGGCAATGCAACTTTTGTCGCAAAAACTGTCTTTATTGCCACCGCGCGCTTACAACCGATCCTCAAGATTACTGCGATCGGTGTTTCTGTCTTTGTAACGTGCATGGCCTTTACCATCATTACAATGTCAAGACCGGTTACCGACTTGTTCAGTGTCCTTCCTGTCAACAACAACAACAACAACAACAACAACAACAATCCCGATAAATTTCTGTAACCTTAACACGCACCCCAACATCTTTCTTACATACCTCTCCTTTGAACTGTACCTATTTATTATATATGCATGTGTTTTTTAGCCTTTGTTTTGTTCATTCGTTCGTATTGCTCTTTTACATCAATTTCATTGTTCATTGTTCCTCATTCTCGTTCGTCAACTTCCTTTTTCTTTTCCTATCTGTTTTTCTTCATATCTTGTTATTACAGTATTTACAAATATAACTCAAATCAGAATATTAAAAGCCAGTAAAACCATGCACTGTTGTGAATTTGTTAAAAATTACCCTAGAGGGAGAAAAGAATTATATGCAGAAGCGTTATGTACACTAAGCGTAATATTAAAGAGCGAGCTAGGCCAATATGTTGTGTGTGTAGAGGATGGAACGGGACGGAGGAGTTTAAGAGAAAGGGTATGTGTTTAGTTTCGTTGATTCAACTTGGCTTCAAGAGCAGTTATACGCTCCATTAATGGTTTGGCAGTCTGATCAGCAGTGTCCTTGACCAACGCCTGGATCGCCTGCATCATGGCTGGTGAGATGATCCGAGGCACCTGGCTATTGCTTGTCAGGTCAATCGGCACAGCCTGCGCTGCCCGCACTGGGTCCACCAGATGCGCAATGAACTCCTCATGGCTACGCAAGATCAGCTCGATATTTGCCATGATTTCCTGCAACCGTGTCGGGAATTTTGGATTGAGCACCGTCGTTCGGAATCCGTCAAGGTATTCCGTCAAACTTGTCTGCTTTTCTTCCAAAGTCTTGATCTTATCATACAGTTCTGCGTTCTGGGCAGCAACATCGTCAGCTTCGCCGTCATCCCTACTTGCTTCTAAACGTCGTCGCTTCATTTGTCTGTCCGTGTCGGCGACATCTTGATCACTGTTGGCTGTCTTTCGTCGCTGTTGCTGTTGTTCCTGCTGGGAATCGCCGAGTCGTGCAAGCTGGGCTTCGTCAACCTGATACCAGCTCTCGGCCATTTCCAGCTGACTGTTTGTCAGGGCAAGATCCCGCGCAATGTCTTGTACACTTCTGCTGACAGCCGCCAAATGGGTTTGTTGTTGTTCTGGTTGTGATGCCTTATCCGTAATGTGTTCCAGTTGCTTTTGGATTGAATCGATCTTGCGATTAAGCTGTCCCAAGTCATTCCGCAAGTGTTGTACAACGCTCATGTCCACCTTTGACGCTGCTGCTGTTGCTGCCGCTGCTATCATTGTATTATTTGATGCCGCATTTTTACTGATCTTGCCTTCCATCTCCTTGATCTTAGACCCCAGCATGATCCACTCATCCAATCCATTCAACTGTTTTCGTAACTCGTCCTTGTTGTTTGCAAACTTTTGAATTTCGGATCGCACCAGTTCTGCATGTTTTGCTTGGGTATCTTTTGGTGATGCTTCTGTCGAGGATTGTTGTTGTTGTTGCTTTTGTACCAGGTTATGGTTTTGTTCGATCAACTGCAAGACTGAAGTTTTGATGTCCTCTAAATCGTCCGGTCGAAACTGCTTCCTGACAAGTTCACCAACATCTTTTGCCACTTCAGCACGCAGTTCGTTTTTGTACTTTGCACTTGAAAGTCCATGAAACCTGTCACGAAGTTCGCTGAATGCCTGTTTGTTCTGTCCCCGCAGCGTCTCGATTTGATCATTGACGAGCCTTGTGAGCTCTGTTCGCGTCTCTCTGCATATGTCTGAGATCTGCTTGTTTCCGCTTTCAATATTCAGTTTGGTACGATCTAATTTAGAGATCTCTTCGTTGATTTCGTTTTGGACTTTCTTGATATGATTGTCAACTTCTAGAAGGCCCTTGCGCATGTCATTCTCGAGACTTCGGTCGCAATCGTTTGCGGATCGTTTGCAGATGTCGCGGATTGCATCCTGGAGCCACTTTACCATAGATTGCTCGACAATTTTTTGTCTAACAAACAACCTTTCGTTAGAAATCTCAAACTGTGTCGAAGAGGCCTTATCACTTACTTGCTTTCCGCAACCTTGATCTGTTCATCAAGCTTTCTAATTTCACCAGCTATGTTTTAATGAAAAACGAACAAACACTTTTTAGACATTGGTGAAAAAAGTGAGGTCGACACCTGATCTTTTTAAACATACATAGTTTGTCAAAGCTTTCATTCGCTGGCAAGACAGACGTGGGTGTTGATAATGAATGCAGAATGCCTTCTAGTGTCTTTTTCTTTTCTGTTTTCGCAACGATGTCTTTATGATAATTGGCAACAGCGTGCAAGGATCTATTTTCGACGTCAATGAATCAGCTCGTCTCCTTTTTGTTGACATGAGATCGTAAAAAACGATAGCTGGTGGTAGTAATGGTTTTTTTTTGGTATTTTACCGAATCGCATTTCCAATTCGATTTTCGCTACTCGTGCTCGAGCTGGAACCTGAGCCTGACATTGTTAGTGTAGTCGATTTATTATTAAAAATCCAAAAGAAAACAGAGAAAGCGAGCGCTTGGTAAACTCGCGCTCACGCGTTTTGAAAATTTCTGCTTTTGGTTCCAGCATAAGAATCAAATGTTGCTGCTGGCGCTGTAAGCATGACAAGGAACTAATCTTGCTTGGACTATCGTTGTCACGAACAGAACAATAGTGCACAAGCCGAAAGCTAGAAAGCAAATGCGCAAAGTGAAAAGCATATGTGTTTGTAGATAACCGAAATGCACTGCTAAATTAAATCAGTAATTATCTGTAGTCGTCAGTCGTACAATGTGATGGAACATGTAACTGAGGCTAGGGCTCATTACCAGCAAGAAAAGAGTGTGGGCAATTTGGACAGCGCAAGAGCGACCTAGAATACATGGGCTGATACAGCAAGCAACTTTCATTGCATAATCCGCACGCTCTCCTTTTTCCTTTTCAGCCGCAGTGTCTACTGATTATGTTATATGTTTGGAACAAAGAATGTTTGTGGTGTCGTTGAAGATATAAATGCATTCAATGCTACACCAATAAAAGAAGTATAAATATGCGGCAGTTGGTGTGTACATGCAGCCACAGCCTGTGTTCCACTTGTAGAAAACTGGTCCCTTTTTCTCATCGAATCGTTGAGCATTCCTTGCTGATGATCCGTATTACTTTGTCGAACTATCCATGTCTTTTAGGTTGAATTAAAAAGATAAGGCTCGTGGGGTTTGAAGGTATGGGGAGATAATCAGGAGGAAGAGGAGGTTGATAGTGTGAACAGACTGTTATTGCTGCCTTCGGATCCCCTTGCTCTTCTGTGTGCCATGTAATATCACATATCTTAAGTATGTGCCTTTACTTTAAATTAGGCCATTCAAATTGAAAACCAAAATTGCCCCACTTCCTTTAAAGGAAGAACGCTCGTGTTCTGAGACCTTTCTTAAAAAAACACACAGCAATTACTGCAACCCATTGTATAACATATCCATTCCTTTCTCTCTCTCTCTCTCCCTCGGATCCTCACTCTCGTTTCCTTCCTTCCTTCCTTCTTTCTTTCTTTCTCGCTCGATCCGACGCCTATTCTTTGCCTTCTTCTGTTTTACTAGAATCCTACGGCTGAAATAAAAAACATAAGCACTGTTGCTGGCAACAAACAACTCAATGACGGTGAATTCAACATCTGCACTTGTTGTCGAATGGTCTCATGCAGTGCAACAAGTCGACCTTTACCGGGTCCAACAGCTTCTCGACACGAATCCTGATCTGCTATGGACACCGCTAACTTGGGATCCCGAACGGGACGCATCGCATGTAATCACCCAACTCGTTGTCGTTCAGAATCTCGGCCCATCGCTTGAGAATCTATGTGCCATTCCGTATACGCTTATTCAGTATTGTGAACCAAGCCCTGGAGAAGTTCCCTCGGTCGCTCAGGTACAAACTGAAGATCTTTTGTACTTTTTAATTGATGTAAGTAACTTATCTCTATAGTGCATTCTCCCCGTATTTTTATGTATAAATGCACGCGTCGTGTCCATTAGCACACGATAGCAGGCTCATACATACTGAAAATCGGTTACATTTCCTGATTTGTTGATGATAGCAATCAAGTATCCATGATTTCAATCGCTGCATGTGGGGGAACTGCAAAAACACAACACTGCACCTCGTTAGTTTCCTCGGTCATACACAAGTTGCACGACGCTTAGTTGTCGATAAAGGTGTACCCATGGACATACCTAACGATTTCGGTTGCATTCCGCGCGATGTGGCGCAAATCGACACCATGGTTCATCTTTTGGGCGGATCGAACCATCAGCAACAACAACAGCGTGATGAAAAAAAACAGCAGCGACATATGTTAAACGACGAAAAGGCGAAACCAAAATATGCTTCAGCCGATCGTTTTAAACAGCTCAAGGAGTTGGCTGAAACAAGTGCAAGCAAGAAAAATGCAAACAATTCGACGCGTCAAGCCGAAGGTCGGTACTTCCGTGCAGGCCATGTTGCTGAGAGCAAAAAGAAAGTATTGAACGACGAGGAGGCCGAATTGGAAAAGCAGCGTGCTCGAAGGAGGGCAGAAGTAGCACAATTAGCGAAACGATCCGCAGTCAAGAGCAATCCTTTGTTTCGAAAATTCGAGCAACAGCAAGGCGTCAGCAAACCCCGTCGAGCATTTGTTGTCAAGGACCAACAGCAACAGCAGCAAAGCGGCGGCGGGAACAATGGCGCTGATTCCTCGGCAACTACTATAACTAGTAGTACCGACACAGTTACAGCAGAACAAAGCCCCGCCGCTGATATGCAGAGACAGCCATCACAGGATGCTGATTCAACGGTGGCTTTGGAAGAAGAATTCGAAGAAGGAGACGAAACATCAGCGAGGCCGAAACGAAACTCCAAAGTGATTTCTTCTTTAAGGAACAAGACGTATGTTTCCGCAAGTGTGTTTCGACAAGGCGATGATACGTCACCGGGAGCTCGGATCAAACCATCACCGTCCGTATCATCCTGCTCCATGGGAAGAGCGAGCAGCAGCGATATGAGTACAGATGTTGATATTAAAATCAAAGAAACCAAGGATACCATCGTGATCCCAGAACCAGTCTCGCCGGTACAAGATCGTCGATCACTGACTATCAATGAAATACAGGTCACACAAGAACTGGAAGCAGAAAACTCGGATCGACGGCGACTTAGTGGCAGCCAGAAGGCCCATTGGTCTATCGCCTTGAACTCCTGGTCCTCAGTATTGGATGGTACGATTGAACGGAATGAGCCAGCAGCTTCTGAGACTTCCTTTGGCTCTGATTATCATGATAGCGACGATGGCGATGAATGGTTTGATAGTCAAGAAGACCATATCCAACATGTCCGAACCAAAAAATCCAAAGCAAGTATAAAATCAACCGCATCTGTTACCAAAGCAACCAACAACGCGTCTGTCCAGATGCCAAAAGCATATTATATCGGCAGTCTTCCCGACTTACCGTCAGAATCAACAGACGATCAGCTTGTAACAACTGACGCTAATCGTCAACAAGAACAAGAACAACAACAAAGATCTGCCTCTCCTCCGGCAGCATCGGCAGTAAAACACCACGACGATGTTGGCAGCACAGCAGTGCGAATTATATCACGAAGCCGAACTAATACCGACGCATCATCTTCACCAAGCGTGCTGACTGACAACAGCAGCACTAGCACTAGCACCAGCAGTTCCTCATCATCCTCTTCACCATCTACCGTTTCCCCTTCATCACCTGTCATCATGCCACCACTCGCCGTTATTCCAGAAAAGAATAGTAAAAATGACAATTCGCTATTGTTTGACAACAACACCAGTGACGATGGTAACGATCATAGCAATGATTTCAAGCCGAACTACGGCAGCGTTTCTGTTCGCTCCACCTCACGATACGTCCGACGCCTGTCGCAAGCACAAAATGCATATCTTAAGCAACAGCAACAGCAACAACAATTAGACCGGGAACGTAAAGATAGTGAAACAGTCACTTCCTTGCTACATCATAACAGCAGCTCACAACAGTTCAAGATTAAACGTGTACCTGTCAAACTTTCTCCATCACAGCAGCAACAACAACAACAACAACAGAAACAACAAGAGCGACAACCACCGCCAACAGGAAGTATAAGCGCCGTTAAAAAATTCCCGAGTCTTCAAGACTTACAATCCTCCTTACCAGTACACATAATGCAACGACAGCCTTCCTCTCGATACGGAAAGCTTTACTTTCGCGTTAGCAGTATTAGCAACGTTCTGCTACCTTTACCACGCGAACCTACCTATGTGCGCTGTGTTGTGAGCGATGATCGTTACGAGTACATGTCGCGATACGAAGTGCTGGGCCAATATGTCAAATTTGATTATGAATGCATTATGGATACATACCCAGATATGATCATCACTATATCACTCCATATCAGGCCCGATTATCATGTCCGTAACAAGATTCCGATCACTCGTCTATTTTCTACCTCGCGCAACCGTGGTAGAAAGGGTTCTTTGTCAGGCTATATTTTCCAAGAAGATGGATCCATTGGTCGTGCTCGCTTTGCCTTGCCTCATATGATCGATAGCTGCTACGAACGTCCTTACGCTACCCAATTCGATTGTTTCAATGCATGGTCTGCTCGGTATCATCATCACCATCATCATCACCATAAGTCACAAAAAAACCGTGGCAGAGAAGATGATCTTGAAGGGCTTAAAGTGATTGGTAATTTGGAGGTGGAAATGTTGTACTTGCCAGTATCGGATCCATCAGCGGTAAGGGATTTCCAAGATACAGCACATTTCTATACATACAAAAACTGCAGACTAATTGTTGTTGTTTTTAAGGTTGTTCCACGGAATCTGCGGGATTGTGATATGGCGATCAAAGTGCAACAATGGAACGAGACATTCTGGAACACGGAGCAATTATCCAACACGACCATCTCGGCATCTTCCCCTACCTCTCCATCTACTGCTACTAGCAACTCACAGCACTTCAATTCTTCAATTCTGAGAAGCTAGAAAAAATCCCAAACCCACATCCACACCCACATATATCGTTCTACTCCATATTCTATTTTCAATTTAGTATTCTCTCCATTTCCTGCAATCTTTGTTACGATAACGGTACTCATGGCTCCAGCCCGTACTTCCACTAGCTCCATCATCCTTCTCTTTTTTGTAAACCTTCCATCTTTTCTCTTAGTATATACGCTTCATTCTCTTCCATTCATATTCCCACCCGCCATAATCTTGACATGTCATTATATCTTCTTTGCATAACAACGATCAGATAGTTTGCGCTCTGATCCAGTGTATTTATCAATAGTTTGCGATGGCTGTATTTGTTGCTAACAGCTTGAACCTTGATCATGAGTATTTGAGCTTGAATAGATCATTTCATTACAAGTTCGTCGTCTAGCGAACTCAATGATTGGGTTTGAAAGAGTTTGTATCTACATATCATAGCACAGAAAAAGATAAGGAAATCATATAAAAAGGATTAATGATGATTAGGAGATACGGATATGTAGTAAATTACGCATTTGCCATATAATCAAAAAATTCTTATGTTGCTTGTTTCAAATGAAGGTGCTCGTACACCACATATGCCGCGGTCAGGGTGGAAAGGGGTGATTCTAAAGTGACATCATTTTTTTTGGTAAGCCTCGTTGTGCGTTATATACACTTTCGCCAATCCGCTACAATGTGAGACACTGTCTATACTGTAATATGCAGAAGCCGAAGAGTTTATAAAATGAGGTCCGACAGGAATACATCAGACATAGTCGACAAGGGAATGACTTTGCTGATTGTGCTGTTGTCAGCCTTTCTAAGAGCCTTTTGCACCGGAACGATGAAGTCATTATCATGGACTAGTTTTCGACCAAGCATTGATATTTTATTCTCATGATGGCCCTTTAAGATTCACATTTTTCAACGAGAATGCAAGGGCAGCTGTACATATTAAGCATACGATGATCAAAAGAGAAGCTTTCTGTAAAGCAGTGCTCAGGCTTTCTGCTACAATCTGCTGTATGTCAGGAGAAAGTGTGTCAACTTTTCGAATCGAGGTTCTAATAAACTCGGCAATCTTTCAGGAGGAAGACGAGCACATATTGTTATTAGTATTATTAAGTTTCGTATCCCGTGAAGAGTAAGAAGCGATCTTTTATGATATTTTCTACATTGCATTGGCAGTAGAATTGCACAGTACGAGTAATTACATTCTTACCTCTGCTGCATCCGGTCCCTGGATTCGATCTGTCAGCAGGTCTTTCAAGATACTCTGACTGATGCTGGATGCGAGAGCGACGCCCACTGTATACCCAATGTTGCGAAACAACATATACATTGTCATTGCAGGAGCAACCACTGTATTATAGCATATGATGAAAGAATGAGAAAGGTTTTCATCATAGTAAAGATGCAAGCAACACTACTAAACTTACTTTCGTCCGGCATTGTACTGGTCACGGCAACAAGCCAACCAACCGTTATGATACCCTGGGTAATGCCTTCCCAAACAAGATCCAGTGTTCCAACTGCAAGTGGGAGTGTGTTGCCCATCCAATAATAAAAAAGGATTACTGATCCAGTGTACATTATGCTGGTAGAAAACAGCAGCCAATAGAAACGTTTTGTGTAATGCATGCAGCGACCAGCAATGACGCATCCTATGGGCACAGAAAGTGATTCAAATAGAAGCCAACAACCAGCTTTCGTAGTGCTAAATTTCAGAACACCCTTCAAATTATAAAATCCGTTCAGAGATTGACTTCATATGTTTTGCTCAGTTGAAAACCCTTTGTATTACCATTAAAAATTGTGGTATGACAAAGCAGACCACACAAGTCTTCTTTTTCTTGCACCATATCATATTTGAATATGCTTACCGTTAATGCAGATGTAACATAGGACAAATAGGCGCTGACCTTTTCCTTAGGTACAACGTCGTTGATAATGATGTTTGCAAGTGTCAAAACTGTAGTGCCTCCAAAACCTGCGACTACTCGAAAAATAATGACTTGCCAAAAGCTTTACGAAAAGCCACAGCCTATTGAACCAAGCAGAAATAAAAGATTGATGCAGATCATCACAGGCTTGCGACCAAATACATCGGAAAGCCCACCAACTGTAAAGTGTTATCAATCAGAACAGCGGAAAACATCTTTACGTATCAGGTTACTGCTTCATGGTACCAAAACAACAACATACCTGATGCACTGGTCGTGAGAGAAGCAAGGCAATATGAGGTATGTAACCAAGGCGAAAGATTTGCACTAATTACGGAGGATACGCTTTTGGATACGCTTTTTTCAAAATGGATACGCTTTTGGATACGCTTTTTTCAAATGGATACGCTTTTGGATACGCTTTTTTCAAAATGGATACGCTTTTGGATACGCTTTTTTCAAATGGATACGCTTTTGGATACGCTTTTTTCAAAATGGATACGCTTTTTTGAAAATGGATACGCTTTTGGATACGCTTTTTTGAAAATGGATACGCTTTTGGATACGCTTTTTTCAAATGGATACGCTTTTGGATACGCTTTTTTCAAAATGGATACGCTTTTTTGAAAATGGATACGCTTTTGGATACGCTTTTTTGAAAATGGATACGCTTTTGGATACGCTTTTGGATACGCTTTTTTCAAAATGGATACGCTTTTGGATACGCTTTTTTCAAATGGATACGCTTTTTTCAAATGGATACGCTTTTTTCAAAATGGATACGCTTTTGGATACGCTTTTTTCAAAATGGATACGCTTTTGGATGGTATATCAAAAAAGCATCCATGTAATACTGCACTCGATAGCACATGTCATTGAAAGACTTCAAATCTTACTATGGTACATACCTCTGAAATTCTGTTCCAACTTGTGTCATGATTGTAAAGATTATAGACATATCCATGGCCGCAAGGAAGGCGCAGTGCACAGACTTTAGGTATTACATAAAAGGTACAAAGATTAGTACATGATTAAAAAGACGCTATAAAACTGCACTCATTTTTTCCCACGTACCATAGAGTTAATATAGCTAGTTTTAACTTTTCACCACATATTTTCTTATAGCCCTCCGTAGGTAGTCCTCTGTTATTATTTGCTGGTGATAAGGCTGTTTGACGATGAAGATTCTTGTATAGATCTTCGGTTACGTTTCGACCATTTCATTATCTTTGGTGACATCAATGAAAATTTTATCGTTCGGCGAAATTTGGCTTCTATTTTCCTCTGTCAACGAATACGATACTTAGCGAGATGAAAAACATGCAGGATAGGCACTTCAATATTAGTACATTGCCGTCACAACACAGGATATAACGGAAATAGCTCTATATAACTGCCGTACCTTCATACTCTCTATAGCCCATCGTATAATATTGCTTTTTACTTTGGTCGGTTGTATTATGTATTATCCACACCGCCCTTGCATGAAAGAATTGGAAAAAGAAAATTACGCTCCTCCGGAACTTCTACATCTTTTATTCTTATAAGCGACGGTAGTTGCATTTTGCAGATATCATAGATATGCATGCAACTCCTTTTTGGCGAGTATCATGCAGATCTGCATACATAGTTTTTGTTCGACAAAATGTCTCCAGACACAAGTTTTCTCCATTTAAAAGCACCACATTTACTGCGTTATCGTTAAATGATGGAATTTATTTTACTACTATAAACTTTGTGTATGTGGTTACCATGATGGTGGTTGCATCGGCATTGTCTGTGTGTATGTTGACACATTTTACCTGCTATACGATATGTTGCCGTTTACAATATCATGTACTATGGTCAGTTCGGACTCAAGGTACGGATCATGGAGCACAGGAACATAATGATCTTATCGTGCATATTTTCAAAATTCAGTAATGTACATAAAAGAATCTTAAGGGAACTCTATCATTATGATGAAATGTACTTCAGGCACTTAGTCATGCCCTCACTGATGATACACACTGGGTGGTAATGCTTAAAATTATACCCAGCTTATTCTGGAGTCCATCCCACATAAGTGGAACATTTGAAGAACAACTCACTTGACACCACGCCAGTGGCAAATATAATCATGTCAACCGCACAGATGACATTTCATTGAATGTACCTACTTTATACACCATATGCTACATAAATAGGACTCCAGCTAATTTGTATAGATCATGCAGAAATTTAGATATATACCTGCAAAATCCATTTAGCAAAGCTCTTGTCACTTTATAAATGGAAAATCTTGGAAAGTAAGCTATCAAGACCAATTTCTCACTACTATTACAACAGCCACAGAATGATTTAATCAACTAATTAACGACCATGTTGTCCCATCTGCAAGTTGCAGCTAGGATTAGTGTCAAATTGACCGTTTCATAGTAGTGTGATCTCACTATAGCACAACTTTTACCAGACGCTCGATGTCCGGTATACCTTACATGATTGATTCCTAAACAATAGGCCCAATCCTACTTCAGTTTCTCACGATATAAATAATACGTTTTTACTGCTTTCTCAGAATAACAGTAAGTGCCTTTATATATGACGCTACAATCATACACTTGGCACTGCTTTGATCAAGCTGAAAAATCCACGAAAACTGTTGCGCGAAACGATGTTATGCAACCATCGGAAACAATTAAGTTCGAAAACGTCTTGCACGATACGATGCATCCCAAATCATAGGGTCAAAAAAGCGATCCCATGCACATCGCCGTCCGATATCAAATGGTAGAAATAAGGATGCACTGACTGCTTTCTCACCCCCTCAAGGGTTGCCGCTGTGGTGCGCGACAAGCCAGTCGCCGCCACTTCCTAGACTGTCAGGTGGCTGGGCCTGTAATTCAACGCATGCAGGAAGCCTTTTCGGCACCAATATTATAGGATTAGCACCCCATCGACGCCATTATGAGCAGCTCAAGCAGCCTACGGTTTGGACATTGGAGCACGACCTTACTGCTGCTCGTAAACACATTAAGAGATATCGACATTTGCAGCCATCTCGGCGCAGACGTCGACACTGATTTAATTTACGGCTGGTCCTTAACCAGCTTTCATTATTGCCAGCATAACTAGGTAGCTAGCACCTCTACGCACTTACCTTCTCTTCTCCTATACATTACCTGTTGTCCCTGCCAAACTCACTGTATATATTCCCCTCCCCTTTTTTCTCTTTGTTATGTAATATCTGCGTCTTTTCTGCGCTCGCTTCGTTTTCCATTTAAACAATCGGATTTTTTCTTCCACTGGTGATTTTCCCGCTTGTTTCACTCTGCCCTTATATTTCCTTATATCATATCTACTTTACCATTGGAAAACGATGACCGGCAAACTGCCTAAAGGATGATGTTGTCACTAACGTTATCCTCGTCGAAAATGAATCTAAAATATTGTTTGAGTTGCAAAAAGCGAGGGATGACTGCAGTCGCGTATAGCGCAGCAGTACAGATACGTCGTACAACACGAGGATCAGTTTTGACAGTTTATATTACCAGAAATAGAGCGTACATCCGCATTCAGAAGCATTTAAAGGAATGTAAAGGCGCTTTAAGGCTCTTTGCATGTGGAGATGTGTATGATAGCAAGTTTCGAAACGGAAATATTTTCATGACAGCTGGGCTGTGTGACGTAATTTATTTTGCAACTAACGCCGAGGTTGCAAGTCATCCTTAACGTTTGTCCCCAACTGAAGAGGTGGTCTATCCATTTCTTTGTTATACGGTCGAGTATACTAATCAGCGGTGAATCTTGAAGAAAGAGCTGAGGGGAAATCTCAGGGGGGGGGGGGGTTGACGCCAATGAGGGAGCTAGACATATTGAGCAAAATACTTGATAGATCAAGTGTGTGTAGTATAAAACCATGCTTAAACTATCTACTCTAAGCAATGACACCGCTGCATTGCACACATCATCTACCGCCCATATTGAGATGCGCTGAAAACTTATTTAGTTTCGTCTTCAGAAGAGATCAGAAGAGACAGACATACAGTCATCGACAGAGAAAATGGCTCTAATGCATACCTCCACAGTGATTTCATCAACAGTGCACAAGGTAGCATCGCTACGTTGTTGCTGGTTCTTCTCAACATCTAACCATATTGGAGCGTTTTTGTTAACTTCGAACTCTTGTGCAAATTATATGTCGCTCGACAATCCAACGAGAAAAGCTTTGAACCATAACAGAGGATCAGCTTTATGTTGAGGGTCAAATATAGCAGGAATGCAGATCAGTTCATTGAATAGTCATCGCCACCAGCGACATCATTTCTGCCGCGCTGATTTGGTTTTAAGTTAAAATGCCTCCCGATTTGAGGCGTCTAAATCTCGGATTTGTGAATTTATCCAGTCGATGTAGATATTCATTCATACTGCTACGATTTCTCCCTTTCCCAGAAACTCTCTCGTCTCAAATAAATACAGTGAACTACAGAATCCATGAACGACAATGGCGCTAATGCCACAATATATGAGACCAATAAGAAAGGTCCAAACATTTTTGCTTAATGAGAGTAAATATAACATGAGCTACATCATAATTTTATATTGGTGAGTGCATGATGTTATTCGCATTGTGGTGCGTTTGCGAAAGAAGTCTGCATCTTCCCTCATTTTTAAACAACCGAAATTTGCATGATATGATGTATATTGCAGCAAACCGGACCAGTAGACATTAGTCAGTTGATATACTAAGGGTGTATCCAGTATAATTTCCTTCCTCTTCATGTTTTTCTAAATAGACAATTTTGTCTATTAGTGGATTGATGACAACAAGAGCTCTTACTATCATCCTGAAAAAAGATTCGTTACTTTTGTAAAATATCAACATCCACCTGCCTCGCTTCGCTCGGCTGAATGAGCCCCTCCGCTTCGCTCCGTGTCATTCAACGGAAACGCGTCGCAAGGGGGTTCCCCCCTTGACCTCCAAACCCCACTGTCGAGCGGGGTTGGATCAATACCTTGGTATTAGATACTTATTGTCTGTTTTCAAAAACAAAAGCAAAATTATTGTGCAGTGAGAAGTATTCTATCATAGGAAGTCGTCAAAGTTGGATACTTACTATCTCCAGTTCAAATACAAAGCGAATAGAAGTGTGGAATAAGATGGTGTAGTAATATTGATAAAAAGAGAATAGGTGGTGGTAACAAATGAAAAATAGGCGATATAAAAAAAGAGAATAGGCGACAAAAAGAATTAGAGAAGAACTTCATGGAAAACAACATCTCGGATGTTTTGGCCTTGCTGACCCGCGATACTCGAGTTCTCGGGATCTAACATGATTCTGATGGATGAAGGGGTGCGGACGCGTGACATGGCTACATAGAGTAGACCATGCGTGAACGGAGGTTCAGGCAAGTAGAGGCCGACAGTGTTGAAAGTTTGACCCTGTGCCTTATTGATGGTCATAGCGAATGCCAGGCGAACAGGGAATTGGGTGCGTTTGAAGAGAATGGGCGAGCGTGTTTGCGATGGTGTGAGTGTTATGCGAGGGATCAGGACAATGTTGCCAGCATGAGGTCCAGTGGCTATTTCAGCTTCAAATACATATCTTTGAAAAGAGCGTACAATCAGCCGTGTCCCGTTGCAGAGACCACTTTGGGTGTGCAAGTTTCTCAAAAGCATAATTGGGCAACCGACTTTGAGTTTTAGCAAGTGTGGTGGGAGGTCGGATGGATTCATGGAATTGAGCAGCTCTGGTGGGTATGTGATTTGATCCTCTGGATCATCCACAGTATCTGCGCTCGGGAATTCGTGGATAGTGCCTGGGAAATGGTCGAGTATTAGATCGTTGATTGCTGAAACGTCGACATTTTTTGGAGTTAGAATGGAGCGACTGATGAGGTAATCGCGATCCACGTGTGGTGCGTCACGGCTGCCGTAAATGGCTTCGATGAACGATTTAAGCACTGCTGTACGATCTGCGAGCGCGACGCATTTGGTATCACTGGAAGGACCTATTACCATATACTTTACTGTGAGTACTACCGCTTAATAGTAAAAAACATGCAAAGTAGAAGAGAGGATACAATGTTGAGTACCTGGCAAAAGTCAACACCAAGGACCATAATTTTTCCACCAAATGGAACATCGGCAAGCGCGGGATCGTCATGTCTCATGAGATTTGGATACGCTTGTACGTATACGTTGATACTTGTATTGATACTTGTATCCAGCGTGTTTAAAGCGATGACACTTCTCATATGATGAAGGACGTGAAGTGAGCTTCATCTCGTGTTAATGAAGGTTATCCCCTTGAGTCTTTCCTCGATGCGATACCCGTCTACTCACATAGTCATACATTCATGTAGAATAAACTTTCTTATCTGGAGGAGCCACACATCTCGGCGCGTCATAAACGTGAGAGAGCAATCTGATTGGATAGATTGAACTGGCTCAAATGCCGTGTTCATTACTCTATATAACCGCGCGGCCGCAGCAATCATGGGGGCTCTTCTTCCTCTTCGTCAACTTTTCTAAACCAAAGCTATTCAATGTGAGTGTCATTGGAATGGATTAGAGGATCGAAGAGTGTATGCTTATGTTGGTGAGTGAGAAGAGCGTATGCAACCGGTTGTGAGTATCTCAAGATCCGTTTATCTCACTTTCTTTCTTTTTTGACACAGGTCTTACTTCTCGTCTTAACCTGGTCCTTCTCCCCTTCACGTTGGCTCTCAAAGCACAAATGCAAGAGTAAGTACAATATGGAAAGTGTGAAGTGTACTTTGAGGTTTTGCGCGTGGATGGATATACGAAAGAAGATCTGAACTTTGACGTGTCTAAAGAAGTGTGTGTACAGAATACAGCCGCTAATGTTATCCTCCTTTCTTCTCTGCTACTACTGTAGGATTCTGGCTTTTGGTTCGGTTGGTTCGGCATGGTGTTTGCACCTCACCCTTAAGCACAAGTAGCAACTTTAAGTACGGTAGGAAATGGAACTTGAGCATGAGCTGGAGAGAAGTCGAGTGTCTGTTGGAGGTGCTGATGCCATGACGTGTCAAAAGTAGCTGCATATTTAGAACAGCCTGCTCATGATCTTTCTCTACTTCAGGTTCCGCCTTATGCTGGTTGGGTTAATCGTGTCCAGCGGACAAGTAACAGATGGTAAGTATAAGCAAAAGGGAACTTGAACATTGGTAGGTGAGTGGGATGGCCTGGGTGCTGGAGATGACGTGTCAAAGGTGTGCAGTGTGTACAGCAGCGTGACGGGAAAGGGTTCCTGATCATGACGTGTGCAGTATGGCAATCTTTAAAAAAATTTTCTATCTCTCCTCCCCTTTCTTCTCTTATTCTTTTTTTCAGAATTGGTCGTGCCCTTCTTGCTTTTCCTCTCTCTAACTCACGACTTTCTTCCTCCAAGCCAAGGATGTCATGATAGTAAGTATAGCTGGAAAGAATTTTGTGCTTGTGTTTGTCTTTGCGCGTTTGAAGAACCAGGAAGATGTCTGCCGTGACATGTCAAAAAGTGTATGCAGCTGCTCATAGATGTTTTCTTTTTTCTAATAGAGGATGGCTCTGCGGTGATCTGTTTGAACTTGGATTGGCTTAGACCTCATCTCTCTCTGTCTATAACTTTGCTGTGAAACGACAAAACAAATGTAAGTCAGCTTGGGATGGAGGAGGATGGTAATGCCGTGTCAAAAATAAAGATAGCACAGTGGGTGCAGCCCTCTAATGATCTTTTTTTTATCCAGCTAGAAGAAGTGTTTCTGTTCTGGTTGTGATTCTCTGCTCTACACTGGCTGGGTGTTCGGTTCTCCTGTGTCTCATCGTAGAAGTATGGGTAAGTATAGCACGATAGAATCTTGTATGTGTGTGGTTTGACAGTTTCCCATTAACTATTCGTCTCTTTCGTTTCTCGGAATGGCGATAGTGCACAGACACCTCCATGCTAGTCAAGATTGATGCTCCACTGTCATCCCGCTCCTAGAAGCCGACCTGTCAAGTAGTCTATCGGCAGTGGTCAAGATCTATCCATCCATCTGGACGGTGGCGTGTGCTTTTTGCTTTGACTTGGACCTGAGGAAGTCCTTAAAATTCTCATCTTCTTCTTTGCGTTCTTTATATATTTTATACCCCCCTCCCCTCCTCCCCTTGCTCTGACCCAGGAAGTCGTTAAAAGCGTCTATTGCGTTTCTTATATAGTTTATCCACCTTTTCTCCCCTCCCCTTTGCTTTTCTTCTACAGTTCCTAGTAGCCTCTGTCTCGACCCATCTTCGGATGTTGCATCGTTTCACGCGAACGGCTGTTTTTCTTACTCAGGCAGCCTCCGGGCGTAAGTCCTGCTTCATTTTCAAATTCCCCGCGCCCACGGGTCAAAAGTGCGGCCGAGGTCCCCCATGAATTTGGGGAATGCTTTGCGTAAGTATTTACTTTCTCTTTTTCTGTCTGTGAATTTACATGGATGAGAGTTTCCTTTTTTGGATTTTTCAGCTAACTTTTAAAGATTTTAATAATAAAGATACAGTACATCAAAAGAAATCGAATTGCGTAGTAATATGATTTTCTTCACATCATATCATATCCACAGAAACATTTGACTGAAAGGAGAAATAAGAGTGCAAAAAAATAGACATACTAATCATAAGACGAAGGGGTCGAGTGCCTGGGAAGGGGGCCGACCAATTTCTAGGTTATGAAGTAGAAAAAGTTTACCGAGGAAACAAAGATTAGACAGCATCAGAAAACAGACTAGCCACCGCGTAATAGATATAAGTAGGGATTTTCTTCCCAATTCCTGTTTGACGGGTTATAATTTATTTTGGATCGCCTTGGATGCTTATAAAAGAGATAAACAAATACCTATACTGATCTGGTAGTGACATTTTCAAAGCCGAGACACAATTGGACCGCACTCCTCAATGTGTGACCTACGTAGCTAGTAGTAAGGATGCTGAACTGTTACACATACTACATAGCGTCGACGTTCAACTCCACGAGTATTAAGTACACATGCTATATCCAGTAATCGAGCTCAGAATGAAAAAAAAAGTATAGCAAGGGGGAAGAGTCTATATATATAGATACTGCAGTATGTAGTAACAATAGCAGCAGCAACAGCAGTATATGGATGAATTGCTCCTTGTCGACTGCCTTGCTTCATCTTCTTGCCCCGCCCCTCGATCTCCTGGATTCTCCTATTTTCCAATTTTGATACACCATCCCCATGTACTTTGTCTTCTCTTTTCGTACGGTTTCTTTTTTAATTCCTTTCTCTCTCTTTTTGTAATATAACATAATCAATGTCAAACAACGACCTCGCCCGACTTTTCGACGACGTTAACAACAGTAATAATAATGACAACAGCAATGTTGAACGAGAATCCACTCAAAAAGCATGCAACGTTTTGCATACCCGATTCAGTCAGGACAAGCCATATACGCAGCTAGGCCACCACAGACTGGTTGTCGTCAACCCATACAAACAGCTTGAGCTCTTAAACGATACCGCGCTTCAGCATCATGCCAATCAGGGCTACAAGGACCTGACAAGCGGTTTACAAAATCCAGCAACGGCATCCCACCAGCAGCCACATATTTATGAATTTGCAACTCGAGTTTATTACATTATGCGACGACGAGCAGATGATGTTGGTATCGTACTCAGGTAAAGAAGAAGGATCCCCATAACCATCACAAGAAGGAAAAGAAAGCACGTTTTCTTATATTTCTTTCAATTTGCCGTGCTCAACACTCACCTCCTCACTCCCCCTATTATATACCACATATCAGCGGCTCGACAGGCTCCGGAAAGTCGACCACACATCACCACTTATTGAGCCAGTTGCTCCATCTGTCGGCACAGTCTCGACGCGAGGCCAAACTACGGCGTTATATTCTCAGTGCACAGACCATTATCGATGCCTTTAGCACGGCCGCGACACCCGATAATGCGAATGCGTCACACCTGCATCAATTCCAAACCTTGTATTTTAATGAACGCGGACGCATTCTTGGCTTGCATACAGCCGTCTACCTGCTTGACAAGCAACGTGTCACTGCTACTACCACCAGCACTAACAGCGAAGGAGGAGGGAGCGGAGGAGCCAACTATAGCATTTTTTACCAGCTCTTGGCCGGCACCACCGCACAAGAAAAAGCAGCGCTTCATATCAACTATACCGCCGACCACTTCGCCTACCTCAAAGATCCCCAAGGTCACCAGCATCGCAATGCGTTAGCGTGGACAACCTCACTAGCCGCACGCGACGAAGTCGCCTTTGCCGATTTCAAAGCAGCATTGAAGACATGTGGCTTTAAGGCCAAGACGATCGCCCAAATCTGTCAACTTCTCGGAGCCATTTTGCATCTCGGCAACATTCAATTCGTAGGCAACAACCAATCGTGTAAAATTAAAAACAAGGATACATTATCGCTGGTGGCAGCAGCCTTGGGAGTGGCAACAACCAAATTGGAAGCAACGTTGACACATAAGCTCAAACTGCTCGGCAAGGAATTTTGCACAGCGTTTTTGACAGCCGATGCAGCGACGGTCCAGCGAGACGCATTGGCACGTTCCTTGTATACTATTTTGGTGCTATGGATTGTTGACGTGCTCAACCAGCATTATCCTACAACGAGTGATCAATGTATTAGTATTCTAGATCCCGCTAATGGGATCAGCAACCACCAACAGCAACGCACAGCAGGATTCATAGATCTGTGCTCACATTTCTGTGCAGAACGCATCCATCAATTTATCATCACCAAACCACATCTCTTGGACGCACCGCCACCCATCACTTCATCGTTATCGGTGTATCTCGGCAACCAAGGTCTCGTTTCGCTTTTGGATCGTGAATCAGAACGTCTAGAAGCATATGCGCTCGATGCAACGGATGCCAACTTTTTATCGCTGCTACTGAAGAAACAGCAACCACGTGTCGTCAGCAAACGACCTCAGACATTCGCCATCCAGCATTTCACCGGTCCGGTCGAATACAAAGCTGATGGCTTGCTAGAAAGCAATCTGGACGCCCTCTCTCCCGATTTCATCCTGCTTTTTCGCTACAGCTGCACTAACACGTTCCTGCGCGAGCTTTTTGAAAGCTCAGTCTTGGTCACGGAAATGCATCCACGTGACGAACGCACTATCATCAAAGCACAGCTACCAGCAAGACCCAAGCATGGTCAATGGCGACCGACCGATCCTGTCGACGAAAGCAGCGCCAGCAATGGCAAAATGATGATGACCGTGCTCGATCAGACGGTACACAGTATGGATCGACTGATCGACCGATTGAAAACGATGCAACTGTTCGAAGTCCTCCACATCCGACCTAACGACCAGCAAAAGCCAGATCTATTCGATCCAACTGTCGTACAATCCCAGCTTGTGGCACACAAAATGGCTGATCGTGCCAAACTGGATCCCATGTACAGCTACGAGTTTGCTGATTTCTTGAACCGCTATCATTACTTGCTGAGTATGCTCCCATTCGATGATGAGAGTCAAGAAGACGAGCGAGCGAAAATCATCAAGTTGATCCATGTAATGCAGTGGACCAGTATCCAAGTTGACCTTGGGAAGACTTGCATCTGGATTGCGTTTGATGTCTGGCGAGATCTCGAGAACCATTTACGAGCGCTGGAAAAAGAGCAGCGGATCCGTGAACGAGAGGAGCGAATTGCTGCAGCTATCGAGGCCGAGAATGAAGCAGCACGGCTAGCAGCCGAAGAGGCAGAGGCGGCAGCGGCGGCAGCAGCAGCGGCCGCAGCTGAACATGAAGCAACAGAGGGCTCTGATCCAGATCAGAATCCATTTGGTGATGATCATGACTGTGGTGCATCTGATATGTATACTACCGACAATGACTTTTACGACGATCGAACTGAAGTAGGCGATCAGTATGGCGGTGATTCCATGGGAAAGCATAGTACTAGCCAATGGGGAGAAGATGATGATATGGACGGCTATATGGATTTGTAAGTTTTAAAGCTGAATAGCAACAACAGCAACAGCAACCGTCAACTTACATCTTCTTTCGGCCGAATTAGATATGGACCCAATATGGACATGAGCAAGATGGTGGAGGATTATTGCGTACAGCAAGAAGAGCTCATTGAAGAAGTACCGATCACACCGATTCGACAATGGTGGGCACGTTTTGTGTGGTTCTGTACCTGGTGGATCCCCTCTGTAGCACTCCGCTACATTGGTAAAATGGATCGACAAGACGTTCGCATGGCATGGCGCGAAAAAGTGACTCTGTGTATCCTCATATTCACGCTATCTGCCAGTATTGTCTTTGTTATCGTTGGTCTCGGTGAAGTCATTTGCCCCGGTACCAAAGATCTGTATACAGCGCAAGACGTACAAAATCATCAGACAATCGATGATTACTGGATCAGCGTACGCGGCAAAGTGTACGAAATGACCGATTTTGTCGCCAATACACACGGTTCGAACGCGTATGTTGCCACCAAATCTACACTCGAGCCACTTGCAGGCCGTGATTTGTCGTACACCTTCCCACCACCGCTGACGCAGGCCTGCCAAGGACTGGTTACAGACGATAGCATCACCATCACACCCAACGAAACGATCGTGCTTGGACCATTCGTGCACTATTCCGGCAACCAGCAGTCCGAAAAATCAATGGCTCGTATGCGTGATCCAGACTGGCTCAAGCGATACTTTGATCCTGTGATGGGTCCAAACAAGCATGGCGACCTTGTCATTTCCAAAAAGCAGCTTGAAGGCGATTTTCAGAGCTGGGGACGGCTTGCATTAGCAATGAACGGCAAAATCTATGATCTGACCGACTACATGGCAACAGCGCACAAGTATCCACGCGACGCAGTCGGTGTACCCAACTATCACTTTCTCAACGAGGCTGTCGAGCTCATGTTTACCAAGTATGCTGGCACAGACGCGACCGAGATGTGGGAGCAGTTTAGTTGGAAAATGACTGAAGAGGAACGTGCGCAGAACCTAGCGTGTCTTGACAATGCATTTCATGTGGCGCGTCTTGACTATCGTGATTCGTTGCGATGCACGTTCGTCAACTACTTGCTGCTCAGCTTTGCTGTCGTCACATCACTGGTAATCCTAGTCAAGTTTCTGGCGGCACTCCAGTTTGGTGGCGCACCGACGCCTGAAGAACAAGACAAGTTTGTAATTTGTCAAGTGCCATGCTACACGGAGGATGAGGAGTCGCTCCGCAAAACGATCGATTCGTTGACCACTATGGACTATGACGATAAAAGGAAACTGCTATTCCTGATTGCCGATGGAATGATTATTGGTAGTGGTAATGACAAGCCTACACCTATGATCTTGCTGGATATCTTGGGTCATGATGACAAGGAGGATCCTGAGCCAGTCATGTTCAAGTCTGTCGGTGAGGGATCCAAGCAGCTCAATTATGGCAAGGTGTATTCAGGTTTATACATGCATGAGGGTCACTGTGTCCCCTATGTGGTTGTGATCAAGGTCGGCAAGTCCACCGAGCGCAATAAGCCTGGCAACCGTGGCAAACGTGATTCGCAAATCATCTGTATGGACTTTTTACGCAAGGTACACTTTGATTCTGAAATGACGCCGTTGGAGCTGTCCATCTACCACAACATTCGCAACGTCATTGGTGTTGACCCAGCCCTGTACGAGTATATCCTTATGGTGGATTCGGACACGGAGGTTTATCCGGATGCCTTGACACGCCTGGTCTCCTGTATGCTGCACGACAGCCGCATCATTGGTCTGTGCGGCGAGACTGAGTTGTGCAACGAGGATTGCTCGTGGACGACGCGCATCCAAGTATACGAGTATTACATTTCCCACCATCTGGTCAAGGCGTTCGAGTCATTGTTCGGTTCTGTCACTTGTCTGCCGGGCTGTTTCTGCATGTACCGGGTACGTACTGCTTCCAAGCGACAACCGCTGATCGTCTCACCGGCCATCATCCATGGCTATTCGGATAACCAGGTGGACACACTGCATAAAAAGAATCTGCTACATCTGGGCGAAGATCGGTATCTGACGACGTTAATGATGAAGAATTTCCCAGAATACAAGATGATGTTTACGCCATATGCACGATGTCGCACGGTGGCACCGGACCGATGGCAAGTGTTGCTCTCACAGCGCCGGCGCTGGATCAACTCGACCATCCACAACCTGCTTGAACTCATCCTGCTACCCGAACTGTGCGGCTTCTGCTGCCTGTCGATGCGTTTTGTCGTCATGATTGACTTGATTGGCACCATCACGCTTCCCGCATCTGTAATTTATCTCGCATATCTCATCTATGTGGTGGCTGCCAATACCGGACCTATTCCTGTGATTGCCTTGGGTATGCTTGCTGGTGCCTATGGCTTACAGGCGCTCATTTTCATCATCAAGCGACAGTGGCAACACATTGGCTGGATGGTGATCTATCTTATGGCCATTCCCGTGTTCAGTTTCCTGATACCGATCTATGCATTCTGGCACTTTGACGACTTCTCCTGGGGCAATACGCGTGTTGTCGTGGGTGACAAGAAGAAACAAATCATTGTAACTGAAGATGAAAAGTTTGACGACAAGATGATCCCGCTGAAAAAGTGGGAGCAGCATGAGCGAGAAATGCTCGAGACACGGTCGATTGAATCGGACGAGACCAGGCTTACCAACTATACTTACGACAGCCGGCCTGCGTCTGCATCGTATCGACAAGAGGAAGGAGCTGATGGAAATGAAGAACACCTGCCGCGACTTACCACGGGACTATCTGAACGACGGCTCTCACAGTTCTCGGTCGATCTTTCGGCTGTTTTGCAACAACCACAACAACAGCGGCACCGTAACAAACAACAAGAAGATTCAGGCAGTGTTGCTGGAAGCAAAAGTGGTAGTGATGGCGATGACGATGACACAGAAACCAAGGTTATATTACCTGAAGATGACGAAATTGAACGTGAGCTGCGGAGGATCCTAGCGGGTGCCAACCTCATGACACTGACGAAAAAGCAAGGTAAGAAGAAGTGTGGTACGACCACCAATTAAATTTGATAGTGTCAACATGAGCTCATAGCAACTTTTCTATAGTCCGGAATCAGCTATCCCAGCGCTTTGGGGTGGACTTGACGATAAAGAAGGGATTCATCAATTCAGCCATAGAGAGAATTCTAGAAAACGAAATGTAGAAGGTTTCCACATTCAGAAACCCATTCACTTGTGTACAAGCTACCACAAAAATAATATAATAAAAACCGTGCTTTGCATTTCTGTTTAAATTTCGACCTTGCAACTTTTTTTTCCCATCACCTCTTCCCGTGCTTTAATATTTCCTTCTTTTTGTTTCCCACCTCCTTCTTCCTCTTTTCCTTTCTCTCTTTCAGCATCAACAATGTCGTCTCTGTTTGCTGAGCAATCCAACGACCTTCTTTCACCTCAACAAAATGCACAGCAACAACGACGACGAAGTAGCGTGGATATCCGTGGCCAGTCCGTTGCTCCCGACATACTAGTTGCTCTACTCGACCGACCACAAGAAATGCGCATTCTTGCATCGCGCAACCCTAAATTTTATGAAGCACTTGAAAACTATATCACCGAAACGCAAGGTCTTGACGCATGGGTTCAGTTCCAAGACATTGCATATGCTCCGCGCGACGACTTACCCGACCGTGACTGGATGGCTGCAATTGCCAAATTTTTGAAACAGAACCCAGTCTTTTTGACGAAATTCAAGGAAAGCGTGGGCTACTATGACAACGATGATGAAGATGGTCACAGTATCCGCTCAGACGACGACAATACAGAAGATGAAGAAATCGCCACCAGCAGTGGCGGCGAGGACGATTTTGCAGCGTTGGTACAAGAACGTGGCGAATTTGACGAAGATTCACCACCACCCCGCCGCAAGTCCTCACAGCTGATGCATCCTGCGCTTGTGGTTGCACAGGATGCCACAGGACCACAACAACGACAGCCAGCACACCACCAGCAACATTACCACTCTGCAGCAGCACAACGGTCCGTTTTAGCCACTCTACGCGATTATCCAGATATCCAAGCACGGTTACCGCTCATGTGTCCGGCGTTTTTCCGAAAAGTGCGGCAACGCATGGCATGTCCGCCCGCTTCGAAATTGTCAAGTGCAGCAAGACGCAACTCTATTTTGGAGGACACAATCTTTGAAGAGGACAATGGTGAAGACAACCCACGCTTCTCATTTTGTGACCAAGAAGAATCCTTTGAATGTTTCCAAGATGCAGTTACAACCACGCGTAGGGAGCAACCAGATGATCAGCGCTGGTTACATAGTGTGGTAGAGTCACTGGAAGGCTACCCGGAACTTTTGGATAATTTACGAGAAATTGCCGCCTCTTTGGATGATGCCCATGATCAACAACAGTACCAGCAACAACAGCAATAGTGTAGTAATAACTTGTAAATACGGAATCTATTGACCAGTGTAATTTGCATGACATAAATATAATTATGACGAAGACGTGTTTGAAGAATGGATAGCGTTGGTAATAGGAAGATGAAGATGAAAAATACCAACAAAATGCCATTTTGAATACGGCCAATAGTAGAGAAAACACGAGGTGAGGCACAAATGTTGACATCCTTTTTTTTTTTTGTAGGGGAAGCCCCCGGTCGGGGTCCAGTTTATTAAAGTGTGCAATTATCAGTAACTGCCAATAACGTTAAAGATACATAGTGTACAGGATGAAGTGACTAAGACACACCGATGTGTTTTAACTACGGACCAATCAAGAGCACCAGGGAGGACCATGCATATCTTGTCATAGCGATTTCCACGAAGTGACGACCCACATCAGGACAGCAGCGAGGGACAACAAGCAGCCGGATTCGAACCGACAACCTCTTGGACAGAAGTTACCCGCCTTGAACGAGTCAACCAGGGCCTGCGCCCCAATGTTGACATCCTAACAAATGTCTCGCAGGAGAAATTGTTATAATCAACGTCCGATAAATCATCAGCGAATGGACTGTCGTCAGCTTTGAGCCTTGTTGTTTGTCACTCACTGGCCAAAAAAAATTATTTCTTGGAATACGGCCTTGATCTGATTACTGAATCAAAAAACATCTTGCAAGTATCAAACACTGAGTTTCATATGAGATATTTCGAGATAGAGAAGATTTGAGGATGTATTCATATCTTCAAATCGATATGGATTTTCTTGTCGTATTTGAAAGCTTCTGCTTCATTTTATGTAATCCAAACCAAAAGTAATTTTCAACATTTTATTCATTGCATCATAGTTTGTACAAGTATATAAATTTTCTCTTTCGCGCCACGCATATCGTAATATGCTGTTGCTGATTGTGATTAGACATAAGCGCTACTCTTGAAAAAGCTTTGATCTCTAATGCTCTGCGCGCAAAGAAGAAGTTTTTTGATAAAACTATTGGGCATTTGTTCGCTTAACACTTACTCTACTGTAGTTCATGAAAAGATTATATCACAGCTTTTCAGGTTTAGAGTCTTTTTTTCTCTATCCTTTTGTCACATTAATAGGAAACCAGAATTCGTCTAAAGAGAAAGCTAACTGTTTTTCACTCGTAATAACAAGTGCACCCAATTCCATCTAGGAAGATTAGTTGCACTCGTACTTTTGCAGTGAAGACAGCAATATGACAGCTGCTTTGTCATTGAGCTCGAGCTTTCGTAATACAATTCCGTATCTTTTCATAAGACAGAGAGCTCTTTAAGAATAACAATCCGAACAGGTTGCCACATGGGATAAGTAAATTTACAAGTATAGATTAAAAGCATTCAACTTGTCATGGTCATGATACTGCTTCAACTCCTCGTAAACATAGCCATTTTTCGCATGTGAGGTTTCAGAAACGTATGAATAACGTATGCGTCCAGTTGTTCAATTTATCAAGCCAGTGTTCACAAGTTCACTAAGTAGCTAAGCCATTTTCGTATCTATCTGTCATTGCCAGCTAAAATAAATGAATGTTTGTTTATCTCGCATGTCGTGTAACCGTTCATTTTTACGCTTTTCGCCAGCCTGTTTGCAGATCTATACATTGGAACGTCTTTATGTAATAATGGTATACGATTACAATCATCTCTACTATATTCTGACCCCCACAATCCAACTCTTTTCTTTCATCTTACCTAGTACTTTGCATATAATCGTAGAAACATCAACCGCGGGGCTGTGTAATCTGTCGAAGTAAAGGCCGCAGTATGTGCCTTTTCGTTAACTATCGATATTTTTTCTCGCCGCTTGCTTTCACACTCTAATATGAACACACTATTAGACATACTTGCAACATGCGCACATGGCAGTTTTCATTATATACATGAGTCAAATGTATTGACTCATTTTGTATAACGACGACGAAGATGCTAGGAATCAACACCGGTCATTATTGTTTGCCAAAGTAAACGACGTAGAAAAAGTTGCACGAAACAAGGATTCTAGCATACCTTGACCAGTACAAGCTGTCGACAGCAGCACGGCTCGCTCTAGAACGCGTCCGACTCTTTCCGAATCACTTGGAGGCCTACACGCGTGCAGGCGATTTCTATCTCCTATAAGGCAAATCTGCGTTGGCTATGGACATGTGTGACCAGGGCACCAAAGAAGCATCAGGCTGTTTTACTTCTTACCCGGGGGCGGGGGGAGGGCAATTGAAAAATGGCGACAGTACAACGCGACAGGCGCGTCGATTTCAATACACATTTACCGCTGGAGATCGTCATGTCGATCTTGTGTAACTTGCGGACGTCTACTTTGGTTCGGATCTTGATGGGTGTTTGCAAAGCGTGGCGACTACGTGTGCCCGAGTGTCATCGTGCCTGGCGCACATTCATGGTACCGAGGTTGGATGAAAAAGGGCTATGGGAAATTAGATCAAAAACGGCTGCAGAATTCCGACAAGCACAGTTTTAGCGTGACAAGACATATGGAGACTGGAGTTAGACAAATGGATAAAGCAGCCCGATGTAACCCAGTGGCTAAAGAATCGATTTTCGATTCTTCGAGGGTTGGGTAAGCCGACTTTTTTCCTTCTCAACTTCTCTTTGGCATTTATCATAGACAGTAAAAGAGGAGGTATTGCTGGCAAGGAAGTGATGGCCAACGCGTTGAGAAACGTCCGTTTTACATTGATAAGAGTCGATATCATTATGATTAACGGCAGCGTAGGACCCGGAAGAGAACGGGATACACACAAAAACGTGTTGACGCCCATATCGCCAGCAACTGCAACATTAACGCATATAACACACCTCGACGTTTCCTTCTACGGCGTTAACCTGGAACAAATGCGTAGAACCCGCAATATATCCTAATCGGCACATCTGCATCTACAACTTTTCAGACCAAAATCTGGTCGAAGCGATCATAAGAGCATGTCCAAATCTACAATGTGTACCGTTTGATGTTAACCTCTTCAGCTGCTTCTTCCTCTCCCTCGCTTGTTGCCTGCTTTGCGACATCTTTGCATCAACACTTCCAGTTGTTTCGATGACGACGACGACCAAATAGCAACAGCATTTAATCAATGCGCCGCCACCACCGGACAAAATAACGAAACCAATGGTCTGCGATCCATACATATCTGGATCTATTAGTCTTGAGCGCAGAGCGGATATTCTGTATAACTTGATTGATGAAAGCCGAAACACGTTGGAAGAATAGAGCTTTTGGGAAATCTCACGGCAATCGAGGATAGGGTGAAGCCTTTCAATAACCGTCTATGGAACATTTTCGCTCGATTTGCTAGCCCTACCTTAAGCAAACTACATTTGAGATACAATGGAATTAGCACCAAGACCATTTCTTCAATGATTCGCCAATGCCGATCACTTGAAATAGTCGAACTGGACACAATCGTTCGACTAGAAGACCAAATCGTTAACAGTTTGATCCAACTACTAAGACTGCAATCCTTAACACTCCAGCGATGCGGTGAGATTACGGGCACAAACTTGCCAGATTTTTCAATGAAAGTGCAGAAAACGCAGCAACAACAGCAACAACAATATCTCACCGTCATCATCATCATCATTGTTATCCGGTGAGCAACAACAACAACGGTCGCTTCTTCAACAATTCGGGTTTGAACAGATGAATAAGAGCTTAACGGATGCAAGTCTTGCCGCTCTAGCAAAAGTGACAAGTCTAAGAAAGGTTCGGCTCGAACACGTGCACAGCAGCAGTCGATATATTGAACGCTTAGCAGAGGGGTTCGCCCATTTGGAAGACATCATCTTGGAATACGTGAGCAATCACATGGATCCGACGCTTATCCATTTAACCAAATTACAACGGTATCGGCGGGTGGTGTTAGGATAAGTGCCTGACATTACGGATACCGGGATATCAACTCTTTGTTGATCAATCGTTTTAGTTTGGAGCATCTAATTGTCGCCGAATGTGGTGATGGCGTATCCATGGAGACGCTGAAGCAAGCCAGTTTATTCATCACTGTTAGTGCTTCGCGGCCATAAGCTGATATTTGGTGAAAATAGCGCTTCAATGTTATTTGGAGCTGTTGCACATGTGTCTTCTTCGTTAAAAAGAAACAAGATTTGTCCCGCAATTATTGTATTACACTGACAAGAATGGATTGCATAGTGAGACAGAGAGAAAAAAAGTTCAAGGGAGCCATCTTTTGCTGGAGTGCGGGAGGTGAACGTGATTGGACTACTTGCTGATCCTTCGGATCATAAAATGTGCGTTATCTCAACGTGTATGAGTGGTGTTCCTTTGCGTATACTCCTCACTTTACTGCATAACAACTGTCGTAGGATGAACGAGAGACACTAATGCGGTGGAGGAATCCAGAACAATGATAGGAAATGAATGTGAAACCTTTCCCGGGTTTCGTTTCTGCCTTCACATCAAGTACGACTTACACAATAGAAAAAGAAGAACCGCTCGTCCGAACTTTAAAATAGTTCTTTCTCTTGTTTCGCTAAGAAAGTAGAAAAAAAAAAACTAGTTCTGTTGGACCTGTAAGTAAACTTCATTCGATTTTTACCTCTCTTGCCCCGCAGAAACTGCAATGTTACAATTGTCAACGTGGGATCATTTTACCTTTTTAAGTTGAAATCGCTCAATCGTACAGAAAAAAAATAAAGCCTTTTATTTTCTGTGTGCGGATTTAGGAAAATAAGAAAACTTGAAAGGTGAAGAAAGTCAGTCAATGCCGTACATTGTCGGTGAAGACGGTGTGAAAAGAAAATATTCTTGCTCTACTTGCATAAAGGTATTATTGCTATTAGTTCAATTCCTAATTTAAAGTTACAAGTCTGTGTATTTAGCAGTGGAAGAAAAGAAAGAACTAATGTGGTGCTCTAGGGCCATCGATCGTCGAAATGTACACATATTCAACGAGAGCTTTTTGAAATCAAACCGAAGGGTAGACCGGTCAGCCAATGTACCGGCTGTCGAGAACTTCGTAAAACTAAACGTGTGCATATCAAATGTACCTGTAAAAACAAAGGTAACTGTGTGTGCACTGCTTTATTGTGTTCTTTTTTTCTGGTGCGGGAAAAACAGTGGTGTGTGTGAAAGTCGGGCTGTGCTTATCTTTTGTCAATGCTTACGTATCCTCGAATACAACAGGCAAACAGCCCACAGCGTCGTCCTCCTCATCATCGCCATCATCATCACCGCATCCATCCAAAGTTGAGGCATCAAGTTCGACGTCCTCTTTGATATCGCCAAGCGGCCCCCTCTCGTCATCAGAAATATCAATCTCGCCCATCGATAATGGCACAGTGCAGCAACAAAAGCGGAAACAGCTTTTACAGGATCAACAACAACAACTCCAGCATCAACATCGTGCAAACAGTGATAGCATCATGCATGTTCATGGTAATAATTAATACAAAATTAAAGTTTCCATGCATGAGATTGAATTTACTCAGTGTTGGTATCTGCACGCTAATTTCTCCCCGCCCCCGGTCCTTACTTCTTTACAAAATTGCAGGTGGTATGTTAAGGATTCGGTGTTCGCGTTGTGACCGACCCCAATCTGGCTGCGTATGTACCTATGATTCCAACAAACGCTCAGCTCAATTCAAGGCACAAGATCACCAACCCTCAGCATCGTCATCATCGACCTCTTTAAGTGTTGATGTCAATAGCAGTGGCAGCGATGGTGGCAACAACAACAACAACAACTACGCATCAGAAGATGTTCAGACTCCACTATCCTCTACTTCCTCATACATGTCACACGAGAGCAGCAGTAGTACGACCACTAACAGCAGCAATGCAGCCTCACCATCAACATATAATATCCTACCCCCACTGCGATTAGGCCATTCTTCTTCTCGATCTGAACTACCTATTCCAATCCATGATCCGACGGATGATATTGACAGCGATACGCCAATCTATAAATCAGAAGAGAATGCCGTGCCCGATCGCGAAGCAGTGCTGGGTCAACTTTCCCACAGGAGCTCGGAGGACTTGATGAAAGAAATTTATGGAAACTTTGCGGGCTCTTCAACCAAACGACGGCGCCGTGATGGGGAAGGTCATTCTTCTCATCATCTTGGGAAGAGTCAGAAGCACAAACAACAACAACAATGCCATGTTTCGTCGTCATCGTCATCCTCAGTGACCAAAAAATCTGAAGGTCATCATCTCCAACACAAGCACCACCGCAAACATCAACGGGTCGATGAGTTGGAGCATAGTGGTCAAGGTATGTCATTCTCGTTAGAAAAACGTACACAGCATGGTCAATATGGATATATTAACATCAAGATTATGATGATAGACATCGAACGCTTATAGCACAATGCCCCCGACTTCTATTTGTCCGCTTTATAATTGTCTGCTTGTTACCATTTCTTTTGTGTTGCTCGTTTGATATGAGCAGAAGAAAAAGATAGCAGCTGTAAATAGTGAGGAGGGGGCGCATTATGTTCCATCTTTTTTTTAATGTAATACGATGACAGAGAAGCAGAAGAGACAGGTTATCTATCATAATTTAAAGCATCGCCTCCATTTCGCTTTTGTATGTATAGATCTTGACACTGCCATCTGATTTGTAGATAAAAATAATAAGTAATGAATAATACACATAACGCATTCAGCGAATTAATCCACTTACCATCACCACATGAGAAAAGCAAAGGCCGGTATGGATGGAAAATCACGTCTCTAACTTCCATGTCTACCAACATCCAAGGTCAGAGATCTGTCTTTATGTATCAACCTCAAGAAGTGTATCTGGAAAATGATGACTCACCTTCGTGCTCCTTCAATATTGCCGTAAGCTGACCACTGGACATATTGAACACGAAGATTTGTCCGTAAATGGTGGGTGCTAAAAGATATCGACCGTTTGATGTAATCTTGACCAACCATGAATTTGCATGATAGCTTATTATGATGTATGCCACAATCTCGGGTCAATAAACCACATATTGCTTTTCAATCGTGTTCCAACAAAAGGAAAAAAAAATAGAAGTTGTCCCTTACTCCTCATGACTAAACTTCTTGACTTGATCCAACTGAAATTTACCGCCGCGGACATTTGGGTATGTTAACTTGTGTAATGTGCAAGTGTTCGGAATCGAGGCTGCATATATTACAATACCCTATTTAGGTTAATCGGCAGAAAACAAAACCGATAGAGTAGTTACACGAAGATTTTGTGCCCCCAAGAAGAAACTTACAAATGCCTTCACCAACATCACACATTTCAGCACCACGGCTAATAAACCATGCATGTTGCTGTTGCTGCTGCTGCTGCTGCTCTTCGTTTTTGTTGCTAGAATACGCTTCTTGTTCTTGTTCCTGCTCTTGCTCAGGGGCGTCTAGCCAACGAACAAACTTGCCACAATCGCAGTACGATGAATACATGTCTTCAAACGTTTGCAGTAGCTATATAACTATTAGTCACAGTGTTCTGTCATCGTATAATAAATATCTCGGTGTTCCATTTTCCGTAAATTGCACGTACCAAAGAGTCTTCAAAATCATAGAGGCGCAAATGACCATCACATGCTGCCAGAAAGAACTTGTTGCCCGTGTTTGGAAGAAAAGAAACCGTGAATGCCATGCAAGTGATCCCATCCTCCATTCGTGTTGATTCCTTTAGTGTGCTATGTATTTTATAAAACCCATTCAATACGTTCTGTGCACTTCAATCCCATCGCAAATCTACATAGTAGATGTGTGCTTTCAACTTAAAGAGCGTATATACTGCAAGGAAAACAACTTACATCCAATCATTATCCATACACCACTTGATGATATACCCGTCCTGGCTTGTCGTGATGTAGTAGTGCTCTTCTTTAAACGTGAGTGCTTTAATACAAAGGATTTCTTCTGCATGTCCTTCCAATTGAGATACCCGATGACCAGTCTCAATATTGAAAATCTGTGGTATAATCATATCAATATTTATTTATTTTCTTCCTCCCTTATCCATTCCAGCAATCACTGTGGTAAGCTTTGTAGATCATACCTTGACGGGACAGGGCAAGATATGATTGTCCTCATCCTGTGCCGACCATCGAAACCTGTCTTTCAATTTACCACCTGCAACCAACAACTCTTGACTATCAACAAATTGACCACAATAGAATTCTTCAATATTATCTTCACTCATGTCTCGGAGTCGTCGGACCATCTTAAACTCGTTTGTGACGTCCCAGAGCTTGACAGCGCCCACGCTTGAGAACGTGGCAAGGATCGTGCCATCTGGCGAAAGTGTCATGCCAGCAATGGCCGCTATTTTGAATTTATAAGAAAGGGAGCCCATTTGTGTTTAAGGATCGACAAGCAGCAACGTAATTTTAGCTTATATCTAGTCACCTTGGTCACTTATATGGTAGCTGAGGGTGGTCAAGGAATGGTCTTGATTGATTATGTCAAGCATTGGATATTCAGTGTCGGCATGGAAACGCCAAAACGTATCCGGATACTGCTTTGACAGACTGTTGACTGTTTCAGGGTCATACACATAGTCTTCAATACGTGGACGTGGTGGAACAATCGGTTGTTGCTATATACACCCCAACAGATTATCAAAAAGAAGTACGATATGATGTGTAAGCTTTCGAAGAATAACCATGTTATGCTCTCGCCAAGAACACAAAGGAAAAAAAGACGCCGAGTGGAAAACAACAACCTTGACACGTCCTCTCTTCGTCTTTGTCTTTGTTTTGGTTACACCACACCCTCGTCTGCGTTTTCTTCCACGGCCCCGACCGCCGCTTCCTTTGCCTAGAACAGTGCTATTGACGAGCTGTGCAGTGGTCATGTTGGTGCGCTTGTTGCGAAGAGGAGGAAGCAGATCGGCTTGATCAAGTAAGTCATCAGTGTCAACCTCATCAATTTCGTCACTTGAGCTGTTGTTATTGTTATCGGTGCTGATTGTCGAAGGCGTGTCATCGTTATTGATATCAGAGACTTCGCCCTGGGGCAGTGCTTTGCGCTTCCGTAGCTTTCGCGTTTCCTTTGTTATAAGTTGCGCAATTTTGCTGGTTGAATCTAAGGATGATGGTAGCAGGCCTGGTACTGGTTGTGGCGAGGGCGGTGATGATGACGGCACGTCTTTTGTTGTCGTTGTTGCTGGCTGTATGTTAGCAATGGCCTCATCTTCGTCCGTCTTTGGTGGCTCGTCTGGTGTTTTGAGAGATAGACTTGTCAGTGGTGGAGGGGAATCACCATCCACAATAATCATTTCGTTTTCAGACATGATGATGCTTAGAAGAAGAAGAGTGAAAAGATATGAACGAGAAAGAAAAAGGGAGGAAAAAGAATTGTTGTTATTTGTTTGATTGCTTTGAATGATGGGTACACAAGAAACGCAGGCAGTGGAAGAGCTCAGTGGATTTTAGGATACACGTCTGTTCTCCGATGGTTCATCACTGGCATTTCCGTTCTCACTTTTTTCAGGTAGTCCAAGTCAATAGGCGCAATAGCAATACTCGGTGAGATGCCATCTCCACATCGAGCAAGAATAGTACCCCATGGATCGACGATCTAACATATCATTGTTATGGAATAAGTATGAACCTAGTTTTCTTTTCCTGGAAAGCGAGTTCCCACATCTACTCCCCAACCCCCACCCCTCTCCGTCCTCCTTGACACTTTACCATCGCGTTGCCATAGCTGGTCCGCTTTGCGTTATGCTGGCCAATCTGAGCTGCTGCGATTACATAGCTTTGTGTCTCGATAGCACGAGCCCGTAACAAGGGTTCTACATTTAGAAAAAAAAAACAGTTGGTGTATTGTCAGTGTCACCGACCATGCATGCTGTATGACTAGAACGTTTTAAACTTGCGCATATCTATTTACCCCAATGCGCCATGCCCGTTTTGACCGTAAAAGCGCTAGGAAATGTCAGAATATCTGCGCCACGACGTCGCTGTGCAATGGATAGCTCTGCAAAACGAAGATCGTAGCATGTTTGCTGGCCCACTTTCCCAATAGGTGTGGCTACTGGATCCGGAATCGTGTTGCCAGCAAATGTCGAATCGCTTTCCATCAACCGTGGACCATTTTTGATATCGACCTTAAACAAATGGATTTTGCGGTACACCGAGACGATATCTCCATCAGCATCAATGGTCAAATGCGAATTATATATATGAGTGGGCGAAGGGCTCTGTATTACAAAACATAGCAGAGAAGTTCAGTAATACAAATCAAGTGTTAGCCTCTGTTAAAACCCTTTATTTTCACCTTTTCATGCACACCGACAGAAACCCATATCCGCTTATCGCGTGCGGAATCTTGTAAACTTTTCACAAATGAAGAATCGCCTAAACTGGTTGTCAGCTGTATTGATTCTGCTGCTGACTCGGCAATAAAATCGGAAGCTTCAGGAAAGAAGACGGCCTAGCATAGTTCTCTTTTTTCAATATTGAACAGCAGTAAAACAAGTAGTTGACGCGATCCCCGGGGGGCTTAAAGAGGAGCACACTCGGACTTACTTTAGCACCCTGAGAAGCAGCACGATCTACTAATTCACTACATATGGCGGCATTTCGGGTAATGACAGAAGACGCGCAAAACTGAGCAACAGCAGCAAAGGGCCAAGTCATTTCTTTCCAGGCTGCAAAATGAAAGCGGACGGTCGGCCAAGTAAGTATAGGTATAACCTACTGTTCAAGTTTGCAATAGTTACACCAAACACAAACTAAAGAAAAGGTTACACCAACAGCGGCACCTCTCCACTTGTCAGTCTACACGTCAGCCAGTCAGTACGATCTATTCAGCGTTGTCGCGTCGTAGAGACACTACACGTCTTTTACATTATCATTGCAGATATAACTACGGTATATACTGTGCATAACTCACTCAATGGCACGGGATGTTTTCGTGACCGCACCCATCTATTGAAAATCGGACGTCTCAACATCAAATATGGCGGACTCGTCCGTCCGGGACTCCGGCGCATGTGAGATGGTGTGTCGATAGTATATGCTACTTGGGTATTTAAAGCTCAAGAGAAAAGGTCCATGACTTTAGTCAAGTACCACGTGTGGTATACAGCATTCTATGGGCGTCTCCGCTTCAAAAATTACAGCTGCAGCAGCTTTGCTGAGATGATGATGGGTTATGCTGCGTGCTTATGCATGAATAACCACTAATGCTGCGACATCGCACTTCTTTCCCTGCCGATCCTATGACACACAGTTTCGTTTTGTTGGGAAAAAAACAAGTTGTTGACGATGGTGTATAGTGTGCATCCTTCAAAGAACTGGACAGCCAACCCACTACACCGAAACAAAGGCGGTCTATACACCTTGTTTCGATGACGTAATGGTTTCATCCAAGCATACATTTTCGTTCGTGAGAAGCCCAGAACCCAAGAACGCGTCTCGGTTATACTTGACCGCTTGCTTGCTTTTTTTCCCTCGCTTTTCAATCGTTCTTTTTTTTTCAACTTTTTACTTTTTTTTTCTTTTTCCAGCATACGCACACACACGCCTTCATTTCGTCAACTACTTTATCTATAACTTGCATTCCGTACCACTGACCTTTTGTCTTTGCAGACCGCTCCATTCCTTGCCCAGCATATACGAAAAAAGCACACAATGTACAGTCCAGCTGCCAATCGTCTTCGGGATGCCACTGCTGCGGTGAGAACACGCTCGCCACTGGGAACGCCTCCACTATCTGCTTTTGAACCGACAGCGAGCAACTTGGCATCTTCACCGCACAGCGACGCAATACAGAGACCGGGTTCATCTTCAATAACTACAGCAGCAACAGGCGGTGCTACATCTTCCTCGGATCAATTAAACAATATCTTTAATGCAGTGCGACAGCAGGTAGGTTTCTTTCTTTTTCAATTCACAAACCATGTTTATGCATACTAGAGTAGTCTAACAACTCAACCTTCTTGATAGATACAAAAATGGGGCGAGAATGCCAAGTGGAAGATTGATCTTGTACTGCTGGATAACAGCCAAAGCCGTCAAGATTCACCGTCGCTACGAGCCCAACAACAACAACAACAGCCATCATCACCATCAGCTTCATCGACATCACAGAACTTACGGGTAACGACGGCCGTAGGTCACCAGGGATACATGTTGCCCGTATCCAATTCAACCCAGTATCCGGTATGGAAAGAAAATTGTGAATCACGAGTTATTCTATTTGGTGCATGACTCTGCCCGTTCTTCTACGCGAACGCGCTTTCTCTCGAATAACAGAAGAGGGCAACGGCTTGTTTCACTAAAACACGCGTCTTCAAATTTAGATGGACTATACTGCTCCAGCAACCATACCAAACGACATGTATGCAGAAGATCTTCGACAACAGGTAAAACTTGTTTGTGTGTTTCCACCGACGGCGGCGGCGGAGGAGGAGGAGGAGAAAAGATCCTGCAACTCAATGCACATACTTGATGCTTTTAGTTAAACGATTCACTTGAACGCCAACGCTATCTTGAGAGCATCGTACGATCACAAGCTGAGCAAATACATTATTCGCAAGCGTATCCACCAGACGCGAATAAGGCCATTGAAACCATGCGAAGCATATACATGATGTCGGTAAGTTTTGTAATTCTTTTTTTCAGTTATTTTTGGAAATAGCAGTAAGGTAGGAGTTTTGACCTAAATTATGCTAATGAACCGACACTGTTCTTGACCATCAATAGGAAAACGAACAAAAGCTACGGTATCTCGTTGACACCAAAGTCTTACACAAAGACATGGAGGCGTTGTCAAGGAAACTCAAGCGAGTGACATCGACATTGAACAGCATAGAGACCATGGAGCTGCCTCCAAAGGTAAGATTGAATTACGGTGCGGGTTTCAGAAACATGGTGTCTAATTGGATGGTGTATGTTTCGGGCTGTCTTTAGGATTCTCAGCTTACGATGGAAACGTTGTTGGATGAGCGAAAACTTTTGAAACGAAAGCTTCATCTAGCCGAATTACGAATCACTGCACGCGACGCTGAAATCGATTATCTACAACAGCTTGTTAAAACAAGCAACGAACAACAGCCACCAGCACAGCCATCAGCGCCTTCGTTCTATCCGCATTATGAGGCTAGTCCGCTAATACGTTCACCCAAACCCCCGCATCAGCAAGCGTTTGGCTCATCACCGAAACGCGGACCCCCTTACTTATTCCAGCAACAGTATTCGCCAAAAATGCGACATGATATACGGCCTCCTCCAATGTCACAACAGCAACAGCAACTACCAGAACAAAAAGAAACAAGTAGTCCTCAACAGCAGCAACAACAACAGCAGCAACAGCAGCAACAGCAGCAGCACATGTCTGCATTGGAGAGCCTTGGCATTGTTGCTGACCGTATGCTAAGCGACCCTGGCTTTACAGGACAAGATAAGGCACAACAAAAAGAGACCGTCGATGCAAAGAGCAGCAAAGACAACAGCCCAAAATATGACATCAATCGGTCGAAGCGGTCCATCGACTCGGCTAACGCTCTACTGTCCATGCCAACAACGCTCATGTTTCCAACGCAGAATCCCGAAAGCAATGCTGACACTAGCACAGGGAGTAGTAGCAAAAACAAGGAGCCACCTGGCACAGACGTTACCATGACAGAAGCTAGCGCACAAAATCTGGAGCAGGAGCAGCGTCTTAAAAAAGCACGCGTTGAACGCTCCTCTAATAACAACACAAGTGGTAGAAACGATGAAGAGCAACAACAACCCAACGCGAGTCAATCGCCTTCCATAGCAGCCTTATTGGACCAACCATCACCAACAGCAAACACTTCTGCTGGTGGCAAGAATGCTTCTTCCTCAAAACATACAGCGAATAATCATCAAAGACGGACAGCAACAGCACCACAGCAATTTTCACCTCATGCCACACCTCCTCTTGCGCCTGCATATGAATCCGACCCTCGAAGCCAACCTCATCATCATCATCATCATCATCATAATCATCAACCCGTCGTTCCCGAAGAGCGCCTACCGCCTCCTGCACCTGGCTATCGACCGCCTTCGCCCGCATCCACGCCCAAAGGACGACGCCATTCTGCACAACAAATCAATCGCACGAGCAATGCAAGTCATAACGTATAATTCATCATAATAAACATTTCACATTAAGCGCAGCATCCAGATACATATTTACTTGTGTGACAGCCAAAATTTTAGCTCATTCTAACTCTCTCGCGCGCGCGGTACGCTTTGTTACACCTTCTTTTAAAGATCTCTCTTCTCTTCCACTTCATTTTATTTTTTTTTCTCTCTCTTTTTTTTTACACTACTACTACTACTACTACTACAACTACACTTTTGTTCAATAGCAATAAAAAAAAGCATTCAATTTTCTTTAAAAAAACATACACAAAAACCAACCATGAAGAAGAAATATAAAACCAAATTCCCAGTTGTAAGTACTTGCAGAAACTGTGCGGGTGAAGAAAAGAACAGAAAGGAAGTTTTTTTTTCCTCCACCAGTTGAAATGAGAGGAAGAAGTTTGCTAATGATTAAGGATTCGTTACATTTTCTTTTAGGCACGAATTAAAAAGATCATGCAATTAGACGAAGATGTCGGCAAAGTAGCACAAGCAACGCCAGTATTAATCTGTAAGTTTATTAGTAGTGCTCGCCCCCCTCCACCCTTCAAAGTTTCCGAAGTGTTAGCGGTAGTTTTTTTTTACTAATTGTGAAATCAGCCAAAGCTCTGGAATTGTTCATGCAATCGTTAATCGACCAAGCGTGCCAGGAAACAAGACAACGGAATGCCAAACGTTTATCAGCTGCTCACTTGTAAGTTTGTCTTTCACAGATATAAAGAGCTGTTGGAGGGGGGAGAGGGGGGGGGAAAGGAAGAGAAGAGAAGAACAAAGAAATGTGCAGGATATTGAAAAGGGAAATTGGTAGAAAAAAGACGATCGAAACAGTGGAGCAGTTCGACTTTCTAAAGGACGTGGTCGCCAACATACCCGATCCAATCGAACCGTCAGCATCGTCAGCTGCAGCAGCAGGAGAGGATGATGGTGAATCCAAACCTACCCGATCCAGTCGACGCTCAAAGAAAGCAGTTGCTAAGGATGAGCCAATGGACATGTAATTAGAATATTCTCTCTCTCTCTCTCTCTTTCTCTCTTTCTCTCTTTCTCTCTTTCTCTCTGTGTATAGCTGAACATTTCATCCTCTTTCTCCTCCTTTGTCTTCCTCCTCATCGTCACCCATCAAACGCCCACTCTCTTTGCCATTTTCATCGCTTTTATTCCTCGCTTACTCCAACCTTTCCATACAGTAGTAAAGCACCAGGTCAATTGATGCGTTTCGTTTTGTTGTGGATTTGTCACTTTCTGGGAGCTTTTTGCTAGCTTTTGTAAAAGGAGTTGAAGGGATTCAAACTATGCGGGTTATAAGCATCGAGAGGATGGTCACCAGAGAAGGAGAGAAGCTTATTGCAGAGAGTTACAGATACAATGTCATCAGTACTGTTTCTCTCAAGTTTAAACATGTTGCATCGTCCAATAATCTAGACAACTCTGCAGAAAAGGCTCGAGACCGGTCTCGTTTTAACAATTTGTGATTCGACAAGTATCGGCAACAGCGTCAGCACCACCCGAAGAACCATTGCTTGTGCATCGTACAACACCGGATACGGCGATATCTTCATATAATCCACAAACCCAGCTATAGGTATTATGATAGCAACGGGCATCAGCGGACAAATAGTCATGCAGCATTGGAGAGCAAAACCCGAATCGGGAGTAAGTCGGAAAGGGTTGACAGAAAGCAGGAGGATGCAAGCCTAGAAATTGAGTACATAGTCCCCATTTCTTATATTTGGCGAGAAGAACTTTCATGTATTGTAGCAAAAAAAGGTCTTAAAGATTAATAAAGATAACACAAGGTAGCTGACAATACGACCGACACAAGGGTGCTTGAAACGGGATATGATATCTGTGATGACGAGGAATCGTAGATACTGCTGGGTATAGGTGTTTCGGTTGCGATTTGCGTGCTAGGCAGTTGGGCCCCAGAGTCGACGTTATTAAAGGATGGTCCTGCTGTAGGCACGCTTTCCTCTACAGCAGTGATACGTGATACAATTTGTGTTGCAGAAGTTGATGAATGTCCATGTACTGTATGTGCTGCTCTCAAGTAGTAAAATAAAAATAAGCGGATGTCAAACTTACGGGCGACGACTCTTATTTGGGCAAAACATGCCAAAAGTAAGAGGGTTGTATAGAGCGTCTTTGAAACTTCTCTGAGATTCATGATATGAATGGAAAAAGGAAAAAAGAGAAAGAAAGACAAACGTTGCACATGCTCTCACATTTTATACACTTGCACGCAAAACTTCAAAGTTTAGTCTTCCTGATTCGACATGTCAGCGTCGTACCAAAGCAGATCTATGATTTCCTTTTTGTATCAAATTCGCCTTGTCGCTGTCATATGCAGTACGCAATATAAATGTGTACATGTTTGTATGTGTCGTTCAAAATGACGTTTCTAGAAAAGATAGAGTCTACAGTCGCTTTTTCTGTGGTCCACTTTTCTGTACTTATACAGTAGAAGGAAAGAAATATAAAGTCTGTATGTAGAGTGTGTGACCCAACGGACACAAAAACAAGATCACTGTACATAACATCCTTCATTGGTTTAGTCTGCTTTTTGTTTTCTCGTGTGACAAATTTTGAATAACGCAACTTCTACAATGATATGCACAGTAGCGTCTTATAATAATACTCCACGTTACGTGTAGTTGCTTTTTGCAACCTTTAAAATACAAAGGATTGAGAAAAGTCATCGATTATTGTTACTGTACTCTAACCATATGCAGTGATACACATACCAATAGGTCAATTATCTTTCAGATAATATTGCTATGATAATGACATTTGAGAACATACTAGCGGTGTCGCAATTTTATCGTAGTGCAATACGTAGTTTATCATACCATTGGCAAACATGTAAGGATATGTCCAACAGATAGATGAGGCAAGATGTAATAGCGTATATTATATATCATAGGGTTCTTGGTAGGATGCCAAAGCAAGAGGTCGTCGTCAAAAATCTTCTCACTATCATAGATGTAGATTACAAACTGGTTTAGAGTCACGCTTTGATATAGAAACAACGAGACAAAGCACTTCAAAAGTAGGTAGCATACGAGCATTTTATTCCTCAAGACTTCATAGCTATACTTCATATTGAATGATGTTGAATTTATAATAAAGGAGACAAGAGAGCGAGCAAAAGCAGCTACATACATACGTGGTATATACCTCACATAAGCGAGAGCGATGCCCATCAATAAGTCTTAAATCAACACAACAAGAGCGCTTAAAGTTGATTATGGATGTGTTCCTCCAGGTGACAATGTTAAATTGACATTTGAAAAACGAGCGACCCCTGGGAAGTTTATACACCAACTGTTACAAAATCTTAATCTGAGAATCCAGAAAACTGGGCTTTGCCAAATGCTTTTGATCACAGAAGTATGTGTTATTTCCGTTGCTACTTTCAATATCATTGTTTTGTGCACAGGTATGTATACTTTATTATTTAGATATTGCGAATGCACGCAGTACCATATAACTCTCTCAGAGGATGTCTTTCAGGCGACTGCACTGGTGGTGCCCTTGCAGCCAGAGCAATTTGTATTTGGCAAGAAAACAGTTTCATCTTGTGCAACCACACCCGAAAATTAGTCGCATATTTGGCCAGATACTGTACGGAACTGCTTTAATCATGGAATGAATCATCCCGTACTCTTTATAATTTTTCATATACAGCACCTCGCATGACATTAGGCTTCGTGTTGCTCATATAGTAGCATTCTATAACGCTCAGGGTATAGGAACGTGGACATGAAACAGCATAAGCTCAGATTATTGAACCTCTATCACGAACCATTATTGTTAGACAATAATGCAATAATAATACAAGATCCTACAGTAAAGTCCCTTTTTTTTTCATACATAAATTCTCTGAAAACAAGGGATTGTGAAAGTTAACGAATACTAGGACAAACTACATATTGCGGAGCAAATATATACGCATATATAGCAGACATGCATAGCGAGGCACTGCTGCGGTTTTCTCATTTATGATGTTTATAATTAACGGCGCATACCGACTTTATGATAGCAGCTGTTGTATCCAACATGGTCAATAACACATACTATTTGTTCCGTTACTAGTGATTTCTGTTACTGTATCATATTATTTCCCTCATAACCTCACGTGGGTCGAGGATTCATTATCCAGGCACATTATGATGTCTTGATGTATTTATCCGATGCATTCACCTTTACTGACCTTTACTCACAAACTACATTACTGATCCTCCCGTATAATCATTTATATTAACTCAGCCGTTCAATGCACATACTGGATAGCTGCCAATCATATACTGTACCACTTTTTATACAGTAGATAGAGAATTACAGCCGATGCAGTTTTAACCCTGAATTGATCCGTTGGAAGTAAACATGTGGGGATGTAAATTTCTATTATGTTACTCTTACCATTCTCAAAGTTTCGATGAAGTCATTTGCAAGCTGAAGGTTAATGGATTCGAAATAAAGGGGGTCGACCGCAGCTGTGCGATTTACGTATTATCTATCCTAAAAGGTACAGTCAAATTCCAATACAAAAACTCTCAGTCTATACACACTGCGCATCGTTCCTTCCCGCTTAGTTTTACATGATGCTTGCTATTTTGTGTATTCCCAAACACATCAATACTGAAATCAAATAATTCATTGAAAGAAAACGATAGTCCTCAAGGTATTATACTTTTGTTATAGAAATATCACCATCAAAAATTCAAAAGATTGTGATAACCGCCACACAGCCGATAAGTCCCAAACAAGCCAGAATCCGCCAAATAGTAATTCGTCGTTTCGCAATACCTGTCAAGCCGAAATGATCCATGATACATGCCATGATTATCTATACCCACGCAATATAGATGCCCAGAGAGAGGAAGAAGGCAAAGGATATATCAAAGTTATTTTAGGCTGTTCACTTCACTAAATTGTTCAAATGATGCTTATAGCTATACATTTTCTTTGTGATTAGAAGAAAAAGAGAGAGAGAGAGTAACTACTTGCCTGAGAGCACACATTCACACTAAGCACAGTGCCTGCGCCCATGTTGATCACCGTAAAAATATTGATAATGACATAGTAAGTTCCTAGTATTCCACCTAGCAAAGATTACCAGATGAATATATTGTTGTAACATGTCGGTAAGCGTTTATAATGACCACCTTTGAATCATACATACCGATCCACGAATACCACGGGCTCTCTGAGGGGGAGGGGGAGAATGGACGATATATATATGTTAATTCGTGAGAAAAACTTGAATGGTTTATGTTAATACCTTTTAAACGGCTAAACCGGGGTCGTGGAGTTTTTAGAACTAATACATCAAATGCAAAAGCAAGCAAGTTGGCCATCAATCCAATCACAAAATTGGCTGTTGCAGAGAACGATCGACCAGCAATTACACGCATGGAACCATTGGTACCTAAATTATTTTTTAAGGTTTAAAATTTTACGTGTTGTATGTGAGTCATTTTTCTATTTTGCATTTTGTCCGAAGCCTAATTATCTCTTTTCCGTTTCTCTCATATATATCTAGAACCTGCTATTGTGGATGCGTACCAGATTGAACAGCAACAGCCATTCCACCAGTGATCATAAAAAATACAGCAACGGCTTTGCCATCGTGAAAAAAATGTTGAATGCGATGGCTTATGCTGTTACTACTGCTCTTATCGATATAATTGCCTTCATCTATAATTCGTTGATCTTTGTCGTTTGTCGTAGCAGCAACTTCCGGTACCACAGCAGTATCAGTAGCAGGAGGTCGCTGCCGTAACTGCTCTTCATCATTGCTGAGGTTGTCGTCATCGTTCATCGTTGCCGTACTTGTGTCTGTTTCAAGTTGCTGTTGCTGCTGCTCCTGCTGTCTTTCATCGACCGCTCTTTGTCTCTGTTGAAGATCGAGGATGCTGTCATGGACTGTAGATACAGATGATTCATCGTCCTTCTCCTCGTCACGTCGACTCATAATAATACTAAAGAAAAAGGTGCTGCGGAAATGAAAATTGAATAGCAGTAGAGAGGGAAAAAAGTACAATGAGGGAAAAAAAGAAACCAACTCCTTCGTATCATTCCTTTTCTTTTATTCAGGGTTAATACATAATTCACGCTTTGGTCCGTGTGTCACCCCAATGTATTACTCAGCAAAAGAGGTAGTCTCAGCTTGATCCGGCCAGAGGATCGGAGGCATACTCTCGCTTTTCTTTCCATTTCATTTTTGCAGATCAAAGACTGATCCAAATGGTATGGTCACTGACTCCGTCTACAAAGGTAAAGGCGTATTGGGCCATGAATTTTCCGAGGATACCAAAGAGCATGATTGCCAGTACGCGTAAACTTGAAATTTCCAAATAAACTATTGAATTACATGTCGTTAAAAGCAAATAACAAAAGGGATCAGAGAATGATTTCTTTGCTTCTCTATGTCCTTTTTTCTTCAATCTGTCTGTGTACCTGATAACGCTTCAGTATTGGAAGCCAGCACAATTAGACCGACGAGATAAGAGTATTCGAGCTGTTTGTAATCCCATATCACCATGAGGATAAGTAGCATTTTACCGAAACTGGATATGACGAGCGCCATAGCAACATAATTGTATCTATTACAGGGCACGACCTTTTCAATTAGCTATAATGGTGGCAATCAAATACAGGAAGCAAGAGACATGCCTTATCTTTTTTGATCGGGGCACAAGCACTTGGATCGCCAGATTGATAAAGCCATGAAATGCAACAAATTCTACAAAGCGATTGTCATTACTAGAACATCTATCAAAGACACGCATTTTGGTTCGCTTACCAAACACACAAAGAGCAAGTATATAAAGGTATTGATGGTATAACGGCCGAGGTGCAAATGTGGAATTGTAATCGGCATAGTAAGTTTCAAGACGAAACCATTTGATATCTATTCCCCGTTATGTGGGATATGGTTAAACGTGTTGATGAAAATTCAGGCAAAAAATGCATGCGTACTCACAAACTTCAAACAATATGAGTAAAATGGCGAAACGCGACACGTGAGGCTGTTATTGGGAGAGCTCGTTCAGATGAATAACGCGTCTCTTGTAAACCTTCACTCGCACTATCTCTTTCCACGTTTCTTTTTACTCTTGGTAAATTTTACCTCTATACCATTTCCAGATTGTGCTATACGATTGAACAGTAAATGTCGATATACTTGAGGTTTCAACAGCAACATGTCAATGAATATTATTACAAAGTCGTGTTCAATGTATTTATCTGCAAAACGATTGCACTTTTCCTATTTGTATATGAGAAGCACATTAACAACAACAACAACAATAGCATCAGCGGTCTTTACTAGTATGCTCTGTGTTAATTAAACTGTACTTACACATGATGTCAAACGAATATTATCTTTACTGTATTGTGTATACAAATCTCGGACCAATGATCCACATTCCACACATGTTGGCATTGTGGGGGAAAGAAAAACCAGTAAAACGATGGAAAGGAGGACGAAAAAATGAAGTGGAATGAAGTACAATAAGGGGAATATATTAAGGAAAAACGATGACAGGTGAAGACAGCAGTGTGGTCTTGCGGGTAAAATGACGGTGGCGGTGGTGATGTAGTGGAAAAGGTGATGCTGCGTTCTGTGTGAGAAGATAAAATCGACTCTGTTCTTTTTTTCTATATCTATTATACGGTGTGCGTGTGTGTATGTGCTTGTGTGTGCGTGTGTGTAATGCGACGAAGAAAGGGTAAAGAAGACAATAATAGCAGTAATATATACAGTTGAAAAAAATGACGTCTTTCTCAACTGATAACACACTTGTTCTTCGATCGTCGCTTGTATATCTCAATGTATTTTAACTGCTTGTTATTAATCGCACCTCGTCGCCGTTCACGGATATAGGCGACAGCATCTAGCGCAGGCATCCCCAACTCAATCAAAGCTATCGCGACTAATACAGGCGCTCTATTTTAAAAATGACAGTAGTATCATAAACCACGTTACTATCATCCACTCACGCAACACACCAACCAACAACCAAAAAATATCTGATTTAACCATTCTACCTTCCAAGACCCGCCACACAATGCGTAGCAATGCATGGTGCAGGAGGGTCGCCATCCTGTCGCTGTTTGTCTTGCTGCTCTGGAAACCGTTCGTCGACCAAATTTAGCCATGCATCAACAATGGTAGCAGGTGGTGCCTCGCCGTCCCCAAATACCCAGTCATGCACCTGGATCCCTTTTTCCTCCAACAATGTGGGCGAATACGTGGCGTAGCAGCACCTGACAACGTCGCTTACGTTCCATCGGTTGAATTCCTTATATATACATTCAATAAATATGGAGAAAACATGGACTCACCCAGCAGCCATTTGCGCATTCAACATGTCTTCGCTCCTTCTTTGCATAACTACACTTATATCCGCTCACAGTATAATACATTGTTGTTGTTACCTCTATGTAGAGTGGTAGATTGTTGTTGCTTGGTGCATCGACAATCAAAAAGCGAGCACCTTTATATTCAATATATGTCGGAGGATTGATAAGCGATCGCTGTCCGGTACCAAACTGTGGAGATCGAGAATACATTTTTTCTGGATTGTATCATGTGTGGTACGCCATAAATATGTTTTTGTAAAAGAATGAGTCACTGATTGATTGATTTGCATTTTCATATGCACCGGCACATGATATCATGTCCTGTTTCTTTACCTTTTCAAAAACAGACGCAAAGAGAGAAAAACTGGAATATGTATATATAGTGCAAGAAACTACAGTAGTGGTAGTACTGGTGATAAAGAACGAGAATAAGGAAGTTTGGCGGGCTGCTGCTGCTGCTTGTTGCGAATTCAATCGCAGTGTTTAGATGGACTCGATGTGAGCTAGTAAATGTTATGCGTCGTAGTTTTCTGCCGAAGTTCTTGTAAGGAGTTCCCGAAAATAGATGGGTTTTCAAAAACTGCGTTGAAACAAAGTAATGGAATGGGCAAATCAGCAAAGAAGTAGTTCCATTTGTCCGAGGACTCAGAGCATTACCGCTAGTCGATGTAAATGACGAGAAAGAGAGAGAAGGAAAGAAAAAAATACAAGAAAAAAAAGTAAGGAAGAGGGTAACACGGAACAACCCTGCGTGTGTAGGTGTGTATGTATGCGTGTATGTGTTTAGCTCGGTGCTACGCACGATGTACTTGGTGCAGCTGGCAAGCATTGGCGACACCTGCCGGCATTTCTCCACAGCAGCAGCAATATATAGCGGAACCATAATACATGAGTGTCGCTGACTAGGCGATCTTCTTCACTGAACTCCATTCGATCCATTTAATCTACTATTACTACTACATACTACAGGCATATGGTCCATTCGTTCACAATAACATTGTATTCCCTTCAGCCTCTTTGTTGTTGTTCTATGCGGGATCGTCTCCCGTATTTTTATTCTTTTAAAAACAAAAAAACAATTGGTGGGGATGGAACTATGCTTTAGTTTCAACAGCGTTGTCCTTGTTATCAATAATGTTCAATCGAGGCATGTTGGAGGTGGCAGCAGCATTAGCGGCACTCTTCAACTTGGCGTTCTTTTCAGCCTGCTTCAATTCTTCGGCTTTGATGTGTGCGACACGTGCAAACTAAAATATTCATATATAACCGAAATATTCATACGCGATCAGTTATCTCGCGTTCTTTTCTACTCTTTCTCTTTCTTTCATTATCGAATATGATTCGTACCTCCTTGGTGTGATGAAGGCATTCCATATAATCGTCACGTTGGGCATTGCACTGTTGAGGGAAATCGGCGCCAGCATAGCATTTGTTGAATTCTTGCCAAAAGTGGAAGCATCGGCCACGGCCTAATATATATTTTTTCCAATTTAGTTTTTAAGTTAATGAAAACCTGTATTCGTACTTTTTTTTGACTTCATTCTTTATGTATTTTTATTATAGCACAGTTTCAGTGAATTGATTGCTTACCGCCATTCAAACCGAAACCTGAAGCCATTGTGTAGTTGTAATGTTACGCTTGAAAGTTGGAACTCTGGGTCTATAAACAATTTTGAGACGAGAGAGAGGGACCGCCAAAAAAGTGACGTCGCTTCGGCCGAGCTCAGCCAATCAGAATCGGATGTTGTCAAAGAGATAGCTAGAATATATAAATGCCAGCGCTGCCAACTTACATGTAAACCCTTTATATCAAATAGTATACCGGTAATTTTTAACGTTAAAAAACCTTGATTTTACTGTCAATCCCGTACTATTCTGACTCTATATGCTTTTCAGCAATGATACTCAAACCCTCACTTTTACGTAATCATTCTCAAACAAACATGCGGAAATAGTATATATTCCTTAGCAGCGGTCCATAGCAACATCATGTGCTACCTAGCAACAGGAACATTTTTCATCTTAACAGCACGTTTTCTATAGCAGCAGAGCACTTATCATAACGACAGCACGTTTTTCATAGTAACGGTAGCGGGCTCTCATTCAGTAACGCTATGTCTGCCTCAGCAACAGCAGATGTGCCGGTCTGCTTCAGTGCGTTTTCCCCAGCAAAAGCGCAACAGCCATCAATAAGAAGAAGAGTTTAGTCGCCATACAAATGACGTCAACTGCAACACTCAGCTTCGCTCTAAGCTGGCGTGGGTGGGATTGTGTGGCAAACTACGATTTGACAATCTCGGGTTCACAGATACAAACTTTTAAGACCAATATGGTTTAAGCATTCTTGTCCCTTTACTGATGAAAATTTCGAAAGAAAAGGTCCTTATGGTAGGTAACCTGGTACATTAAGAGATTTAGTACCTCGCTGAAGACCGAATAAAGTCGCATACACTAACGAAACAAGAGTATCGTACTTTCTTGCTCTACCTGAAGAACACTATAGGACATGCAAGCAGAAAAGTACTATTGTTTCGATATCAAGTAATAATTTAATAAGTGTGCACTTCATCTTTTTGCCCTCTGTGCGACACAGATCGGCCAATCGAAAGTGCAGCCAAGGATGATTAGCCAATTATTGGCATTCAACGTAAGAGGTTGCACACACATCATGCCACACCAAAACGGCTTTGATGAACCTGAGTTTTTTCACGCTTCTGGAAAAAACATAATATTGACTCTATACAACTCCGTTTTTTGTAACCTTTTTAGAGAAAAAGAGAGACGCTCGGTCCATTCCGTTATCTCTTTTCTTTTCCCTTGTCTATTTTTATCGTATTTTTCTACAATCGTGAGTAATTTAAAAAACCTCACACCAAATGACACAGTCTACAAAACCGGCGACGGCAAAAGGCGGGATTGTGATCTCCGTCATTACCGCGCTCTTGATTGACTTATTGGCATTCACTCTTATTCTGCCACTATTTCCTCGTTTACTAAACTACTACAGACAAGAAGAAGCAGGAAACAAGGTTAGTAATAACATTGGCAGGAGACATTTTATGTTCTATTGTTTTATTCTCTAGAAATATGTTTATGAAGAGGTGCTGGGTAATTAATGCCTGTTGCAACTATTAGGAAACACTGCTTGGATATGCATTGCAGATTATGGAACAATACAAGCATTTAATATCTGGCGATAGAGGGCATGGGAACAAATGGGATACGGTGTTTCTTGGAGGTTTACTAGGCTCGCTCTTCTCCCTTTTGCAGTTCATCGTATCACCCATCATTGGTCGAGCCAGTGATCGATTTGGGCGACGAAAGGTGCTCCTGTATACGATGGTAAGGAAGTGATCAGTCTCGAGACGAGCTAATGCAGTACTAATCTTAAATGTTTGTAAACGATAGATTGGTAACCTGCTTTCGACAGGTATCTGGATCTTTGCTCGGTCATTTACAATGTTCCTGCTCGCCCGTATCGTTGCGGGACTTAGTGAAGGCAATGTCCAACTCAGCATTGCCATTATATCAGATGTCACTCCGCCTTTACAGCGATCGCGAAGCTTGGTGAGAAACTTCCCCCTTTTAAAAAGAATCCGATATTGCAATATTGTGATCGACTCATAAAAAACGCCTAAATTAAATATATAGGCTCTCGTGGGTATTGCTTTTGCTGTAGCATTCACATTTGGACCCGCTATTGGGGCTTGGTTTGCTTCAGTCGATCTGAGCAAGATCTTCCCCGGTGCAAGCGGTATTTACCCATTCTCTATGCCAGCAATTGTTGCACTAGTGCTATTATCGATCGAGACGCTATACATCTTCAACAAGATCCCAGAGACAAAGGAAGCCAAATCAGCAGCAGCAAGGAAAGAAGAACAGACCCATACCAAAACACTGAAAAACAATGTCGAGTCGGTCGAACAACGTATCAGCAATTTACGCCGACTTAAACTGATCCACTGCCTGCATTTATTTCTGTTTTCGGGCATGGAGTTTACCCTTGTTTTCTTGACATTCGACGTGTTGGACTACTCGAATATGCAGCAAGGGAAATTGCTCGGTTACATGGGTATTTTGTCTGCGTTGCTTCAAGGGGGCTATGTGCGTCGACAGGTGCAACGGTTGGGCGAAAAAATGTTGGTATTGCAGGGTATGGCGGCTTGTGTCATTGGTTTATCGTCGCTAGCGATGGTGGCGTCGAGTGCATATGCTGTTCAATGGCTCTATTTCGGCGTTTCGTGTCTTGCACTAACGACAGGCACTGTTGTTAACTGTCTCACTGGACTGGCGAGTTTACAATGTCAGGAGGAGGAGGATAGTGATAATGACAAAACCAACGACGAAAAGAAGACCCATCCATCACTTGCCAAAGGAAGAGCCCTCGGCGAATTTCGTAGTTCCGGACAACTGGGGCGTGCATTGGGTCCTGTTTCAGCATGCGGTTTATACTGGCTTGCCGGTCCAACTAAATGCTACGGTACGGGAGCTATCATCATGAGTGCTGTTACCGTGACAACATTTTTAAGTGTTCCATCCACTCGAAAAGTAGTAAAAACAGAATAATAAAAGTTGAATGACCCAAAATTTGTAATTAGAATAGATGAGTAGTGGTACTTTATTATTAATTATCTAGATAGTACAAAATAAAACAGAGAGAGCCAACACGACAGTAGTACCAACACGTTTAGGAAGAGAACTAGTGCAAGCGAAGCAACTGTGATTAATACGAGTGTGCAAAAACTTTGATAATCTATGCGACTTACATAGTTGCTGGGAACAATGCCCACGCTGCCGTCAGCCTTCTTGGCTTGCCACCAATTACCCTTTCTGTCGAGGATTTCGAGCGTTTCATCCTTGGAAAAAGTCAACTCGTTTGGATCCTCAGGGTTTGCTTGGTCTAATAGAAGAACAATGTTGAAATGACAGCACGAATGAATATTGGATGTAGATGAGCTAAGGTAAACTACACGTCGCTGAAAACTTACATGAATGCAGAGCACTGGCCGTGGGGAACTTTTGGTGTTCTTGATGCGCCTGGGGAATAGGCGGATTGTTGTTGTTGTTGGCTGGGGTTTGAGGAAGAGGGTTTTCCTTGTTCTGGGACGGCGAGACAAAGTTGCGCTGGATCATGGGTGCGTTGATGCGCGGCAAACCGCCGCCATGACGACCACCGTAGAACAACGAGTACAACTTGGATTCCTCAGAGCATCCGAGCAAGAAGACCCAAAGATATTGCATGATGATGAGGATAATCAAACCACCCAAGGTTGCCTTGGCACCGCTGGTCTGCTCTTGTTCATAGTAGACGATAGGAATGAGATATGTCAAATAGACAATACTGATGGCCAACAATGTCAAAAGCTAGAAATTATAAAATTATACCGATGAGTTGCCCTTCAATCATTTTTAGACGCAATCCAATTAAGATAGAATACTTTACCAGGCCTCTGTGAGGACCGAATCCACCAACACCTATCGCTACAATCATGCCCACTGTAAAGAATAGTTCAAAGATAATAATCCACCACGTCACGCCGTGAAAAGCGGCAACACAAGCGCCGATAAATGCAATAAGCCAGCCTGCCTATTGAGAACGCACAAGAGTGATGAGAATCGATAGCATCATGTAGACATTCTGTAAGTTAGAACATTGATTGATGTTATCTTACAACTGCGAATGCTGCGGTGCCCAAGACGAGCGGATTAGTCAGAGGATAGATGTTTCCGTAGCTGTCCATGATGAACGAGTAAAGAAAAGATCAATAGCCATGGTAAAAGTCGCGTTGGCTCCATTTATTCCAACGCCTCGACGGGGGTCTCTCTGTTTCTTTTGGCTTGCAAGGGAGGTATAACATGTTTCATCATGGGGGAGGGGGTGGTTGAATAAGCATCATACTCCGAGTTTTGTTAAATACATATGCACGCGATGGTGACTATGAATGATTGACTAGAAACAAGTGGAACTATGAAGATGAATCTACGTGGTGACATAAATCTGTGCAAAGGACAACGCGAAAATTCGGTTTATAAATACTGTAAGAACTCGATATGATGCAAAAACTATATACACACATCATACACGCACTCATTTAGGATATAGCGCCATCCACCCACACTCTTTTGTTCTAGAAGGTATACGTATAAGCTACACAAATTTTCCGAGTTTCCCGGCGTTTGGCAAGTGACAGATGAATGCGAAACAAATAAATAAACACTCATACACTATATTGCGAGGTCGAACACTGCTATGTTACAAGTAAATCCTTGTACATTTATTGATAGAATGATGATGTATGATTTTGACCATCTCAAGTACTTGGAATAGAAGTGCTACAATAGTTACTTTGATTCCCTCATCAACTATGATACCTTTTTCAGCACAACAAACCCAAGATGATATCACTCCCACAAAAGGCACTTCATTCTGCGGCAAAAGACATCGACGTACCGTCAAAACAACAAGCTAAAATACTTTCATCGCAGGTACGCGTACACTCCCGGTTTCCTTCCTTTCACCCTTCCTTCAATCGGAAACCACACAGCGATATAGACACTTTACCATAGCTCATGATCGACAACATCATCATCCATTTGATATTTTCACAATACAGCACAAGGGAAAAGAGAGAGACACATAAAAAAGAGGTTGATCTGTACACTATTGCAGCACAAAAGTGGGCGATGACTTATTGATTCAAAGACAATAAACTAATAAACGATCGTCCAACTTGTTGAAAGATGGCTACATATGTCTAAGGCTCCGTTTAACGGTACTATTATACAAGAAAAAATTTTGGTTAGTCAGTAACTATTTTTTTCCTTGAAGGTCGAAATGCCCACATGCCACGTTTCCCCTTTTCTTCGCAATTAGAAAAAGAAATTCACCTTGTGGAAACCAATATCGTTGGCATATTCACGGAAGCACTGACGGCAGATGTTCAAGTTGTACTTGCGGATCAAAGCAGCACTGTGAGCGCAGACACGGCTAATTTTACAGAATTTATTTTTTTTCAAAACGGAACATGTATACATTAGGTCCAATTGAAATTGAAGACAAGCAAAGCACTAATAGAAAAGCGAATATAGGAAAGAATACATACCACTGACGGGAGCCCTTACCGAACTGACGGGGGCGCGAGTTCCAAACGTTAGCGTGAGCCATTTTTTAAAGCGATTGAGAGAAGGAAGCAGGCTTTTCAAAAATTGCCAACCTTTTTTTACCCTGTGGCTTCGCTGCGTATTCGGAAAGAGCCAATGAAATTGCAGCATGCGGGTTCCGTTTGACTTCCGGTCGTTTTATGGTTGGCGGCGGGCACTTGAGTACGTTACAATAGTAAGCAGGCACACAAACAAGTGCATGCAAGCATTTGCCAATAAGTACATTTTACTTTGGAAATAGAGAACAAACATTGAGGCTTATTACAAATAGCTCAAATTTCAAGATATTTTATATATAAATATAAGAGAAAATAGATATAAGAATGTTCAAACAACAAGGTGGGTGGGGTGTATATGGTTCAGAAAAGAAGAAAAAAGTAGTGGGAGAGGAAAGAAGACAATTCACATATGTAAAGAGAAGAACAGAGAAATAGAGGTATATATAACGACGTGTCTATCGCGACGAGTTCATAAGGCCAGAAATCCAAGAGGTACGCTTATCGCGTGGGCTAGGTGCTTCACCGTTCTCCGAAACAGTGCCTCCACCACGCAAGGGCTTAGCAATACGGCCAAATGTCAGTGCAGCCATCGAGTTCTGCGACTTTTGCTGCGAGCGTGCATGCTCAAGACGTTCACGCACAGCTTGCAGCTGGGCCTCGAACTTTTGGTTCTGTGTGATCAATTTTTCTTGAGCGTCTTGCAAGAGTGATTCGAGGCTCTGGATACGCTCATTACGAGCAATCAGCTTGCGTTCGGCTAACGCGACTTCTTTCTTGAGCGATGCGTTCTGTTCAACGAGCTATTGAAATAAAAGTTGTTGACTTAGCAATCGTTTTCTTTTCCGGCATGTAGCTGTTGGCTTATTACCTGCTTCTGCACGTTAGTCAACTGCTCCAGGTTGCGTTCCAAGAAGGCCATCTTCTTTTGCTGGGCCTTGTTGTTGCTCGTCTTGAGAACGTTGTTGTAATGCTCTCGCGTCTCATCAAGCGACATTTCAAGTTCGACCACACGCTCACATCGGTTTTGCAGGTCGCGCATCAATGCCTTCTTCATCACTTCAAAGTCGGCCAACTGCTGAGCCATGGACTTGCGCATACGCTCAAGATCCTTCTCCTTTTCAGAGAGATCACCAGTGCCAGCGGGTGCTGGAGCAGCAGCCTTGTCCGCAAGCGTAGCTTGCAATTGATCGTTGGCAGCCGTGAGATCGGCCATGGCCTTAGCAAGTCGTTCCTGATCTTGCTGCTTGCGCTCCACCTCGCTCTTGAGCTCTTCAATCTCCTTCTGCTGCACCTCCTTTTTGGCATTGTGGGCAGCCTCGAGTTTACTCTTGATCTCGGCGATCGTCTCAGCAATGTCAGCCTTGGACTTGACGCCAGCTTCTTCTTCGGCAATTGTCTTGTCGAGAAGTTCTTCGTACTCTTGTTCAAGGGTACCGAGTCTGGCCTCGAGATCGGTCTTTTTGCGTTCGATTGCACCCTTCTCGTAGGTCAGATCATTGATTGTCTTGGTATGTTGATCAAGCAGCACCTTGGATTCAGCCAGTTCACGGCGAAGTGCTACGACCTTCTCGGTGCTCAGCTGGCCAGCACCTTCACCATCGAGTTTGCTAAGAGCATCACGGATTTGGCGCTCTTTCTCATTGATTTGGCCCTAGAAAATTAAAAGGCATTGATAAGTTTTGTTTGTACCACAAAGGATCTAGAATTTGAGTATGAGCTTTACCGATGGATCGAAACCAGACATCATCTGTGCCATCTTTTCAGCCTTCTTCTTTTCTTTCTCGCCGTCGGATGCTTCCTTGTGTGCAACGCGAACTTCGGCGAGGTTTTTCTTGAGTTCCTCAAGTTCAGAAATGAGATCCTGATTTGCTTCCTTGAGCGAGTCCACGGTAATGGCATTCTCTTTACTCTCGTACGAGATCTTTTGGAGCTGAAGACGAAGCTCGCTCAGTTCTGAAGTCATCTGCTGGTTTTCCTTGGTAACCAGCTGCTCCTGCTCCTTGTAGTAGCTCGTTTCTTCTTTAAGCGATTCGAGGAGCTTCTCACGGTTGGCCAATTCGGTCTCCTTTTCAGCGATCTGGTCCATTAACTCGTTCTCGCGCTTCATGTATTCTTCGCGCTCATCCTTCTCAAGCACGATGGCCGGTGTTGCTGGACGCGAAATTTCCTCAGCAACGGCTGGACTCTTGAAACCAGGTGCTGGCGGCAATGACTTGAAATCGCCCTTGGACACCTTGTCCATGGTGACCCATTTGTCTTCAGGAACGGTGTTACCGGCACGCCATACGTTGACTTCGCCTTCCAATGCAGCAATGTATGTCTGGAAAGTCACTGCATCGGACTTGACCTTCTTCAAGAGTGCCTTGAGTTCAGCGGGCGACAAATCGGCGTTCACCTTGGCCTTGTTCTTGATGGTCTTTGCACGAACACCGAAACGCAAGGTCGATAAAGTTTCTGCCTCGTTGTACGACGAAGGCGAACAGTTGATAATAAGTGTTGTGCGCGAGTTACCACCTAGCGACTCTTGCAAAATACGGGTCAATTTGGAATCACGATAGGGAATATGGCTCGACTAGAAGAGAGAGAGAGGCAAAAATTAGGATTAGTACACTTTGCATATTCTTGGTTGTAGGATGAAAGTATATGTACCTTGCCGTCCGTCAAAGCATTAATAACCATGCCCAGAGCGGTCAACGACTTGTTGATCTTCTTTGCTTCTTCAAGCGTTTGGCCAGATGCACCGGTTTTACCAACCTATAGCGTAAGTGAAAACGGTTTAGTTGAGGATTTCATTTAAATCCGAAAGAAAGAGTGAAGGATCGACATTTACTTTTTCGGAACCGGCCAAATCGACAAGATAGAGCTTGCCACTCTTGGCTGCACCGGTATCAACATTCTTTTGGGTGATGGTGATCTGGACGATGGAATGACTTCGAGAACTTTCGGCGTTCATGTTGGTGTAAGCAACGACACGGTTGTTGCCACCGCGACGCATGACTTCGTACACCTCATCGGCGGAACCTACATAGACTTCCAGCAAGTCCTTGACGTAGATACCCTTTTGCTTATCCTCGTGAATAGGCAGGTTGTCGCGCGAGGCTAGCAAGATGAGAGCAAGTGTTTTAGTGGGATGGTTGCTTAAGCACATGTGTTAAAAGCAAAACAACACTCACGGTTAAGCAGATCTCGGACTTTCTCCATGTAAATTTCCATGTAGGAAACTTTAACGGTGAATTCGAGGTTGCTCGGAGCAGCCATGATACTGGCAAAGATCTGCTCAACGATACGAGGGGTGATACCCTTGGTCTTTTCGTCATCGATATCGGCACCCTGAAAAGTGAAAAAAGTAAAAACAATTAACTTGTTAGTTTTCTGTGAATCTGGCAAATTGATCTATGCAAAACATCAATGACGTTACCATCATAGTATACGTTTTACCGGAACCGGTCTGACCATAAGCAAACACGGTACCGTTGTAACCGGCGGTGACATCTAGAAGAAACGGTTTGAAAATTAGAGTGTAAGCGCTTCCGGTACCATCAACGACATATGAACAAGCTCCTTTTTTTCTGTGCTCTTATCGCCAAAGTAAAGACGTACCGTCCACGATAGTTTTGACGGAATAGTCAAAGACATCCTTTTGAGCAGTGTTACTGCCATAGACCTTGTCGAACGCAAAAGAGCCCTTGAATTCCTTGCCCTGGAATGGTGATTACCCCATCCACATAAAGCATTAGCAAAAAAAATAAGAAGATAGAAAGGTCGGCGGCACTTTTAGGTGAGTTTCAAAATACTTACATTCAGTCCTACAGCAGTTCCTTCATCGTCAATGTCAATGACGGGAACGCCGCCCTCTCGAATCTCCAGAGAGTTCTGGGGCCGAAAACGACACACGACTTTGATGCTGTTCCCGGACATGTTGGGCGGATGGGAAAAGAAATCAGGAAACAGAAAGGCGAGGGGGGGGGTTTGGAAAACGACAAGCGCGGGGCTGGCGCAGAGGAGCTTAAAACCGACAGGTAAGCGAATCCCGGTTGTACAGAGTATCCTTCACAAGCTAAAACATTTTCAGGTTTCCGGAGGAGTGACAGCCGAGGGCTCATTCATTTCTCACCGCACACTATACTGACTGCCACACAGAGGGTGTATGATATACGTACGTACGTGTGTACGTACAGCACGGCACCCACACATAATGCACGCATTTCAACCACGCGCACTCACGCACGTACACAGCATCCACCCCATGATATTTACTCTCTTCTTTCTTTGTCTACACGGTTGTCATGGGAGCAGGCCAGTGAGTCGCCCTGGGGTAGCTGTCATCGATACTGAAGGGGGAGTGTGAGCTAGAGTGCTAATTCATCATGCGGCAGCGATATGGAGGTGCACTTCTTCTCATCGACCCGTGTGTGGTACATGATGCAACATTCTGCACATAGAGCCGGAACCTTCTGATCTTCTTGTACCTGATGTCGGAGCAGGGACGAGAGTTAACGGAGTTGCACGATGGATTCGGAGCTTATTGCTATTTTTTCATCTGACCAGCGATCTTCTTTTGCGCGGATAGTGGAGTATGTGCCTTTACAATAGACAACAGTTCATACAGCCTATTTTTGCTTGCAACAAGCGAGATCGATAAGCTAGTGCAATCCAGCCTTCGTTAGTTCAGGCTACGAACGAGGGTATGCTTATATTTCCACAAATGGCACTTTTCTTCACTCGGTTTTAGGGTGCACAGACGGCTTTGATTGGGACAAGAGAAACAAATGGGCCTGGATCGTGATACAAAAAGACGAAAAGCGGGCCGGGATATCAATTAACGAGAGACACCTCGCTCACTGAGGACTGAGAGAGAAAGCCAGAGCGATCGACCCAAAGTGAACCAGAAAAAAACCAATTTTTCCTTTCATTCCTCTTTTTTTTTTCTCTTTCCATACTAGTTTCTTTTGACTCCTTCTCTTCTTTTTTCCTCCACTCTTCTTTCTCGAAGCCATGGCATCTTATTACAATAACCAGCACGACTACGGAGCACCGCCACCGCCACAACACTACCAGGATTCATCCTATCCAATGTACGACATGGGCTACCGCGACAATAACGTGACGAGCCCGACTGTTGCGACGGACGACGGCTACGGTGCGAAAAGATCTCGGAATTCTCGGCAGAACGGCCAGTACCAGCACCTAGGCGATGGTGGACCAGTCTTGTACGTCGAACAACAGCCAGAAAAACGATCGTGTCTCGACAAAATGTGCTGCGGATGCTGCACATGTTTTCCTCGCTGGGCACGATGGATATGCTGCTTTCTGTTCCTGATTATTGTTGCCATTGGCATCGTGATTGGCGTGCTGGCCGCGCTCTTCAAAACACCTGAGATCAACTTCAATGGTCTCCAGGGCGAACCATCCTTCAACTTGACCGGCACCACTGCCAATTTCAACTTTAATTTGAATATCACCGTTGACAACCCTAATGTTCTTGGCGTTACGTTTGAAAAGATCGAAGCCAAGGTGTGTTTCGATGTGTACTTCTTTATTTTGAGAACTTGATATATGTGCACACTCGCTAATGGGTTGCTGCATATCGCTTAGGCTTATTACCCGGGTTATCGAGACAAGAGCATCGGTGGAGGTATCAAGGACAATGTGCACATTGGCAAGGAGACTGTCACCACAATTATCTTCCCATTTACCATTTCCGTTGATGCCATGAATACAGAAACACAGGCCATCCTGTACGATATCATGGGTAAATGTGGTGTGCTAGGTGGTGAGGCACCCGGGATCACCATTGACTACGATGTCGTTCCTACCTTGGATATCATCGGTATCAAAATTTCACCCACTATCTCTAACAGCGCCAACTTGCCATGCGACAACTCTGTAAGTTATTGTACCTTGATGGAAGAAAGGAGAGAAAGATTGAAGGACTAGAGTACTGAACGCATACACAATTTGGGCTTCTGATTCACAGGACATACCGAATCTGTCTGATCTGGGTGGATTGACAAGTTTGATTCCTTCCGATGTCGCGAACCAACTTCCGACCAATCTTGGTGATGTTACTGGTCAGCTAGAAAACCTACCGACAGAGAATATACCAACGAGCATATAGAAAAGAGAGAATATTAAGAGAGTAAACAAATTTTATATGTGTATTTGTAAAATACTTACCTTGTACATATACAGCAGTATCTTTTTTTCTAAATAATAATTGTGTCGTGTCGAGAGCTGGCTTTCGTGTTGCCTTAATGACTTTTGTCTGTACAACATTAACTACTTGCGCTTTTCAAGAAGCCAGCTAGTCCCGTGAAAAGAGTACATCAATTTGTACAGGGACACCATCAAGAGATTTATCTACGTGGCAAAATCAGTACGCATGCGAGATTTACTGCTGCTACTGATACATACCACGCATTTTCTTACATGGTTCTTTGATTATCTCTTCGGTGGAATAGCCTGTCCTTTACCATCACCGGATCCAATGATTGACATTCCTTTTATGGCAACATGCTCATCACACGAGCCATATAAACACAGTATATTAATACGAACAATATAAGGAAATTAATGGGCTTGGCACATAACTTATGATATTAGAAATATATAGTGAAACTGTTTTACCAAAGTCTGCTTGAGTAAAATAGCAACCCTGTGTGTAGCACGTATTATCCAAAGTGTGAGAAAGCACTGCTTCGTTATACATACATTCTTTGACGGTATGCCTCATTATAGAGCACACATACTGTATATATCACGTCATTACTTTGAGTTTCGTTACAAAAAATAAAGTAGGCATCAATTGCATTTTGGTCTTTTTCTATGTCTATAGAATAGCACTTAATAGAAACCAAAGATAGAATGATATTCATCATATTCTTCGACTCGAAGTGCTCCTTGCATCAAAGCATTGAAAGTCTGTATATACACATAATATGCCAGTCGCAGTCTGCTTGCACATATATAACAGTGTTTCCGAGCCTTAGAATAAATGTTTTATTAGGGTAACTTAAAGGCTTTACTTTGCAAGCATGTGTATTTATTTCTTGGCTAAGCTATACCAATTAATGATGACCCGGACTAAACGATCAAGCTGTAATCCACCATGTTTAAAGATGGCTAATAAACTGATATATTTACAAGCTATATTTCATTCGCAAATTGAGTCTCTAGGATATGTCTCTGTCAGTGTCGTTACAGTAATCAAACACAGCGTAATGTGCGTTAAAGATCTTGATTCACAAATATCAGCAAACACGCACTATATAAAGAAAACTTTTCAATTCCAATTCCCAGTGAGTATTTGCTAGTTTATGATATAGGCAAAATAGTGATTCAATATAATGAAATGTAGCAACATGTAAGTTTGGGCGGAATTCATAGTGCAGGCCATCCTGTAGGCTTCGTATTTCCAAATTTCTCGGCAAGTTCGTCACTGAAATGTCGAAGATGCCTTTCTCCACGTTCCCACTGTTGTTATCACTATATTTTATCATGGCCCCCAATGTCTTGTTGCTCCTCCGCTATTACTCTAAGTAGCGATGATGATAGCTCGGCTTCGGAGGAGACGCCCTGGAAACACAAGTTCAAAGCCGGCAATGTATCGACGGTTGCAAGCGCCGAGGAAAGAAAATATAGGAGGATCCGCCAATATATGGTATCGGGTCTAAAGGGACACGCAGTGACTGTTCGTACAATGGCTCGTGTAGGTTGTAAACCGACGATGAAGTTGTAGACGTAAAAGGCACGTGATGGCGTTCCCGGTTTCCGCTTTCGCCAAGCAAGCGTTATGAACATGATCAAGTGGATTAAATTGTAAATGGTGCCGAATATTTCGTAATCATTTTTGGTGTACGGTGATCGAGGGTTCCAGAGTAAAACGGCATCGAGAATATGGAAACCAATGATCAAAAGGAATTGAGGTCGTTTGAGATAGTGCATATGGGCCTTGATCCATAATGTCGATGGTGTCTCATTCTTTGTTGCTGCGACTAAATCATCATTCCCTCGGTGTCGTTGCCGATGTGCAAAGAAGCCTCTGGCAATAATGCCCGTAACTATCAGCTGAAGGAAGGTAGCACCCCAGAGAACCATGTCGTTGTCTCTTGCGACCAATGATATCGTTTGTAACAGACAGAAGATTGCTACGGGAAGCCTAAGGTTGCTGTCAAAATGTTCCAATGGTCGTAGGCAGACGTAAAGTAGTAACAGAAGGAAAAGTGCAAACAGGGCACCGGATGTAAATGGATTCATAATTACGCAATATACGTAGATAGTAGTTGCACTTGCTATAAGTAGGAAAAGCTTTCTTTCTTGTGAACAAAAATGTTAAAAGAGATTTTTTTATGAAAAAATGCTATCTTTTATCATTTATAGCATTTATGATTCTTGTTTCGTAGGCTTAGATGCCGTGTAACTGAATGTTTTTAAACAAATCTCGTTTTATGTACATCTGCTATACGGACATAGTATTTTGTGTTTTTAGTCAGAAGAGCAAAAACAAACAGCAACAAAGAAGATTGATGAACTGTAGAGAGGAGCTGTTTATATCTCCACGGTACCTTTTAGCCGAAAATGTATGTTAATATCATTGGGTTAAGTATTTAAAGAACATAAAAATAGAGGCTTTACTATATGATGGACTATTACTACTACTATGAGGCTATGAATGTATACGCCTGAAACACCGGATTGACTAATATTGAGTACCAGGAAATACTACAGATGTGCGAGTACATGGTACGACGAGGCAATCACTTTAAATTGATGATTTCAACAATCTTTGTCCTTGGTTTTTTATTCGCGACTTTTATGAACAGCCCAGTACCAAGAGCAGGAAAAAATATGCGTCTTCGGCTTACTATAATCGTGTGTTTCTTCCATAATACACCAACAGTTGCTAGTTTTTAAGGAAATTCGATCTGTTGGTATAGTGTACTGAGGTAGCTTGTAGCGCTGTATCACACAATGTAGCTGTTCCAGTAATTTGGTAAAACGAAAAAGGACGGCTATGGGCTTTGATGGCGCGATTATATGGCACTACTCCTTTTTTGGAACACTTTCCGAAGACAACAAAATACGCGCCGATAACCAGGACAGTACGAATGATCCCGCGTCAAATGCTAAACGAGCAATTGCTTTAGGCGAGAGTAACAGCGATTCACTCGAAGGTACAGTTATCAACAAGTGACCACGATTAACTAATCGCATCTGTTTTAAAAACCGCTGACACCGTCAGGATGCTTGTGCTCGCTCCCTTTATGGATCTACGCGCAAACTCGTATGCTTACCAAGGCGCTTAACGAAGACATTCGACAAAACGAATATGATGCCACGGCCGTATTTGAACAATGCATTCAGACCATTACCCGATGACACGGAGCAAGCTGGCTAACTTAAATACCCTCGACAACAAGATTCGATTGAATGTTTGTCGATTCCATTATCCAGTGCAGCACGCTTAGCACGCGAACGCACTCGACTGTTTCCCTTGTCTTGTTTATTGGCATACACTGGTGCGGCAAGGCTGGCCGGCGAAGAGTACAAAAGCGCTGTCCGAAAAAATGCTATTCGAGGAATCCTAGTGGCGAAAAACAGGAGGCGAAATTGCAATATGACCAGCGCGTTGGCATGATTAGCCAGCTACTATTCGATATCATACCCTTTATCCTTAACCATATATCAGCATCCTACTCAAGCTATCAGAAATAAGCAAATCATGGTATGGTTTTATTTCGGAATGTCATCAAGTTTGGAGGTGTATGGCAATACGGACAACGAAGCGCAAAAGATGCCTCTCTGTAAAGTACAGTAGTCAGCCAGCGCAGAGTACTATAGTGCACCCAGCCACGACTAGGAAACAATGTTTCGGAAGAAGACATGGTGAAATGGCTTCGACTTATTGCACATACACCATTCAGTAGCCTCAAAAGTCTTGATAAGAGCACTCTTTCTGGAACACCAGAAAATCGGTACTTACACGTCCGATAGATGAGACATACAACCCTGCTAATCTAGAACTGCTTGTGGGCAGCCTGAAAATGTCAAACCGAACTCAAAGAATACCCGCTACACCAAGTTTTGCGTGGCTTGACCGAGGTTCTAATAATTAACTTTATACCTATCTAAAGAGGCCCTCTTTATGTTCCTTGTTCCAGCGAATATACCTCCGCCTCTATTGATACCATGTATTTTGTGAAGTGGCTACACTCAGGTCAATGAGTCAAACTCTGCAACTTTTTTGATCAAAATTATTTTGGGCGGGCTCGCCAATTCTCGCCTAATGCTGAAGATCGTTACTTTCTTCTCTTTGGGTTGTTAAGTATCGTTGGTTGGTTGGAGTATCTTCTCGCTTGCCATATTTACAAAAAATGAGAAATAGCGAGTCCGCTGAAGGTACTCTTAATTTAAACGATGTTGTTCGTCAGAGACTATTTTTCTCGTCGTTCAGCTTGCCCTCAATAATGCTGTCACTGTGAACGCATCCAAGTTTTTTTTAAACTTTTCAAATGGATCGCCCATAATTTATTGTTAAAGAACTATTCAAGGTACAAAAGCTAGCAACGCAGGGAACATTAACATACATATGTTTATAAATTTATAACATAGCAAGTTAAGAAATTGCTTATCTATTGAAATTTGCAAATGTCATACCGTATTTCCAAGTATGTATAACCTACAGTAGACTACCTTGGCTTAAGAATGTTGACCGTGAACGAAAATACGCAATGTACTATATAGTTTAAAAGTGTATGTCATGTTGTGGAGATTAACTCATACCATATAATAAACTGATATTTTTGTGCAAGAGATGCTTATTCGCAAAACTCTCGTAGAATAATGGAAGAAATCAGAGAAACCTCGTGCCCAAATTTGTAAGACAGTGAATTCTTCACCTGACAACACACTCTTATTTAATTAAATATCTCTGAAGAAACCTCACAATATACTATGCAGTCATGGCTACACAGGAAATGAATGGAAAAGAAGGTTAATTGTTTTTGTTGCTCTGCGGAATCGCGCATGAATCTTTTTTCGTGCACCCTGCGGGACAAGTGACGGTGACGCGCCCGCAGGGTTTCAAACGCACCGTCTAAAACAAAAAATGCTGTCTGTCCTCACACCGCGTCTTCTTTCCAGAACGAACACATTCATACGCACCATGTCAACACATTCCCACCTAACCGATAACTGCATCTTTTGCAAGATCATTAGGTAAACCAGCCAACCTGGTTACTAAGGAAATGAACATTGGCAAAGCCGAAAAGCACTGTGTTGACTATTATTCTATAATAGAGGAGAAATTCCTTCTTTCAAGTTAATCGAGACAGACAAGAGGTTTGAATTCCCTTTAATTCCGGTCACTTATTATAACAGTGGGTTTCTGTAGCTAAAGAAGCATACCTCTAGCTTTTCCTTCATGGATATAGATCCTTTGAGCCCTGGCCACGCGGTAAGTGGAAATAAGAGAGCGAATTAAAAGTAGGCGTTGCTATATAGTACTTATGCATAATTTGTTTCGCCTATATAGCTCGTTATTCCCAAGTGTAAGTCAATTGCTAGTTGGTCGTGAAAGAAGAGATCGCATCAGCGTTTTGACGTCGGTTTGCGATAGATCACGCCGAGTTCTTTCACCAAGTACCTGACGAGTATCTTGCTGACGCCCTCCCGGTCGCAAAGAAGATTGCTGCAGCCTCTAAGCTCGACCAGTACAATGTGCTCCAGGTAAACATACAAAAGCTTTGAGGTGTTTTGCTGAAAAATGAGAAACAGGCAAAACAAATGCTAAGTTTGCGCGATTGTCTATAGAACAACGGAAAGCTGGCTAACCAGGTAAGATTAAAAAAATTCTCACGCGTACAAACACACGAAGGGCTTCATTTATCAACAACCTCTAAATATGCACAACAATTTGTAGGCCGTGCCACACGTGCATTTCCATATCATCCCCAAGCCAACCGAGGAGCAAGGTCTGGGTCTTCGCTGGAAACCAATTGGTATGAAGATGGATAAAGTCAAGGAGCTCTATGAAGAGGTCAAGAAAGATTTGTAATTTGCCATATAGCGTAAAAGTCTCCGAACAAAGTTCATATTCTTCCTCAACCGATTCGTTTTTCTCGTTTTATTTTTCTTTTGTTTTTCTTTTGCTTTTTTCTATTAACAGTTCATACTCTGCGCAATAATGCTAATGATGATGCTATCAAACATATCGAGACAAACATTATCACGTCGACCCGTCACGGCATCATCAATGCCTAGAAGAATATTTCAATATCATCAGCAGCTACCACCATCACAAAGACTGCAACCGGGTCCGCTTATCCCTCGCCCTACACAACCTCAGTCAGTACTTATAACGACCCGAAACTTTTCAATATGGCGCATTCCCTTCTACTGGGCTACAGCAACTAAAGCGAAACGACGCGTGGCATTACTTGGGAGTTTATCAGGCCTTACAATGATCGGCGCAGTGCTCGGTCCCGCATTCTGGTTAGTGCTTGGTGGTGTAGGCACAATAGTGACATGGCGGATCTGGCAGCAAACAAAGCGATGGTGGCAGCTTCTCAATCCAAGCGAGCAGATGGTCGCTTCATTAGCAAAGCAAGGAGGTGAAGGACTGATGCAGCTTCTGCGACGTCAGGTGGGCAGCCATCAAGCAGCGGAAGAGGTGCAGCGGCAAGCCATCAACAAACTTATCCAGTGGGCACGAACAGACCAAGGCCGTCGGGTACTAGTGGATGAGCTTAATGTGGCTCATGTCGACGACATTACGTTCTATCCGCCGCATTCATGCTCCTTATCGTCCCAGACTGTTGTGACAAACGGTAAGGAGTCATCCGGTCAAAAAGTCCACGTCGAGTTTTGGGCAGAGGCAGACCGATCGGTGCATCCACGAAGTGGCAGCTGCTGCATATATGCCGATGCCATTACAGATGGCTCTGGAAACATTCAAATGAAGGATATTCGATTGGCTGCACCTGGTTGGCATGCAGATGAACATATTCCTCTCGATCAACCAAAATCAGAGAACGTGATCGAGGGCGCGTTTCGAGATGTTTAGCATGAATTATTTTATGTCCCGAAAAATATAAACCTTCCCTTATTTTTCGTGTTACTCAACTTTTTTTTTGCTCTTGTTGCTTTGAACATCTTGCCATGCCAGCTGAAAATTCAGAAAGCCTTATTCAATTGTCAGCATCAAGCTGGAATGAAGATCAAAAAAGGGCAGTTGCTCGGATAGCCGGACAAGCACTAACGAGTATTGAGCCCATCGTCCAACAACATTGGGGAAGAGAATGCTGGTTTCAATTGTTGGCTCATTTAGAACTTTCTCAGCAAGATCTTGGTATTTTCAGCCATAGAACCCATCTTTTATCAAAGTCCATGTGAGCTGATCGAAGACAAATAGTCTCGAACCCAATATCTTACGACCAAGCCGCAGAGCTGTTGTCAACAGGAGACCGTGATATTCGTATCGAGATACTCGTCGATCTTTTGGCAGTGTCAATGCACCTAAACAAACAGCCTTCGTCGTAAGCACCTATTCAAGTGACACACTGATGGTATTAGTTCAGCATTTTAATATAATTGATAATATAATAGACAAGAAGGCATAGTATATGACGCTCGTGCACGACGTTTCTTATTCGAGCTTGCTCGGCTTGCAAAACTAAGTCCGGCCGATGTTACTGCAGTTGAGCGAAGTATAGCCCAACAAATGTACTTTGCACTGCAAGAAAGCTCGGGCGAAAAGGACCCTAATCTACACGATCGAGCATCATTGATGGATAAATCTGCGAAAAAAAAGATAGAAGAGACAAACCAGAAAAAGAAGACTTTCAAATGGTTGGCCACGGGTGCAGGTGTGCTTGGTGGTGGTGCTCTCATAGGTAACTACTTTTTGTACATGATCGAAAGAAAAAGGAAAGTAATGCTCATGGCACTAATAATAATATACGAATACACGTGAATAGCCCTCACAGGTGGGTTGGCCGCACCGCTTTTGGCTCCTCTGCTAGCAGGTTTGACAGGTGCCACTTTCTTTGCAACTGCTGGTGGTGTGGCATTAATGACTAGCTTGTTCGGTTTAACTGGTAAGGGGACTCTAGTTGGTATCAACTGTATACTGATGGATGTAGCTATGTATGTCGAGCTAACAATATCACTGTTGCTGTGGTATACTAGGTGGTGGTCTGGCAGGTAAACGACTCTTTATATAACGTAACTTCCATCAACATACAGCTCAAAGACTTGAGCTTGTAATTTCTTTTTCCAGGATGGAAGATGCATAGACGAATGCAAGGGCTTCAAGAATTTGGCTTCCAACAAATTTTGAATGATGCCGATTTACCGCCGATACCGACGCTGCAGGTAAATGAATGATTTTATTTAAATTATGAAGACGTTCTTGTTGTTCGATTTAGACTTATCATGGAATATATCGTTAACAAAATGGATGCTACTACGATTAGTGCACTATCTGCATTTCAGGGTTCCTGATGGATAACAAGGATGAGTTTAGAGTAAGTCAAGTAATAAAAGTGAAGAACCATATAGGATCAGATTTAGATATCCATCTGAATTACTTGTTGAATCAGACACCGTGGGAGCGTGGATTTGCTCGTGCCAAAAATTACAACGACATATACTGCCTTCAATACGAAAGCGACGAGTTGATGGATTTGGGTCTCGCATTTGAAAAGTTTGTTAAAAACCAGGCCATTCGCTACGCAGGCGTCGAAGTAGCGAAGCAAACTGCTCTTCGCGCTTTCTTTTGTACGTATATTTGTAAGATATAGGAAGGAAATGCAGCTTTTACTGATGTTAGTTTGCATTTAGCCGCTGTTGCATTGCCTGCGACGCTGCTAAAGATAGCCGATGTAGTTGACAATCCATGGCAGATTGCTGCCGACAGATCACGAAAAGCAGGTGTTGGTAAGCAGATTCACTCAATATGCAAAAGGTTTGCTGATTATATTTAAAAGCCATGTAGTAGACTAATATGATGGAAACTCTGTAGTGTTGGCCAATGTTCTGGAGAACCGTGTTCAGGGTAACCGACCCGTCAGCTTGGTACGGCACTTTTGCTTACTATCAGTAGGGATCTAATTTACTGATCCAATTTTCTTTTGAACAGGTTGCATACAGTTGTGGGTGTCTTGTCATTTGGCACTGCCTACAAGAACTATATGAGCGCAAAAAGTTCGGTCTCATCGATCACGTTGTGTTTATGGGAGCTCCAATTTCTGGCGAGGATACTCAGGCTTGGAAAGATTGTCTGTCTGTGGTGTCTGGGCGCTCTATTAATTGCTTCACTGATAAAGACTGGGTTCTCGGTAAGATCTTTAAAGCTTAAAACCACTATTGTCATACTACTTTCATCAGGGAAAAATGGGCTAACATATAATGGACCTTCTCAATTTTAGCATTTGTTTACCGACTCCATTCCTTGGATAACGCTGTTGCAGGATTACGGCCAGTGAAACATGTCCCTCAATTGGAAAATGTTCAATTAGACCTAGAAGGCCATACGAGTTACAGGGATGCTGTCGAGGATATTCTATCCACCATAGGAATCTCTTAGAAAATTAAAACCCTTGTCATCTCCTCGCTTTCATTGATAACCCATACAAAAAAAATCATTTTGTACATATATAACTCTTTCTCAGGCATGTCATTTTTTATTAAACACTCTTTTTCTATGGTAAAAAGATGACGCCACCATCGTGCTCACTGTTGTTATTACTTTTGTTGACGGCAACAGTGGCATCAATACATGCCACCACTATTACTGCTAGCGACCGCCGTATTGCCAGCTTTGATCTACAACCTGATGATGCTTGCGTCAACACGTTGAACGAAGCATTCGTCGTGACGCTAGACAAAGAAACACACTTTGTCGTTCTACCAACTGGAGAGAATGAAATGAATTGTCTTGAAAGTCACCCAGGATTTTTGGGTTATGAGCTGGATCAGCCCATCTATTTGGCTCAGAATTCGAATCAAATGCAGATAAATCCACCAAGCTGGGGACTCACAAGGATATCACAGCGAGAATTGCCGTTGGGTGCATCTTACTTTTACCCGTCACCAGCTGGCAAAGGTGTTAACATCTACATCATGGATACGTACGTGAAAGACTTATACATACTATGTAAAACTAATCCAACGTTTAAGATATAAGAAAGCTTAAAAAACCATGTAAAAAGCGGCATAGATGTAAGTCATCCCGATTTTGGCGGGCGTGCCCAGCATGGTATTTCTACGGCAGTTGGTAGCAATGGATCGAGTATGGATTATCATGGTCATGGAACCATGGCAGCCGGGATTGCAGCTGGAACACTATATGGTGTTGCCAAAGAAGCTAACGTGATTGCAGTCAAGGTTGGTATTGCGAATAAAGCAGCGGTTTTTAGTAAAAAAAAGGAGAGAACAGAAAACACATGGTTTTTTGACTGTTTTTGTGCTCGTTTCGCTCTTGTCATTCAGGTTCTAGAAGACAGCGGTGAAGGTTATATGGCAAGTATATTGCTCGGAATGAGCTACATTGCAGAGAGGTTGAAGCGTAAAGGCAAGAAAATGCCCGTGGTTATAAAGTAAGCTTATTTCCGTCATTTATTATCAGCCTAATTGAAGAACGCGGGCAGTAAAAGTGAGTTTGTTAGTATGTCATTCGCCACAACACAAAGCCAGAGTTTAAATAGAGCCGTTGATGCATTGACTAGGATGGGCGCTTTAAGCACGGTAGGTCCCTCCTTTTATCTTCGATCATTATTCTCAAAACGTGCTCGCTCATATGACCATTCTCATATACAGTCAGCAGCCGGAAATGGTGATTATATACAAAGTGACACTGGCCGTGTAAGTTGACTAGTTTTGAGGTGCTGGATGTGAAACGTTACTGATGTACGGTTCGTCTGATAATGATGTTGATATAAAAGGATGCTTGCTCGTATAGTCCAGCAAGCTCTTTTACTACAATCACAGTGGGTGCAGTAGGTATGTAATTTGAATGGCGATGGTAGTTGCTAACAAGCTTTTGACGTTCACAATTATCATTTGGACACAGACTCTAGCGATACGCTTGCATCATTTAGCAATTCTGGGAATTGTACGGACATCTACGCTCCTGGAGTAGATATTGGCACCATCATTCCCAATGGCGAAACAGTGCTCGCAAGTGGAACTTCTTTCAGTGCACCGCATGTTGCTGGCGTTGCCGCCCTTTTATATTCTCAAGCAGCAGCAAAAGGTATTCTTGACAGAGTTACGCCGAGCGATATCAAGAACCGTATTATAACTACTAGTACAACCAACGTTTTGCATCGTGTCCACAATTCCAATGACCGACTATTATACGCTGATGTTGCCATACCCCCTGGATTTGCTGCCATGGCAGCACCAACAAAACCCACCGCTATGTCTTGGTGGTATTGTTGCTTGTTATATTCCTCCATTACTATTTACATTCATCAACTTTTCTAAAAGGATAAAAAGGCATTTGGTGCTAGCTTGATTACTCTCATGGTACTGAAATGATCGCAACTATCACTTCCACGGGTCTTTTTTATGCGAGGTTGTAGATGCTTTCCTCTCCATATCACCAATGTTGCGACACGACATCTTACATGGATAATTATTCACATTCATAACCAATGGTCATAGGTTAACTGATCAAACTGAAACATCCATATTAAGTGATCATTAATCCGAATACATCATTAGTATGCTATCTCTCTTATCACCACAACGTTTTTATTATACACGTACATAGTAATGCAAAGAAGACGGATCAATTCAGACACGGTCTAGTTACCGCTTTAATAGTACATGATATTTTCTCTTCAGTCATGGTTATACCACTTATTATATAAAGCTCGTCAACTTACCCGTAATGAAGGGCTTTATCTGTGTTTCAAAGACTTGCTATTCTCTCTACCTACTGTATAACACTTCAAACCAGACAAGCCTGATTCAAATGTTAAAGCATCTGAAAGGAGAGAAAGGAATGATGTGCATAGTTGGTACATACGGCTGCAAACATTTTGTCAAAAATAAGTTGAGTATTAGTTTACACTCATTCACAACATCAGATCGTAGTGAACCTGTGCCATTGTTGTCTGTTTTTTGAGTTGTACGTGAGAAAACGACCAATTCGACAAACTGTTATTTGATATGGGGCGGTCGGTAGCGCGGAGGCTAACTCAAATGGAAGCATACACGTAATATATATTCTTGTTGAGCATGTCTTCTTTGTCGTTGCCAATTCCGGGTTCTGTCGGAACGGTCAAAATCGTCTGGCTTTTTGTTTTTCTTTACATGAAAAGAGTGTAAATTACGTAGGACAAAAAGAATTTCTATAACATTGCATTAGTGAATTTCTTTGTTCTAACAAAGATTTGTTACACAAGAGTAGGAGATTGATGATCAAACAGGTTTTCGTGTCTTTATCATCGTTAGTGATGCGTATCTATGAGGAAAGTGGCAAATAACTTTAGCTACAATCTACTTTAGCAGCATTATAAGAGAAATAGGTCCTTATGGTAGTAGTAGTAGTAGTAGTAGTAGTTAGTAATAGTAGTGTTGTGTGCGCTAGATTGCAATTTGCTTATTATTTTCGTGAATGACCTAAAGTCATATTTTATGTAACGCAAACAAGATCTGCGGCGGCGGTGTGGACTTCATGGCTTATGAACCGTGCATGATCATCCTCACCATCACGATCGTTGGCACGTTATTACATGGGCGTCGTATTGATAACGGGCTTTTTTTACTTTTCACGTCAAAAGTGGCTACTGCTGCTGCTGCTCAGAAAATATGATATTGAACCGTAATGTAGCATGAACTATATCATGCTTGATGTGTGAGACACCGAGAACAACAATGTAAATATTACATGATAATGAATCACGGCAACTAGATGATTGTGAAAAGTAAACTGGTTTACCACCCGTCATAAAACACGACTTATTAGCGATCATACTATGATACAGGAAAAGGTCTACTGTTTACGCTGGAAACCGCTACACTCATAACCTTGTATTTGCTGATTGATTCAGATATTTTTCAAATTGGATACACCCGAATAGATATCACAAGAATGGGAAAATTCGCCGACATATATCAATATGACCTTTTCTCTTCTTCTGGTATGCCACCAACACCATCATCGTCATCGTCATCGTCACTACCGCAGCAACATCAACAGCAAGAGGAAGCGCCACTTGTAGTGGGCCCCAGCGTGAATAAACCTATTTTAATTCCCGTACGAGTCGAACCCAAAGTGTTCTTCGCTAACGAACGGACGTTCTTATCGTGGCTGAACTTCACGGTCGTACTTGGTGCATTCGCAGTCGGATTATATAACTTTGGTGATCGTATCAGTCGTATCTCTGCCGTGCTGTTTACTGTAACAGCCATCATCATCATGTTGTACTCGCTGTGTCGATTTCACTTGCGCGCGTATAAGATTCGCAAACGGGAAGCTGCAGCGTACGACGACCGCATTGGACCTACCACGCTGTGTGTGGCTCTGGCACTTGCCGTTGCAGCCAACTACTACTGTACGTCTTTATATATACTTTACACACCCATATTTTATTACATTTAGAGTTTCTATGTACTGTCAGGCTGACACATGATTTCGTAGTACGGTTCTACAATCAGTAGAGATCCAAGGACAAGGGCACTGCGCTGTGTGTGGATATGACGTACAATAGTGAGGGAAGCTGCTGATATTGTTTGTGAAACGTTTGATCTGTCTGTCTATCGGACGAAAGGACACAAGAGTACGGTCTTGGCTATGACGTAATGAAGTTCGACCAAAGGTGAAACCGAACTTGGAGGATGCATCAGACCGCAATACACCTCGCTTCTACTACTCCTGAATGATCTTCCGAACTGTTTTGCGACACTTTTTGCTCCATCGTTCAGGGCGGCATATGCTTCAACGATTGGAATAGGAGAAGATACTGCACTTGCCAAATTTGTGTGGAGTCAAAAGTAGAAAATTTCGACATGCATATTGTAGATTCCATTGCAATAAACAGCAACCCATACTTTACGACCATTTTATATATTGATCTTTCAAGACATTTTCTCTTGCCCAAGCCTTCTCGTGGGAAAACCTCTCGTAATATTGCATCGCTACAGCATGAAAAGTGCATCATGTGATAATTGTTCCTGCCAGTAAGATCGGCCAATTTTCGTAAGGTTAAGGGTCAGAAGACAGAATATGATATTTCTGCCCTATTTCTGACTAACAAGCATGGAAAAGAATCATAGCGTGAGATCCTGACTGCCATTTTTTCCCGACGGTTTGTAAAGGTTGCACAATTGTGATGATGGGCGGCATTCTCGCGCAGGTAGTACGATTTCTAAAATTTGGATTTACCACCTAATATAACCGCCATCGCTGAACCACCACCCACCATGTGAGGGTGTTTTCCACGGTAGGCTAATGTAATCAATTCACTAGCGTGGTCTAGGGGGCGCAGTGGCTAGGGAAATATGCACAAGGCTGTATAATCAGCATGGTAACAGTACGAAGGACAAACAACTATAGAAGCATGAAAGTTGGTAGTTTCTCTTCTGAGACTTTTTTTTCGCGGGGACGAGATGGAAGTGTAAAGATCTGGGGTGGCTGTGTTTTATGTGTGGAGAAGAGCGCTATTTCTAGGCAGGTCCCAATTTTTCAACAGTACCTGCCTTATTTAGAGCGGTCCACGGTCACCCTCTGCTTTTTGGTCGGTATTTTTGAAAATGCGGGTAGAAAAAGAGAATAACTATCAGCATAGAAGGTTTGATTTGGAAAACCTTGTATGAAAACATCGTTCCATAAGTGTGGCACGAATAAACCGAGCGACTGGAAATGTTTCTTTATAGCTGCTCTCAATGATGTCACTCGAGCTGGAAAAGCTGTGCATCTTGCTCGCTTTCCCTGCTGCTCTAGCTAGACAAGAAGAACATGACTCTGACACTGATTGGACAGACGGCTTCTCAGTCTCGAATGCTGCAGAACATTTCACGGTATACAATGCTCCACAAAACGCTTTTCGGTCCCCGATCTTTGCAGAAAACTGAGTTTGTACTTTCTCCATATAGGTATCACTTGTACAACCTATTCTGTTGTCTGCCAGTCAGTAAGTATCTGGATATTTGATTACATTCGAACAGCAAGGTTTTCTTTCAAAATCTGGGAACAGTACAGACTTACTGAACGACGAAAAGTGTCTCGGAACTGCTACTCTATAAATGACATATCTGTTTTGTGTGTTGCACTGTAAGTGAAAGAACGGTTTGATCCATGCAAAGGTAAGCAAGGTCAATATGGATCCTCTCTTTTCTTTTTCGATGCGTTGCATTGTGAAGTAGTACATTCACTCTCCTCAAGCGGAAACGCCGTACCATATGACTCTGGGTTTTCGCGCGCGCCCCTGGTTCCCTCCCACAACTTTCTCGTTCGTCCTCCCCCCCAAAGCTTTTTAGTGATGGGAAAGGTCGTGTCCCACAAGTAGAAAACAAGGAAGCACAAATTACACAGACTAATAAGAGAAGCGAACAAACGTAGTAACAATACAACGACACCAAAGAATGGGGGAGCCCTTGGGGGAGCTAGAGGGTAAACAAAGAGAGGAACAGAGGGGACATGCAGGGAGGTTTGGTGGCGTACCTAGCAGTACCTGGACACGTTGCATTTGCATTACATCTCTCTATCTCAAAGATTAAGTGGTTGCAGCTTGCAATAGTAGGTCGTTGCAGCTTTATCTATAGGCTAATCGGGCTGCACCGGCATCATCACATGCTGGTATGTGTAGAAAGGGCAAATCAAATCAGAACAGAAATCGACAGAAATGTAGTAAGCCCGATATGACGCTGTCTGTGTCACAGTCACTACTTGCCTTTTTCCTTTTCCTTTTTCCTCATGCGGATAAATAGTTAAGGGAAAAAATAAACAAGCAAAGCAAGAAGCAGGCAGAGTCAACAAAGAAAGTATTTTTATGCAAGGCCGTTTCCACCAGCCACCTAGCCCGAAGTCTCGTAACAACGCTAGCCAGTTTTTTTTAAACGTCCGGAGAAGGTGAACTGTGCTCAACTATTAGCAGTTCTCTCCTGCTCGTATTGTGTGGAGGGATGGGGGAGAAAAGCGGAATTTTCCACTGTAGTCGTCCTTTTGCCTGACAGATCTGTATAATTCACCAAAAGCGGAAAAATAGTGCCTTTCTGTGCAACCAATACTGCGCGGAGACCCCAGCTTTTAAATCCACCATTTTCACTTACTTAGTGAGATGTCTCACCCATACATCATGAGAGAAAGGTTTGCAGATTCCGGCTAAACTTATTTGGCATCCCTGCAACCATCCAACCCCTTTAAAAGTACATCAACTTTCGGTGAGATACGGAACTTTTTTTTCTCTTCTTCCCTTGTGCTCTAGCTATACGTAATAACTATGGGTTTTGGACGTGCTTTGAGAAATTGGTTGATATCGCTACCTGAGTTCAAGGTCCAGCGGGGTAAGAAGCTTCACGGCAAAGCCTTGAATCATGCCATCGGTTTTGTCGCAGGTGCTGGATTGTAAGTTTATCATCTCTCTTCTTTGGTATCGCTCCAATGTGGTTATTAATTGGCTTTTGTCTGTTGTCTATCCTGTAGTCTGTAAGAAGCTGTTTTGATTACGACTATACATTTACTGTATATGAAAGGTCTCTTCGACTCACATATTGTTTCATCGTTAGCATGTTCGGTTACGATCAGGGTGTCATGAGTTCCTTGCTCACCGTAGGTTTTCATCCAGCGTTACAGCAAAATCACAGTGTGCACATATAGCAATATGAGCTAATAACAATCACTCGATCAACAGTTACCCGAGTTCGAGTCACAGTTCCCTAGCGCGACACCATACAGTCCATCGAACGAGCTCTGCCAACAACCAGGCATGTGCACTGGTACGCCGGAGCTTCAGTCGGTAAGGAGCTCGCATGCATTATATAATTTGAAGCGGAAAAAAAAGATAAAAGTACTAATCTTGTATATACAAAATATATTATATAGAACATGGTTTCCATTTACCAAATCGTAAATATGTTTCTGCTTGTGCCAAAATTCAAAATTCAGAGCAAGGTATACTAATATGTGGCGACGTACGTTATTCAGGGCTGTCTTTTGGGTGCTATCCTGATTTTGATCGTGGGTGATTCTCTAGGTCGTCGAGCTTCTACCTTTTGGGGCACTGTGATTATCATTGTACGTATCGTATCTATTTATCTTTTGGCTCTGTCAGACTATAAATTTGTTACTGCATCTGGCTCACAAAAAACAACTCTGCATGGCTAATTTTCTTTAGGCTGGCACAATCATTCAAGCTGCTGCTCACGACTACGGAACTCTCTGCTTCAGCCGTATCTTTACCGGTATCGGCAACGGCATGGTCACCTCCACCATCCCTACCTGGCAGAGTGAATGCGCTAAGCCAAAGGACCGTGGTTTCCTCATCATGAACGAAGGCATGCTTATTGGTTTCGGTATCATGATTTCGTACTGGATTGACTTTGGGTTCTTCTTTTGCACTGGAAGTATCCGCTGGCGCTTCCCTGTTGCTTTCCAAGCCTTCTTTGCCATTATTGTCGCCTCTGGTATCTTTATCCTTCCCGACTCTCCCCGTTGGCTTTTGAAGAAGGGCTACATTGATGAAGCCCGCGAGGTCATTGCCCGTCTTGATGACGTTGAGGCGGACAGTGACCTCGTTAACGAAGAAGTCGCCATTCTTGAGCACACCTTGTCTCTTGAATCACAAAAATTCTCGTGGCGTGAGTTCTGGAGACACGGCAATGTCCAGCACTTCCGTCGTATGTTGCTTGGTGTCGTCGCTCAGGCTATGCAGCAATACTGCGGTACGTATAAATCAGAATACGTTATTATACATGTTCATGTGCTGTGCAAAGTGCGCTAATGTTATGCCAATTACATCTCTTTCAGGTATCAACCTTATTACGTGAGTCCTTCTGCAGCAATGCTCTCTTCCAACAGCACCATTCTTTAATAGCTACTAACTTTTTTGGTTCATAACATATAGCTACTATGCTACTGTCCTTTTTGAGCAATCGTAAGTTCTCGATCTTTGTAATGCAGTCCATTTTTTAGATTTGCACGTTTTACTCAATGGAATTTTCTTTTACCCCTGCAGTCTTGGCTTCGACGCAATGATGTCCCGCTTGCTTGCTGCAGTCAATGGTACTGAGTACTGGTTATCTGCCATTGTTGCCATGTTCATGATTGAGAGATTTGGCCGGTAAGCTTTCCTACACCTCTTCGTTCCCGCCATCCCTGAAAAAAACAGGCTGATAACCTCATTGCACATGGCACTGGATCTAACAATGCTTTACTTTTTAGTCGTAAGCTCATGTTTGTTGGTCTTGTTGGCATGATGTGTTCCATGGCCGTTCTTGCTGGCTGCATCAGCTCTGGTACCCGCGACTCGGAGAACCGCATTGTTCTGGAGAAGGCTCCCGGCGGTGTAGGTACTCTTACCCTTTTCACCTTCAACACCTTCTTTGCTATCGGTTTCCTTGGAATGACCTGGCTGTATCCTGCCGAAATCAACCCTCTTCGTACCCGTGTCCAGGCGAATGCCTTGTCCACCTGCTCAAACTGGCTTTCGAACTATGTCATTGTTATGATCACTCCTCCCGCTATTGCCAACATTGGCTACGGTATCTATGTTATCTTTGCCATCCTCAACTTCTTGTTCATTCCTATTGTAAGTTCCTGAGAGCCCTGTGATATTAGTATTGTTCTAACCAATGATTAATTTTATACTATAAGGTCTACTTCTGGTATCCTGAGACCAAGGGTCGCTCCCTCGAAGAAATGGACGTTGTGTTCGCCAAGGCTAATGCTGAAGGTGTTTCTCCCGTCAAGATGGCCTTCATTATGCCCCGACTTGAAGGCAGTGAACTCGAACGCGAGCTTGCCCGCTACTTTGATGACGGTAGCAGCAACGGCTCTCCTACAGATATTGAAAAGACTGGCTCAAAAAATGCAGAAGACTCCTCCTCGGGTAGCTCTAACGCTGCTAATGGCGCTTCTGAAAAGGTCGCCATTCCTACTGAAAAGGATTAGAGTTGATATTTCGTTGTTTGCTTTTTTATTTTAATTCTATTAGTTATTCTATCCCCTATATTTTCGCACATACTCAAATTCATCCTTCTTTCTTCCCGCCTTCTTATTTTTCTACTCTTCGTATTTATTAGTTATCTTTAAAACGCACTCCTCCCCGGCCTCCTACCCTTATCCAATAGTTTTAATATGTATTTTACTGCACAGGTTTCACAAAGAAAACAATGAAAGAGATTATATAACAATGCGACTATTTGTTTGTCTCATATGATAGTTGGCTGGTTTTTACATGGAAAAGATAGACGCTGTTTAGCGCATAGTTACTGTTGCATAGCTAATTCCTAAAGATGGATGGTGAACCAGGTAATGAATGGCTTGTGCTACGGCGTTGTCAACGCGAGCTGCCATATTGGACAATTCCTACTCTATTCGCGCACGTTAGTCTTGTCTAATTCGAGAAAAAAGAGAGAGCTCTCTCATAACATGTCGATCAAATTTCTGTCGTCTGTAATGTATGAAGAGTATGTAAAATCACATGGAGTTTGGAAAAGACGAATGCGAATCGGTTAGTGATTTTAAATATGCGATCAATCAGTGAGAACAGTGAGGCGCATAGTGCACACTTGTTAAATATTGGAAAGGGGTACGAATCGGATTCACGTCACACAGAGGTTCTTTTTGACAGTTGCATAATCCTAATGCGATTTGCGAATCCAAGCAAGGTTCAGGATTAAAAGATACAAAAAAGTAGAAAAGGGATGTATATTACTATATAACGACAAAATCACTCCATTTCGCCTTTTGGGGCTGGGGGTTGGGGGCTGGATGAACCCTTTGTGCGTTCAACCTTTGTCCAGGTTTCCTAGTTTTCCACACGTATTCCTTTTTGCCGACAACCGGCGAAAGTGGTGTCATGTACCACACGGAATTATGGAAAGTATCTTTCTACACATCGGTTTCTGGGCCGGTTAAAGTTGGGGGAGGTGAATGAAAAGACGGTATAGATAACAAAGTAAGCCATCTAGCGTCATTCCATGCGTACAACGTTATAAGCACGTAATGAATTAGACACAAGGACTGAAATGAACTATATAATAAAGAAGAGCGGACATAGTGTCGAAAGTGGTGGTATTATTTCCTAAACCCAAGATTTCTCCACACTATGTTTCAAATGATCTGGGGAATTGATCATTCTCAGGAAGAATAAGGAACAATATAGAAACGCTTCTGAGTCTGGTTTTGCTTTAGTGATCGCAGAAAGTACTAGTTGCGATGTAAGAGAAGATGCACATGTTGTAAAATTACCGATACCAGGATAGTCGCTGTAACGAAGAATGGAAAAACGGAAACTCAAGAAGGTCGTTGCTTTTGGCCAAATTGTACGATAATAATGACATGCTTTAAGAGAAAAAGTTAAAAACTTCATCCGATTCAACAACAGCAAGGAGCATCACCATTGTTGCTGTTGTTGTCTGAAGGAAGGTTTGCTGTCCGTATTAGCATCTTCTTCTGTGGGCTGGATAGCATACACTTGATATCAAACTGTTTTCTGATCTCTGTTTTTAGTTTCACAATGTGGGATCGCGAATCAAGAGAAGGTTTCCCGATTCCTCCTCCTCCGCAAAATACTCCAGAAACCCACACATCATATTTGCTCGCACACTCCACCTAGCGGAGTTCCTTTGCGTATATGTTTCTCGCTTTCTCCACTTTCTTTCTGAGTTGTCTGAGCCCCGGCACACGGGGATTAAACCTAAAGCAAACAACGATGGAACCTTGGTACTGGAGTCACACACCGTGATGACGATGATGATAATGGGTTTTCTGTACGTCCCGATGCTATACTTTATTTGGAAGCGCCACCAAATCCATTTAAATATGCAGCATTTCTCAAACTTCATGAACGTCTACTTTGCTCAAAATGGGGTTTGGTAAAACGCTTATACACAAACTATCATATCTACCAGAATACAAAGTCCAGAACGGCAAAAAGCTACATGGTCGTGTCTTGAATTGGGCCATTGGCTTTGTTGCAGGCTGTGGTTTGTAAGTAATTAATCGACAAGCAACGACTGATTCAGCGTTCCTGTGCCATTGGATATGTTCTTTAACTAACTGATTTTTTGGGACTTTGTAGTCTGTGAGTCTCTCTCTTGTTTGTTTCGGAAACCGGAGTTCACCCTGAAAATCGCCTCACTCATTCGATAATTTCAATATGTAGTATGTTCGGTTATGACCAAGGTGTCATGAGTTCTTTGCTGACGGTAATTACATAAAGCGAAATCGACCCTTGAACGCTATACCGTTAGAACCAAACAACTAATAAGCTATTCATTTTCTCAACAGCTCGATGATTTCCAACGACAATTCCCTACTGCTACTCCTCACTCAGATGCTAACCCTCTCTGCGAGCAAGAGGGTATGTGTACTGGTACTCCTGAGCTGCAATCGGTATGTTTGTGCTGATTTTTATATTAAGAAATAGAAAGCATGTGCACATAATAACCTTTTCTTATATTTGATGGCATCATTAGAACATGGTCAGCATTTATCAAATTGTAAGTTCAGATATGTACAAACATGAACTATGCATATAAATGCAAAATGCTTATTTTATTTCATTTTTTTTCAGGGTTGTTTCTTGGGCGCTGTTCTTGTCTTGTTTTATGGCGATTCGTGGGGCCGTCGTAGCTCTACCTTTTGGGGCACTATAATCGTCACCGTAATATATCTATTCCTCTCATTTATAACTTGCATTGTAACTATTAGAATAGTTGTATACTCATCAAGCAGTCTTATTATAGTTGGGTACCGTTGTTCAAGCATCCTCGCACGATTATGGTACTCTCTGCTTTGGTCGTATCTTTGGTGGTATCGGCAACGGCATGGTCACGTCTACGATCCCTACCTGGCAGAGTGAATGTGCAAAGCCTGAAGATCGTGGTTTCCTTATCATGAACGAAGGCATGCTTATCGGTTTCGGCATTATGATCTCATACTGGGTCGACTATGGCTTCTATTTCTTGGAAGGCAGTATCCGATGGCGTTTCCCCATTGCTTTCCAAGCTGTTTTCTCCCTTATTGTCATTGCCGGTGTCTTCATCCTTCCTGACTCGCCCCGTTGGCTGTTGAAAAAGAATCACACAGAAGAAGCTCGTGAAGTCGTTGCTCGCTTGGCTGATGAAGAAGTTGATAGCGAAAAAGTGGCTGAAGAAATGGCCATTCTCGAACACACCTTGGCCCTGGAAGGTCAAAAGTTTTCGTACCGTGAATTTTTGCGCCATGGCAATGTTCAGCATTTCCGTCGTATGGTTCTTGGTGTCGTTGCCCAGGCCATGCAGCAATACTGTGGTATCAACCTCATCACGTATGTATACATCTCTTCTGATTCCCTTGATCTACAAGTCGCTAAGTATTCTTCTATATCTTTGTATGAATATACAGGTATTATGCTACCATGCTTTTCGAACAATCCCTTGGTTTCGATGCAGCCATGTCTCGTCTTTTAGCTGCTGTCAATGGTACTGAATACTGGATGTCTGCCGTCGTTGCCATGTTCTTTGTCGAACGCTATGGCCGGTGAGTAACGTTTTTGCTTTACTATTTATACATGTGAAACTTAGTTTCTATCCTTAAAAATAAGGAAAACTAACCTTTTTTCTCTAATGATTTTTCTAGTCGTAAGCTTATGTTTGTCGGCTTGGTAGGTATGATGGCATCCATGGCCGTATTGGCTGGATGTCTGAGTGCCGGTTGGTATGATGAGTTTGGTTCATTGATTGTCCCTGAAGTTGAAGGCTACGTCGGTACTGTTACCCTTTTCACCTTCAACACCTTCTTTGCTATCGGTTTCCTTGGTATGACCTGGTTGTACCCTGCCGAAATCAACCCTCTTCGTACCCGTGTCCAGGCCAACGCCTTGTCGACATGTTCGAACTGGATTTCAAACTATGTCATTGTCATGATCACTCCACCTGCCATTTCCAACATTGGTTACGGTATCTATGTTATCTTTGCCATCTTTAACTTTTTGTTTATTCCTATCGTAAGTATAACATCATCATCAAAGTCAAAATTAGACTTGCTGTCATCTGCCGCCATAACGACGAACCCCCTCTCTCCTATTATCTTCTATGGTTCTTCTCTTGTTTCTCTATAAACATTAGCTCTAACACTTGTTTGTCTTTTCATAATAGGTTTACTTCTGGTATCCCGAAACCAAGGGCCGCTCTCTGGAAGAGCTGGACGTTATGTTCGCAAAGGCTAACGAACAAAATATCTCGCCCGTCAAGATGGCCCAGATCATGCCCAAACTCGAAGGCCATGAGCTTGAACGTGAATTGGCTCGCTACTTTGATGATGGCAGCACTTCTGGTTCCAACAACGATCAAGAAAAGGTGCAACAACCTTCTTCTGGTTCGTTCGTTGAGGACGTCAAGAACGAAAAATGAGCGCATATACAGAATATTTATACTTCTTATTAGTAGTCCGTAGTAATTAGTCTTTCCCTTTTACCTTTAGTTTCATTTTTTTTTTCATTTATCATATCTTGTTGTTTACTAGTTAACCTATCTTATTCTCCTCTATTTTCTCCTATTCTTCTGCCACAAACACACATACTCAAGCACAGAACTGAACAATCCCCCACCCCACCCTTATCGCTTTCTTTTCTCGCTTTACAATATATCTATATCTCAATTTTGGCGCCCAGACACAAAATGGGCCAAAAAACACTCAACAAAACTGTTGTACATTTAAAAACCTTGCTTGTATCTTATTTTATTTCACTATACAGATCTCCATTGAATAATTAAAGTGAAAAGAATCATTTTTAGACTTTCTGCGCATTGTCAGCGATTATAATTAGAGCTAGGGACTGCTTCACAGGGTAGCTCCGCGCAGTGAGTGTTATCACATTCTCGCCCTTCTTTCCTACGCGTCATGAGAATTACTGTAGAGAGAAGGTACACTCATGTGGTAGTAAAGCTCCCGCAAACGTAGTACACATGGAAATTTCTGTAAAACCAATCGAGCAGATCCGACCGTTTTTTTCTGTGTAAGCACCGAATGATTGACTTTGTACATGTGCATTAGATCCAATGTTGTACTGTATGTGTACAATAGCAACAGTTGTACAACATAAGATGTGTCTGGTCTTTCTGCGCATTGTAGAACCTGTAAATTAAGGGGCTATTACATAAACTCGAGATTAAAAGTATGAAAATTATCCTATTTGTACGGATGCACATGCACAGTGACCAATGAAAAAAGGCTGATTCAGCCCTTTTAGTGACATGTAAAGTGCTGATAGGTCACGATAATAATATAGTGCTTTATTATATCAAATAGCAGTCTTTGGAGAATGAAAGGGGGGGTGGACTCGTTGATATACTCATTAAACCTTGTATTGACATGTTGCCTATTCTTATCTATACTTTGATTTGGCTGTGATTCCACATAATACCCTTCTTCTACTGGTTCTACTTAGATGCGATGCGTAATAGCTATACTGTAGTTGCATACATACTTGATCACTATACAGTATTTCTTGGCTAGCGATATCGTAGCTGCACCCACATTACTATGACATACTTTCCGACTATGCACAACAACAAGTTACCCACACTTCATGCAGGATGTTGCATATGTTTTCTTTTTATCGAACAGGTACAATGTTTTTAGTCCGTATTAGTTCTATCATATGACCAGGATAATAAAAAGCTTGTTACGAGGGTTTCTCATGAATTCGGGTGACGGTAACTTGTAAAGGTAGCGGTTACGTAAACAATCCCGTTTTCGCAAGGAGGCTGAGTCGTTAAATCACACCAAGATCTTGGGTGGATCCATAACCGCCTTTTGCTTAAAAAGATGCAACGTGTGATCTGCTGATACTTGTTACTTATTTCCAAACGGTCATTAACCAATGTAATTTGTGAAAGATTTTAATAAGAGCTTGGTTGGCAACTAGTGTAAAATACGATTTTGGCCATCAAAGATAATGGTATTTCTGACGTGCTTGACAGTCCAGTTTAGACTACTCTTTTTGAATTCTACTTATACCTGTATGTCGCAAAACTATATCTCGCCTTAATCTCCTTAGTTTGTAAAGCTACTGTACTTATCTGCCCCTTATACCGAATTTTCAAACACAAAGCCTTACGCGCATACATCGTCTCTACAGTCGACCCCCGTTGACGTCAACCCTCAGGGTACCAGCAAAAGTGTTGACTATATCGAGGGTTGACGACCACCGGGGGTATAGAATAGGCAAAATCTTTAACCCTAAACTTGAAAGGGTACCAGCGAATTGTTTGACGCTACTGTATCGGGGGTTGATGTTATCGGGGATGACGTTAACGGGGGTTGACTGTACTTCATAAGAAACAACCAAAAGTGTACCACTGTGATAAACATCCATAGTAAAGGAATGACCGTGTAAGCGATAACAGGATACAACGTAGCATCACACCTCAGTGTCCATCCTTTTGTTATAAATGAAAAGCTTGTTAAATGTGTTGCACGTAGATCAACGCTATCTATTCAAGTGCTCATCATTAAAGTGATTTTGCTTTCGTGTACTCAACCAACAGAGCCTTCATGCACAATATATACGACCATTTCTTTTCTGGTCTAATGGGCTAAAACGACGTTGACAACGGGAGAGAAACAACGTTTTGGGCAATAGTGAGTAGTACTCTTGATGCAGAATACACTGGTCCCCCGCTAAGATCAACCCGAAAGGGTTCTTACAACGCCGAAGCTAACGTGGGTTAAAAAAAGCGAGGGTGAGTTTCACATATCATAGAATCTATATGTTTTCTTATTCTTAAGGTGCCATATAAAGGGTTGACACAACTGAGGGTTGAATTTATCTGAGGGTGATCTTAGCCGGGTGTAACAAAATGACGACACGACTGTCATACCAGTCGAAATCGCATATTGTGCTGGTTGGCGAACTAGGCCAGATTGTCATTCTATTGTCAAAATCAGATTAAAACGAAATCGCTATTTAGGACTACCAAAAAGCCCTCACAATTCTCGCTTATGATTTGAGATCTGATATAATGAGGATAAAAAGGAGGAGAATGTAGATTCAGATGGATGTGTAGTTTTTCCAGTTAATATAAATAGCTACATCTTGTATCATCCTTTATTTTAATCGTTACTGTGCGTTCTGCTGGTACAATACAGACAATTAGTCGTCATTAGGATTGACAAGAGGTCATTCAAGCTAGAAAATAAGTCAAAGCACGCTAGTGGAGGCCATTGATTCGACATTGTGGTTGTCTTTCCGCATCACCCAGCATTAACAGCGGTGGCACTGCTCTTGCAGGTTAGTAACAATGTGATTGGTTGTGGCAGGTCGGATAACAGGAACTTTCTGATCCAATCAATATTTATGATCACACTGAGAAGCAAGCAACAGCGATAAAGCTAGCAACATTAAACGGTGATGCATTGTCAAGTCGACCATATTTAGGCTGCTGTGCTATGATAGCACATTCTCATGGACGATGTAGGCGTCAGTCGTAAGGGAGCTCTAATGGCGCATCTCTCGTCCATTGCCAGAATCATATAAATCGGCACATAGCAATCCTCCTATCTCTGTGTGCAACTCTTTAACTTTTTTTCTGCGGACCACACGAATAAGCTTAATCGATGCGAAAATTGCTATGGATGTGTGAAAAAATTTCATTCCAAGTATCCATCCGTACAATTACGCACAAAAATGTCTACATTATCACACATTTTTACATACATTACTACGGATACCTTAGCTTTTTCGCTTGACTGGCACATCATATATGTTATGAGCTATCAAATCTAATACAAGCAACCCATCATATTTTTAAAAAAAAATTATTCATCACAGCAACCACACCACATTTAGCTTATTATCCGCCGACCGCCTTCACAACTAGGTACAAGACACAATGCGGGAGGTCGGCACCGACCCACAGTTCACCGCTTACAGCATTTGCGCGGAATCCACCACCGCTGCTTAGGAAGCGCGAGCCACCACAGACGAAACGCTTGCAGCTGGCAAGTGGAGTAGCCGTACCTGAACGCTATTACCAATTTATGCATCGCCACACCACAGCAATCATTTGTTTACTTACTGTACATGTCAACAGCCACCAGGCACGTTGGGCCCAGGCCTTAGATATACAGACATCGAATACAAACCATCACCGAGACGAGCTCTACAAACACGAAGGGTTGTGTCAGATTACCGAGCGAAGAGAAGGCAATCGTTCGATTGTCCGAAGCGAGGAAAGGAGTTGAGATGTTCCACTTTATATTCACTCTTTCTCTTTACAATATCCATTTATCTTACACACTCGTTCAGCTAAACTCTTACTATCCCATTTTTGTAAACCCTCCCCATCTGACATCTGCACGACTCTCGCCACACTTTTCAAACGGTTGAAGAGAGGCGATATCTTACTTTCAATCATATTTATATACAAAATATACTTTGTGAGCGCTCTTTGAGCGGCCGCTACACCGATACGAACTCTCCTCGCCCGCGAACAGTGGAACGATTGCGTTCTTCGCTTCGCTCGGTTATCCGACATACACTTTTTCTTCAATTCAAAAAAAGAAAACAATGAGAGCATAACATATTACGCCAGTTTAGTAGGATAGTAAATGTGACGACAAGAAAAAGTGCATTGTTGCATACAGTCGTAATTTTCTAGTTTTTGTTAGCATCAGCATGACATATAAAAGGGGCATATTTATTTGGCACGTAAAGTCGTATTAGAGTGATATTTTTGAGCAGAGAATTTTTTGATGCTATAGGTTTTTGTAGCTTTGGTCATCATCTCTTTTCGATAACAGTCCCGATAACCCGAGGACAAAGAAAAGTTAGGGAAATACTTTAGCCTGGCATAAGGCGGAGCATCCTGCGCTTGCACAGGGATCGAAATAGCAACTACAGCGATCAAGTGTTCCTATATACTGATTTTTTGTGCGCATTCTCGCTGTGACGGTTCGTCGCTATACGGTAGGGGTTGATCCAATGAGGCTAAGCACATTTACCCTACTAGCGACAGCGTATATCATCGAAAGCATGATATAACTACATACCAGCATTTGAAATGGACTCATGTTACCAGGAATAGTGTAGGTTTCCTTCTGATTATGCTGGCATTCGTTTACAACACAGACAATCACTATGCGTCGCCCACTTATAAGTTGCCTTTTCAACGATGTCACAATATTTTTTAATGACTGCGGGAGCAGTCTTTCCTCATAGCAACATGGAGCGCGTCTATAGTGTTATCAGCTGTTTAGTCACACTGACAATAACTGTATATACTTTGATTTGCTCTGTGTAACCTGACTTGAGCGTGATGGTTACACCGTATGCATCAATGTTATTCTCGAACAAATTAAAGAGATCAGAATTTTGCCTTGCAAACTAGAATTACTTGAATATATCACTATACATTTGCTTCGTTGTCACTATGCTATTAGGACTAAAAAATCAGGAGGAGGTCCAGCATTGTGACAATACTGTAACGTTACATGTGCATTCGTACTTCAAAACAAACATGAAAAAAAACGATGCAAACAGCACGAAACAACGTGGTAAAAGGCTTAGTGTACCTTTCATCAAATTAAGATCATCATCATCGGGTACAGTACATGGAGTTATCTATGTGTAATTTTGTTAATCCAAGATTGGTCTATATCAATCATACATAAGCATTTCAAATTTATGTACAGGTGGCACAGACGAGATTGACATGATTTATTGCCTGCTTGCGTGTAGGGATGTGTACACTTCACACGCTTCTTGCTCAAGCATCCTCGTAAACACATGCACTGTTTGTTTGCAATGACATGGACGATATGCTCCAGAAACAACATACATCGTCATATGCATGTACGGCCACCAGGAAATAAGAAAGCAAAGGTAAAAGCTTTGCATAAACTTGGTAATCACTGTAACTTTTGCTGTTGAAATGAGAGATTGAGTTGAATGTATCCTGCCTGAGCGCATTTAAAAAAGCCACATTCAGGCGCATTTTAAGCGGTCAGCCGGGAACATCGGCGCAGTTTAATGTAAACTCCAGCAGCAATGTTTATGGCATTGTATACTATCCAATATATTTGGATGTATCTAACCCAGCTGAAAGGGACTAAATGACGACAATGATGTTACAACACAAGAGTGATGCTTTGAATTATTACCCGAATGCGGAACCAAAAGATAGACTATTTGCTTCTAGATAGGCTTAGTGAAAGACAGCATCATGTGATGTGCAGAGAAAATAAAGTAAGATGCGAGATACAATAGACATTTGCCTCTGTAAATAAAAAAAGAAACCAGAACGCAAAGTGCTCAACAAATAGTGAATACATGCATCTTTGGTAAGCTTCCCATCCCCTTCAGCCAAGCCAGCAAGGCAGCAGCCTGTTCTTCGCATGAAACAAAACCAATGTTTTCACTCACTCGGAGAATTCTACGGCTCTCATTGGCGATTACAATCTTTGTTAGTCACACCAACCATCTTGACTCACTTTGCAACCCCCTCTCTCTCTCTCCACCTCTTTCTCTTTCCCGTTTCGTTTCCCTTCGTCCCTTAAAAATTGCAACACACAAAACCCTCGATAAAACAAACGAAAACAACAGCAACATTCTAAATAGCAAAAATGATGAACGTCGAAACGGAATCCGGGAACATGAAGGCCATTTTAAAGACGCTTGTCTTTGACCCAATTAAATTCACACCAGACGATGCTAGTGCAGCCATTCACGAAATTATGCAAGGCAGCGCCACTCGAAGCCAAATTTCGGCATTTCTTGTCGGTCTTCGTTTGCAAGGCAAAGACTCGGATCCAGCTGTTGTCGCAGCATGTGCTAAAGCCATGCAGAGCCATGCACGCTTGATTCCGTACGACCATCATAAACACCTGGAAGGCAACGTTATTGATATTGTCGGCACTGGTGGCGACGGTCACGATACGTATAATGTTTCTACGACAGCTTCAATTGTAGCAGCCGGTGCAGGTGCCAAGGTCGCCAAGGTAATTAACACGAAAAGCACAACTGGCGAGTTGAGATTAATTTTATGTGTGTCTTAATAGCACGGTAACCGAGCAGCAACATCCAAGTCAGGCTCTGCAGATATCATGGAAGCACATGGCTGCCATATCAGCAAAGTCGAGCCTTCACAAGTACCCGGGATTTTGGACGATACCAACTTTTGCTTCTTGTTTTCACAAATCTATCATCCCGCCATGAAGCATGTCGCTTCGCTGCGCAAGGAAATTGGTTTGCCCACTGTGTTCAACTTACTGGGACCCATGAGCAATCCCGCTCGCCCATCTCGGGTGGTCGTCGGTGTCCACTCGCCACAAATCGGTAGCTTGATGGCCAACGCATTGAAGTTGACGGGCATTAGAGAAATTCTGGTTGTCTGTGGTGCCGAGAAGCTTGACGAGGTAACGAATGAGATTCACAGTTGCATGTCGGCCCTTCTTAGATCGGTTAACTAATAAAAATTCATGCTTTTTTTTTGCGCCATTTACAGATCAGTCCCGCTAATGAATCCAATGTAAGTTTGTATATCTTTTATTCATGCAATATGACAAGGTTCATGAGAGGATATTTCTCTAATAGCATAAATCTGAATTAGTTCTGGCGCGTGCGAGACGGAGGCGAAGTCACTGTCGGCGTGCTACATCCCACACACGATTTTGGCTTAAAGACTCATCCACTTGAGGAAGTCAAGGGCGGCGACGGTCATTGCAATGCACAAATCTTGAAGCGGCTTCTGAACAACGAGCTGCCTGAAGACGATCCGATATTGGACTTTGTTCTCTTGAACGCATCGGCTTTGTTGGTTGTCGCCGGTATCGCAACCGATTTTAAGGACGGTGTCGCTAAAGCACGAGAATCCATCAAAAGTGGAAGCGCAAAGAAGGTCCTGGAGGCCTTTAGAGACAAGACCCAGCAAGAACAGGAATAACAATATTAGCCTAGTCTTTTTCGTCGTCGCCCCCCCTCTCCCTCATGCTCTTACTCTTTTGCCTTCCGCTTTCCTTCCTTTCCTTTCTATGTTTTACTACGTTTTTTTCTCTTTCTTTTTTCTGTAAACCGATATGTAGATACGTATGATGAATTGTCTAATTGAACAATGAAAAGGAGATACCAAATACAGCAACACAGATAGAAAAGAAAATGGAGAATTAGTTCTATGTACAGAACAGAATGATTAGATGTGAACATGTTGGGAGGAGTTCATTTGCCACGTGTTTCAAGCAATACACTCAGTAGGGTGGCTGTGTTTCCGCGGGCAGCAACAAGACCTCGAGCCTTTTCATCGTGGGGTGATGCGTTGTCCTCCGTGTCCATAACGGTGAGGTAACCAAGCTCATCTTGCAAGGACACCATAAAGTTGTGCAGATCGCTGTTGCTCGAGGATGCTTTTGGCGGTGCATATTTCACGCTCTCAACCATGCCACTGTGCGTCAGTTTGGTGACACACAGGGCCACAATACGGTCTGTCAGGCCATAAATGTTCAAATAGCGATCCTCATTAGCAGCAGCAGCAGCAGCAGCAGCAGCGGCGACGATCACCAGATCTTCGCTGTCTGTATGAAAAATTTGACGTTCAATTATGTTCTGGAATTAATTCCGTTATTAGCTTCTTTTTCAAGCACCACTTGTCCTCTATTGCACCTAAAACAGCTAATTGATCAAAATGGGATACCTCTGCACGCTGCATGCCAAGCAAGCCGCCTATTTGATCCATGCCACCGGCATCGTGTGCTGCTGAGGGTAGAGCTACGTTTGCATGCGACGGGTAAAAGATCGACAATGCTTGGCACACATACAAATTTATTTCATATCAAAATTAGCACAAATGCCATGCGGAGCATGAAAACAGCTTCTTTTTATATTTGAAATACCTCGATCTAGTTTAGTGGGAGCCTGGATCCGACAGATACCATCGTCAGAGCCAAGCATCCACCGGATCCTGCAATAGTCTGTTGTTGTTGCGGTGTCGATCGATGTTTCATTGCCGTCGCCGTCGTTGTTGTCAGCATTGCTATCCTGCTTGGTATAATGAATTGCAGCAGCCAATGTATGTTCAAGTTGAGAGTAAAATACATCGTCCGTCAGGGTGAATGCCGCATATAACTCTACAGACTGGCCAGGAGCAATGGTGCTTTGGGTGTTCCGCGCCACAAGCTTAGGTAATACGTTGTCCGGTGCAAGGACCAGATGCACACCATTCAGCGTGACGGTAGAAGAGGTGTTTTCAGCATTGAGACACACCCAAACTCTATCGTGAAGGGTTCCTCGGATCCAGCCCATGCAGGAGTGAATTAGAAAACAACATTCTTCGTCCTTGCTGTTGTCTTTCTCTTCTTCAGCTGCTGCTGCTTCTGCATGTTGTATTGCGGCCGACGACGTAGCACCATGTCCGTTCTCGGTATCACGGGGGTTTATTAGGGGAAGCAATCCAGGCGGCGGTAAAATGCGTATTCTCTTTTTCTGTGGCATAGTTTCCATTGAGAACGCGTCTTTGAGCTCATATTCCAACACGTTCCCCGCGTCCACAAGCAGTTCACGTTTCTTGTCAGCCTAATTTGCAACAAAAACAAAGTTGTGCTGTTGAGATTCACATACACACATACTACGCAGCAAGGGACAGTCAGAAGAAGAGACACACACGTTTCGTTTTGCGCGTCGTAGTTGTGCACGTGCTTGTAAGAGGCGTTTGGTTAATAGATCGAGCGACTGATCTAGTGCATTGCTCATTCCGAGGAAGGGGGTTGCAGCCCGACGCAGCAGCAGACGCACAGGCAGAAGGTTAATGGACCAAAAGGGCTCTCTCTCTCTCTCTCTCTCTCTCTCTCTAATACAAGCAGCACATAACTAAAATGTGTCGGAGTCGATCCCATAAAACATTTTATTTTAGTGCGTTGGCGGGAGCACACCCAAAACGATTGGCCGGCATGCGAATGGAATAAAAGGGGAAGGGACCAAGCCTGGCCCGGAATTCACACTTCAACTCTTCCCTTTCCCACTTCTTCCACCACCACTTGTACTCTCCTTTCCCTAACCGTCTTCGTCACTGGTCTCGTCGTCGAACACCACCACTTATCTCCCTTCGCCTAAACAACACATACAACAGCAAACATGAAAGCACTTATTCTCGTTGGAGGTAACTTTTTTGTTCTTCTTTCATCATCTGCATTGGTCTCGAACCCTGGTGCAGCCTAGTCCTGTGCTTTTCATCCGAAATGCTCATCTTACCCCATTGTAGGTTTCGGTACCCGTCTTCGTCCCCTCACACTCACTTTACCAAAGCCCTTGGTTGAATTCGCCAACAAGCCCATGATTCTGCATCAGATTGAAGGCCTTGCCAAGGTAAAGAAAACAAGTCGTGTGCCCTTCCAAGTTTAAAAAACAGTGTACTAAAACATATACAAAAAGGCTGGCGTCAAAGATATTGTTCTCGCCGTCAACTATCGCCCAGAAATCATGGTTGCTGCCCTCAAGCAATATGAAGAAGAGTTCGGTGTGACCATCACCTTCTCTGTCGAGACCGAGCCTCTCGGTACCGCCGGACCTTTGGCTTTGGCACGCGACATTTTGGGCAAGGACGACAGCCCATTCTTTGTCTTGAACAGTGATATCATTTGCGATTATCCATTCGAGCAGCTTCGAGATTTCCACATTGCCCACGGCAACCAAGGCACCATTGTGGTATGTGTTCTCGAATAGGCTTTGGGAGAGGAGGGGGGGGAGCAAGGTGCAGGTGGGTTGGAAGGCGTGTGTTCTTTATGCTAAGTATGTGAAATCAACAGGTCACCAAAGTCGACGACCCTTCAAAGTATGGTGTGATTGTGAATCAGCCTGACAGCACAAAAATCGAACGCTTTGTTGAAAAGCCCAAAGAATTCATCAGCAACAAAATCAATGCTGGCATCTACGTACTGAGCCCCAGCGTATTGGATCGCATTGAGGTATATATTATAGTCAAAGACAATGCAAGGGTAGACATTCTTTACGTCCAGTCTTTACGTTTGGACTAACAGCTGATATCTCTCTCACATGTGTTCACAATTGTAGTTGAAACCAACCTCCATCGAAAAGGAAGTGTTCCCCTACATCGCCCAAGACGGCCAGTTGCACACATTCGACTTGGATGGCTTCTGGATGGACGTTGGCCAGCCCAAGGACTTCTTGACCGGCACCTGCTTGTACCTCAGCCATTTGGCAAAGAAGAAACCTCAAGAACTCGCTAACCCAACCTTGGACTATGTGCACAAGGGTAATGTGATGGTCCACCCCAGCGCCAAGATCGGCAAGGACTGCCGCATCGGCCCTAACGTCGTCATTGGCCCTAACGTCGTCATTGGTGACGGTGTCCGTCTGCAGCGCTGTGTCGTCTTGCAGGGCGCCAAGGTCAAGGACTATGCTTGGGTCCAGTCTAGCATCATCGGCTGGCACTCGTCCGTCGGTCGTTGGGTAAGTTTCTCGATGGAGTAGGGTGGTTGTTTTAGAAAAAGGCACACATTCGGCTAGGGAGCTATTTTTAGTTCATCGGCGCAGGAAATAGCAGAGAAAGATGAGAGACTGACATTTTATCATTCTTTTTTCGTACTAGTCGCGATTGGAAGGATGTTCTGTGCTCGGTGACGACGTGACGATCAACGATGAGATCTACGTGAACGGTGGCTCCATCCTGCCTCACAAGGGCATCTCGTCCAACATCACTGAACCACAGATTATCATGTAAATAACTATAATAAGCTTCTTATTTTCTTTTGTTACAAAATTTGATTACCCTCCCCCTCCATCCATCCCTCCCTCCCTCACCACCTCCAGCAAAAAAAATATCATTTCTCGCAACATCTCCTCTTTCTTTCCTGCTCGTCGATCACTCTTGTTTCCATCAATTTTTTGAAACTATATACACCGATTTCTTTTCGTCTTTTTTTTATTAATAACAACTTATTTATATGAAAAAAATGGGACGGAGTCATCAATATGTACAAACTTGTGATGTGATGATATGTGCAGCGAACGCTATTGCTGTTCTCGTGATTGTTGTAGCCAAGGATGATTTTCTAAAACCTCCAGCGTCGGCCGTTGCCGTGGGTCATGGCGCAATATCTATTAATATACAGCCCTTGTGAGCAACCGTTGCTGGTCTCCTTCACACGGTGATTTCAGTTTCACGTTACCCTTTTCACAAACTGCTGTGCATTCATGCTGATATGGTTTGGGAACGAGAATTTGATTTGGATGATTCGGTGATACGTCTCCACGTAGTTTTCCACATCGCCAAACGGTGGAATACCGACCAATAATTCGTAGCACATGATGCCAAGAGCCCAAATATCGACCTTTTCATCGTGGTACTTGTCCTCAATCATCTCCGGAGGTAAATAGTCCAATGTTCCGCAAAAGGTCCGTCGACTAGAGATTTTTTTTCTGTTGTGGTTAGAACATCCCCCATCCATGTGTTTCAAACTACTATGTCTCTCGATCCTTACCGTGGCCTCCGATCGTGCACAGCCCAACCAAAATCAGCCATTTTCAATACGTTTCCTTCGCCGATCAGTACTAAGAAACATGGTTTAATGATGCGCTAATTTAGTCCCTCTTTTGCTCTCTTAATTAGAACAGTCTCTTCTTACCATTTTCCGGTTTTATGTCACGGTGGATCACTTTTAAACCATGGATATAACGCAAAGCTGACACGATCTGCGTCATGTACTATCAATTTAAAATCAATTTGTTAATTGAATATATATAAGAGGATGCGGACCCATTCAATTACCAAAACATGCTAAGAAATTAGTATACCTTTGTTACTGTATTTTCGGGTATAGGGCTTGTTTGGATAAGATCATACAGAGTTCGACCAGGTGCATGTTCGAGTACCATACAGACACTGTCTTTATCATCAAAGTACCCATACATTCGAAGAACGTTCGGGTGACTAAAGATAAAACCATCCATATCAGCTTTAGCCCCTTGCTTTGTCGATCCCTTTACTACCAAGTTCTATAAATTTACCTCAAGCGACTCTGGATCTCGATCTCTCGTTTGAGAAAGCGTACAACTTTGGCTTTTTGCAGTTCCTGTTTGTTGACGATCTTTAACGCAACCACCGCTCCTGTCTTTTTTTCCTGCGCCCTATATACTGTGCCGAATCGTCCAGATCCAATATGTATCCCCACTTTAAAATCATCAAGGCACCATTGTCGGCTACTATTACATATATCAACATTGTGTAAGTGCTTCATTATGTTCTCTATGGCTGTATATCTGCCTATTTTCATTTTGATAGCTTGGCCTGACCAGTGTTGATAAGGAACTTACTCCACGGCTTCCATATTGACGAGAGCCTTGGAAGATTCACTGACTACTTGTATAGAAGCTACTCCAGTCGTTATACCATGGTAGCGTCGCACCACAGGTGAATTCATGTAATCGTCGCCTTCAGCATCGTCGTCTCCTGCCTGTTGTGCTAATTGGTGAAAGTATCGAGCTCGATTTTGCCGTGTTAGGCTGACGCCGTTATTCTCAAGTGGATCAGGACGCACAGCCATGAATTTGCGTCGTGGGGTATAGTCGACATAATTAGATAATGTTGCTGGTGTCGATGCTATCGTATTAGTGTCACTAATGTCATTGACTTGTTTGTGAGAACCATTTCCAACTGTCATTGATAGATCTCAATCGTCTTGCTTGAGTGGGTATTGTAAATGCGATTTAAAATGTTGGAGGTATTAGAAACAAAGAAAGAACACTGGGGGTTTATTCTGTAAATTTCTAAGTCTCTCTACCACTAATAAGTGACACATAATGCGTGAAACGCGTTCCGATGCTCATACGCGCTGATAGCACGCGTCTCTCTATCGTTTACGCGTCTTTCTTGATACGATTACCTTACTTGCGTTTAATTATAGCATCCACACAACCTTGTCTCCACCACTGCGTTTTTTTTTCTTGCAAGCAGAAATCAGGTTAAGGATGACGAGTCTTCGTTTTGGCAATGGAAGAAGATATCATTTATTTATTTTGCTATTATAATGGCGGGCGTGTGCCTATCTCTACTGGTATTGGATTATCATTTCAAAAGACTTCTTTGACAAGAATGGAGGTCATTTTACATTTATACGAGATGGAAGAAACAGCAACTGCATCATCCAGATCCTTTAAAGACCGCAAAAGCAGTGGCAGGCAACAGCAACAGCAACAATAATACACCAGTTTAAAATGTTTGCGGATCTTTGATAATGATAGTCTCGGCTCTTCAATCATGTCGCAAAATCAAGTGTTTATGGATGCTGGAATTTCGATTGCGGTGCGTCGTCAGCAAAGGCGTTACGCCAATAACGGAAGCAGACGTTGAAAAATTCAAGGCATCGTTTGATGGAGAACAACATTTCTGCTCTGTCAGAACTCGAGCTTCGGTCACTTGGTATTGACGGATGAAGTTTTACAAAGCTTGGTGAATACTCTGCAAATAAGTACGAGAATATTTCTCAGTTACAATGTCAAATGAATGGAATGGCGACAGTTTCAATTAGTTTGAGCACGCTAAATAGCAATTGCTAGGAAACCCAATTCCAGTCCAACAGCACATTAAGGGCTAAAGAATAAGTATCAATCATTTATTCTAAAGTGCAGATGATAGTTGTGTCTATAACACAGTTAATCATCATAATGGCGAATGGATTGCACCGCATACTTGCATTGCATAAACACTGTCTGTTCGCCGGTATCTCGTCAGCATTTGACCATACTGTTTTGTTTGATAATAATGTTCTAATCCGTGCACGATGCGGTAGTGTATACGTTTGACGTTCCAAATATAACCTGAACACGACAAGTAGCCAAATCGTTTCGTACTATTACCATTAGCCATTTTTCTGACTGTTTGTATATCAATATTCATGATATGATGTAGGAGTTGTTGGCGATACTAGTAGTGTGAATTTTTATAGATAATGAGCAATGCTTCGTCATGTCGTCGCCGATAATAAAAGCTTAAAGAAAAAGTCAATGTTGTGTTAACAAGCAAGGAACGATAACGGTGACATAAACCGAATGCGGCAGAAGTTCCGAATAGTCGCATTAGAAAAAAAGCGGCTCCTCGGTACATTGTAAAATATACAACGGGAGGTATGATATACAGAATTCCTTAACAAATGAATTCTTCTGTTTGTGTGATGACCATGGGCACTACAACGGAATATGCTACTTCACAATTGCAGCATGCATAGGCTACAACGAGATAATTAGAAGTCGTTCGACCAAAAAGTAACTTGCTTTTTGCTTTTTTCTCCCTTAACCTTGACTATAAATTTCAATTTATATTATCACCTTTGTATAACTTACTCTCACGATGGCCGAAACTCAATCTTTTGTTCTCCTTTTTTTTACAGTATCGGTACTATCGGCCAATGGCGCAATAACTATCGGTAAATACTCGTTTCCCAAAAACTACTTGCAATAAGTGTATCACAATAGATATTCATCTGACGATCATTGTAATTTTTGCTGTTCAATTTTAGATGCCGGTAGAGCGTGTATTGTTGGAATAGACGATTGCCCTGAAGGCGAAAATTGTATCCCGCAGCATGATATGATAACTATGGCCATTGTGGTAGCCCTGAAACAAGAAAAGAGTCAAAAGACGATGGTGCATGATAAAGTTTATACACCATATGATGATGATTGCAGAATAACTCGGAAGCCTGATCGCTACCTTTTAAACTAAATATACTCTATCTAGTATCTCCTCCTTTTCCTGTGTAGTCATCTCTTCCCTTCCCTCATATAAATTAAAGTAGGGGAAACATTAATGTATGGAACCATTGCTAGCAATATCTGAGAATACCATCTATCTCTCCACGCTTGTGTGTATTATCTTTAAAAGTATGATAGAGGATGCTAAATGAAACCCATATAGCTTTTTTTATATGTTTGTAACAATAAGATATGCAAAGTTAAAAATGACATATAATACAGTAGTAAGAAAGCGACTGCTTTATGGCGCCGGTCAATCCAATATTTCTTAATAGTATGAAATACAATACGAGAAAATCAGTGAGGCTGTGTCTACAGCTGCCATATAAACTGGCTACTATGTACTCTAGCCATGGAGATTTATAATACAAAATTAGGTAATAATGATAATATAAAACATCATGCGTTTGCCGAGCGTTGTAGCCCAGGATGAGAGAGATAACAGGTCTCTTTGATGGGGAAAAACAGTTTTTCATCGCTACTCCTAGCGCACGTATGTTTACAACTAAGCTTTGAATACTGGAAGTATACATCTAAGAAAGCTACAAAAGTCAAATTGAAGAGAATGAACAATATCTGTATCAAAAATTTAGTGCCTGGCTTGCAGCTTCCAATCGAGCGATCCGCACCTTCTGGTTGAATAGAAAAGAAACGGACATGATGTCGCTTTTGAGCCACCACAAATGTCACTGTGGTTTTGTACCCGTCGTCAAGCTCCTCACATACACTGTGAATTACCCGAATCTCTTCAATTCGAACAGTCTCAACCTGACTGTCGGCGACTCTGTCATGAGAAAATAACACCCGTAGCGGCTTCTGACCGCATGATTGATGAAGCGTCTTTTGAAGCATTTTGACCATACCCTTCGAATCACTTGTAATTCCCGTGTTTTATAGCTTGCATTCTGATGGCACTCGAGTATCGCGTGGCTCGCATATCCATGCAAGCCGTCAAGGCGGCAATAGAGGCTTGGTTCATGTTACCAGGTGATGGATATGTCACATCGGCGCCAAATACGATTGTCGGTCGCTGGGAGACGAAAGGGGTTTGCTCTGCTGGCAAACAAGCATTCAAACCACCAAGCTCCATGTTGAATTTTAAGCAAACGTTTGCACAGTATTGAGCTTTGGACCGACCACGGTCATTAATGAGGGGCCTCTTATCTCCCTAATTCCATTGGTCAACAATCATTCACTAAACAACCTCACAACTTCTATCCTCCGCAAAACCGTCTATACACACCATCATTCCCCCACCCTCAGCACTTCTATCCCGTGGAGGCGTTTCTGGGCGATGCAACTACCTCACTATGCACGGACGACGTGGTGGCGCCTGCTTATTCTGCGCATCGACACATGCCTGACCGGTTCGACGACGCGCGATGCCGCCTCTGCCAGCATGTCACCGAGGCGGTAGTAGACCATTTTTTCTTTACTTGTCCCTCCAAACAACCGCTTTGGCAACGCATGCTCCGACACCATCATTGCTCCTATAATTTTCAAGAGCTCAATGCTTATTGCCACACGCTCGATCCACCTCGGTCCAAGACCACCGCCACGATCCCACCACACACGATCATCATCGCCGTCCACCTCATCTGGGCATCACATTGGCGATATATATTTGATGACACACCTTTCGATGCCAGCCGCATCTACAATATGATCTCGACAAAGGTACAGGATTTCCGGAGGAGGCTGCCGGCAAGTTCACCTGGGGACTATGATAGGGAAATCGATGTAAATCACTTGAGACATAGCTTGAAGACGACGATATAGCTAATTAGCATACACCCTAATGTTGAAGCTGTTGGGAACTGTATCGCTGAACTAGTGGTGGCTCTCCTTCTCTTGCTTTCTCTCTCTCTTTCTCTCTTTCTCTCTTTCTCTCTTTCTCTCTTTCAGTAGAGCTTCAAAAAGGCTGACCGCGTTCACCTTGCATACAGAAATAACGAGCAAAAAGGTCAGTGAGCGGTTTTCTGCATCTCACGATGCGCGCACCCAAGGCAAGACAAGACCTTTCTTTTGTAAAAGCTAGACTAGCTATGATATCCGCAATTGTGATGTAATAGTCGTAGCTCCCATCTCCCTCCAATCAGTAGTACAGCCCCTATTTCTTATCAGAGCAGTATCTATCAATAAACATTGGTTAATTACACCCGTGACAATCACATGCGATACTACATATCAGAGCCATTCTTTTGGAAAAATCGACAGCAATAATTATCGAAGCCATCGAGCCTTCATTTGCGAGGCGCTTTACTCGACACACATCGTTCCCAGCCACGCATACTTGATAGCCATTTGGCAACTTTAAGAAAAGAAATTCTTTGCTGGTACATGCTCTGTAAGCTACTCATCAATCATATCTACAGGTATCCGTTTGGGTGGCGCGTCTATTGATCGAAATTTCCCTTGAAGCTTTAAAAAGCAATGCGTCGTAATTTTAACTAACCATTACATGTTGAGACAAGGTCGACCGCCTGTCAACGTACGCAATGTGCTGTTCCCCCATCAACAACTGCTTCTTGACTTGGAAATGCAGCCAGTGGCAATTTGGACAGTAACGGATCAAAAAATACACATGACAGTACATATCTTCACATGAAAGAATCAGGCTCTTTATTGGACAGAACTATCGCAACAGCGGAGAACAAGTAGGGCAAAACCACAGTCGATATCATTTCCCAGCACGGGCAGTCTGTATCAAACAAACCGACATCAGCGTAAACACTCATTTGAATATGCTGCCAGGTCACTGACAGGCCACAAAGGTCGCGTCGTATTGACATGGCGGTGTCTTAAAAAGAATCCAGAGAGAACAATGAGCTGCATACGGTGCACACATTTCCAGTATCGCAGTGAGCCGTGCTCACAGGCAACACCAACCATC